TCTGGCAGTGTGAGTTCGAATCCCAGATGGGACTCAACCCAAGAAAGTGTTATCCCAAATGTAACATTTGTTTTGAAATATTGTCTAGTAGCACTAAGTACAAGTTTACTATCTTGTTGAAATGGAATTCTATGAATACAAAATATTACTTAACGGTATTTCTACATAAAATATTTAAGTGGGAGATTTTTTGTTATGAAAATATTCTTTTGGCCCCATTAAAATATTTTCCAAGTGTAAGATACTCCCAAGTACCTCCAGGATACCCCCAGGTATTTTTCATAAAAATAACTAAAAATTTCTAATAACTGTAAATACATTTTCCATCCCCATCTCAATTCATTTCATTATTTGGTTATATTTTGGACCTTCCCCTGAATTTGTCATGTATGGGTGACCTCCCCTGATTCACACACTTGCCTGAAATGACACAATGCTGTATGCCAACCACTTGTGACTGAATGTAATCGGAATCACTGAATGAACACTCAGCATTTGCATCTGAAATCAATGAAACAACATTTCCCTGCTTGTCCTTTTATATTTAATATTGCTCATGCTCACTGATAGTTTCTCTATGGTTGTATTTAAAATATTAGTGAACACATTCACCTATATCTCATTTTGAAGAATTGTTACAATATTTTCAAATATTCTGTATATGTCTCCAGTACCCACGCTACCTGTGAAGATCCGGGTGAGAGTAGGTCTTCAACAACCCATTTTTGTCGTAAGAGGCGACTAACGGGATGGGTGGTCAGGCTCACTGACTTGGTTGATGCAAGTCATTATATCCCAAATACTTAGATTGATGTTCATGATGACAATCACTTGATTGTTTGGTCCAGGCTTGATTATTTACAGTCGGCGGTCATATAGCTGGAATATTGCTGACTGCAGCGTCAAACAACAAACAAAGCAGTACGCCACACATGTTGTTAGGGATGACTAATGAGGAATGCATTGTTACGGTGTGTGACCTGGATGATTGTTGGTCATCGTACCCTGACATCATACCCTGATGCTCATGCTATCAACCACTTGGTCCAGGTTCAATCATTCAAAGGCTAACACGATATATCTGTTACATTGCTGACACCAGAGTAAAACAACATTCACTCACTCACCCACCTTGATATATTCTCCTGAAAAAAAGTTAAAAAACACCTGATTCTTTTAAATTACTATAGTAATATGAAAGAAGCATGTGTTCTTGCCATGAAATATCTTTAGTAATTTGAAAGAATCAGTCATTCTTTAACTTCTTTTATGTAGTACAATGTATATATTATTTGCAGAAATTCTGCAATATATGAGCTAGTTCAGATTTGATGGGTAATTTATTGTCTCACTGAGACCTATGAGGGGTTTGATAATTGATTAACATGTAGACAGCCAATAGGAATCACCATGACAAATTTAAGTATGATAACATCTATATTTGTTCCCACAAGTAGTTGTCAGCGTTGGTCCAGTTTTAGTTTGAATAATGTAGCACAGTTGTCAATCATAAAGATACACAATATTTGATTGTTTTAAATGATCTAGAAAATAACGGTTCCACACAAAAATCTAGAGTACCGGTATGTAGCACCTCCTATTTATCTCGCAAATTGTGTTAATCTGTTGTAACATGTAATCCCTGTGAAGATCTTGGTTAGAATTGGTATTCAGCAACCCATGCTTGTTGTACGAGGCGACTTAACGGGATCGGGTGGTCAGGCTCACTGACTTGGTTGATGCATGTCATCGATCCCAATTGCGTGGATCGATGCTCATGATGTCAATTACTGGATTGTCTGGTCCAGGCTTGATTATTTACAGTCGGCGGTCATATAGCTGGAATATTGCTGACTGCAGCGTCAAACAACAAACAAAGCAGTACGCCACACATGTTGTTAGGGATGACTAATGAGGAATGCATTGTTACGGTGTGTGACCTGGATGATTGTTGGTCATCGTACCCTGACATCATACCCTGATGCTCATGCTATCAACCACTTGGTCCAGGTTCAATCATTCAAAGGCTAACACGATATATCTGTTACATTGCTGACACCAGAGTAAAACAACATTCACTCACTCACCCACCTTGATATATTCTCCTGAAAAAAAGTTAAAAAACACCTGATTCTTTTAAATTACTATAGTAATATGAAAGAAGCATGTGTTCTTGCCATGAAATATCTTTAGTAATTTGAAAGAATCAGTCATTCTTTAACTTCTTTTATGTAGTACAATGTATATATTATTTGCAGAAATTCTGCAATATATGAGCTAGTTCAGATTTGATGGGTAATTTATTGTCTCACTGAGACCTATGAGGGGTTTGATAATTGATTAACATGTAGACAGCCAATAGGAATCACCATGACAAATTTAAGTATGATAACATCTATATTTGTTCCCACAAGTAGTTGTCAGCGTTGGTCCAGTTTTAGTTTGAATAATGTAGCACAGTTGTCAATCATAAAGATACACAATATTTGATTGTTTTAAATGATCTAGAAAATAACGGTTCCACACAAAAATCTAGAGTACCGGTATGTAGCACCTCCTATTTATCTCGCAAATTGTGTTAATCTGTTGTAACATGTAATCCCTGTGAAGATCTTGGTTAGAATTGGTATTCAGCAACCCATGCTTGTTGTACGAGGCGACTTAACGGGATCGGGTGGTCAGGCTCACTGACTTGGTTGATGCATGTCATCGATCCCAATTGCGTGGATCGATGCTCATGATGTCAATTACTGGATTGTCTGGTCTAGACCTGGTTAATTACAAAACATGAGCATTGAACAACAAACAAATACAACATGTAAAGTCATTGCCATTAAGTATTGTAAGGTAACCAGTATTGTCAATAGACTAGGCTAGGGCATGCTATTGTTGATGATTGTACAACACTGAATAAATTAATTGTTCCAGAGAAATGAAGGTACTATCCTCTCCTACCTTTTTTATGACAAACTATATATATTTTCCTAGAATGTTGAATGTTTTTTCACAGCATAATATCTTGACTTCTTGAAATGACGTTATTTTATACGTGTCTGTAATAATCTGTCTGTATATCGGTGACGCAGCCCTGTGACATGGTGACTGTCTTGGAGGGCTGTGTTCTATTCTGTTGTAGCCCAAGGTTATCATGCTTATGTACTATTAGGGATACTTGTAATAACCGGTTCTATGTTATTAACCCTGTGACTGTGTACTATTCTGTTTTATTGACTGTACGTTAGGGCTAACCTGTAAAAACATTCTATATCTTATTCAAAGTTCTGTTATTGTTTGTGTGAGATTCTGTGTATACATATATATGAAATGTTCTGTTGTTGCTAGTTCCACATCAGGGGTTGGTGCTATTCTGCTATTTCTAACATGGCAGGTTTTCACTATTCCCTCTGGTTGTATGTAATACCATTATGTTAGGGCCTCTTCATGTGTTTATATTCTAGAATTCTGTTATCATATACTCTAGGGCTCTGTATTCTATTTATATTCTAGATTTCTGTTATTATATACTCTAGGGCTCTGTATTCTGTTTATATTCTAGATTTCTGTTATTATATATACTAGGGCTCTGTATTCTGTTTATATTCTAGACTTCTAGCTGTTATTACGAGTATATACTCTAGGGCTCTGTATTCTGTTTATATTCTAGATTTCTGTTATTATATACACTAGGGATCATTATTCTGTTTATATTCTAAGGGTTCTTTATTTTCTTCTTATATTCTTCTTATGTTTATATTATATTCTAGTTCTGTTCTGTTTATAGTCATGGGTTCTGTATCCTGTTTATAGTCTAAGGTCCTGTATTGTGTTTATAGTCATGGGCTCTGTATCCTGTTTATAGTCTAAGGTATTACATTGTGTTTATATTCTAGGGTTCTGTATTGTGTTTATATCCTAGGGTTCTGTATTGTTTATAGTCAAGGGCTCTGTATCCTGTTTATAGTCTAGGGTCCTGTATTGTGTTTATTGTCAAGGGTTCTGTATTGCATTTATTGTAAAGGGGTCTGTATCCTGTATATATTCTAGGGTTCTGTATTGTTTATATTCTAGGGTTCTCTGTTCTGTTTATAGTCAAGGGTTCTGTATCCTGTTTATAGTCTAAGGGCCTGTATTGTGTTTATATTCTAGGGCTCTGTATTGTGTTTATAGTCAAAGGCTCTGTAAAGTGTGAATAGTCAAGGGTTCTGTTTTGCGTTTATAGTAAAGGGCTCTATATCCTGTTTATATTTTAGGGCTCTATATCCTGTTTAAAGTCTAGGGCTCTATATCATGTTTATAGTCAAGGGTTCTGTATTGTGTTTTTATTCTAGGGCTCTATATCCTGTTTATATTCTAGGGCTCTATATCCTGTTTATAGTCAAGGGTTCTGTATCATGTTTATAGTCTAGGGCTCTATATCATGTTTATAGTCAAGGGTTCTGTATTATGTTTTTATTCTAGGGCTCTATATCCTGTTTATAGTCAAGGGTTCTGTATTATGTTTTTATTCTAGGGCTCTATATCATGTTTATAGTCTAGGGCTCTATATCATGTTTATAGTCAAGGGTTCTGTATTATGTTTTTATTCTAGGACGCTATATCCTATTTATAGTCAAGGGTTCTTTATTGTGTTTATAGTCTAGGGCGCTATATCCTATTTATAGTCAAGGGTTCTGTATTGTGTTTATATTCTAGGGCTCTATATCCTGTTTATAGTCTAGGGCGCTATATCCTATTTATAGTCAAGGGTTCTGTATTGTGTTTATATTCTAGGGCTCTATATCCTATTTATAGTCAAGGGTTCTGTATTGTGTTTATATTCTAGGGTTGTATTTCCTGCATTACAGCTATAATATTCTGTCTGTGTTATAGGTTCGATGATACACTATTACTAGAGTTCGGGGAATGCTATGTAATATTCTGTCTTGCGTATTCTAGGGTCGTGTAGTGATGTAGGTTGATGGCCGTAATGCACAAGTATATCTGGACTGTCCTTTTTGTAGAGTGATGGTGAAGATGAAGAACCTTCTTAATGGCAACACCTGGCTGTGGGAACGAGGCAAGTTCATGAACAGGCGCTACCTCATACAGGTAATAATAGGAACATCGTTAGTAGGCACTATCTTGCACAGGTAATAATTTGAACACTGCTGAAAGGTGCCATGGTTTTACTAGTATACTATTCTTTCAAATACCCTACCTCTATTACATCATAGCCATAAATTCCCTGTTTAGGCTGTCATCACGCCAGAAAATCTTTAAATTTTCAACAGACTTTTTCTTCTATGCCAACTACCTTATAATTAGTTTTGAGGCAAATGCTATCCTCAGGCTAATGCAACTTTATATGTTTGTATATTTGATTCCAGACTGTTTTTAGGGAGCTCTGCCAATTCAATAAACAAAATAAATTAGTCAAGAAAAGTAAATTGATATGGATTTATTATTATGTCTTATTGATTTGACCTAATAAAGTCTGTGTATTCCCAGGAAATGTATCAACGCTATTTGGACGGAGAGGACGTTTCACACATCAAGAAGGAAGATGACCCGTTCTGGGAGCCAACGGAGGATGTGCTGATTGGTACTGCCAACGTGTTTCTTCAGTCACTGGCTTTCGGGCTAGACTTTGACGACAAGGTTGTCATCACGGATTACAAGGCGCAAGAGGAAGGATTTCTGTTTGTGAATGTCACACCGTGTACTCAATCCGGCAAACCTTTTGATGAGGAATACTTTGTGGAAAGCCCAAACGAGCTGCTGCAGAAACCGTATCACTTCAAGGTGGGCTGTGAACTAGCTCTGTAGCCTCCATTCTTTAACTTCTTTTGAGTTGTATATTTAGGTCACCTGTTATGTTAGGTCTTCCAGCCTTTGGGTATCACTCAATGACTTCCTTTAATGTCACGTTCATGTATTTTGAGTTTCTTTATGTCTAGAAGCTGCTCTTCAACTGATAGTGACAGAGTTGTTAGGTACAACTGATGATTTTTGTGATTTATTTCCACTCAGGTAACGATACAGAGTGCGGACATCAACAAGCCACGTTTCTCGAAAGGTGTCCGCATCAAGTACAAAGACTACAAGGGGGAGTTTGTGGAGACGCCGATGATCAGCGGTAGCCTGCAGCCAGAGTTTAAGCACTCCAAGATCATCTCCTTCAGCGAGGTCACCCAGGAACACCTCACCTTCTTCGAGAAAGGCAACATCGCGTTCCTGGTGTATGGCGTTCAGGAGGACACCGTGCATGACCGCCGGCTGCTGAAGCTGTCCACAAGGGTGAGTCTTTCTATCAAAACTGTCTCTGTGATGTAGCGAACAGATTGTCTGACCAGGGAGCGGAAGGTTGGTGGTTCGTTCCCTAGCATCTAAAAGACGTTAGAAGATGGAACTTGTTGTTATTCTGCTAGGTATCCACGTTAAACTTTCTTTCTCAAACTTATCCACAAGGATAAGTCTTTCTATTGAAACTGCCTCCATGGTGTAGTGAATAAATTGTCTGCCAGAAGAGTTGAAGGTTGGTAGTTATTTCCCTAGCAGCCAAAAGATGGTAAAAGATGGTACTTGTTACACTGCCAGGCTCACGGAATCGAGGAGACAAAACAAGGACTGGTCAGCTCAAAGTCTGAGTATGATATGTATGAGTGGGTTTCCATGTTGATCTGTGACAAGGTATCTCAGTGGGCTAGCACTATGAAATCGGCATGAGTCAGGACTAGTACAGAGTCCCCTAGTTATACCAGGATCCAATGGTCTCAACACTATTCTTGTTCTATCGGAAATATGTTACCACTTCAATACCACTACAATTATGTGAAAGTTATTTCTTCTTTTTATCCTGTTTCTTTTTTGTACCAGGAACTCCGTCAGATGGAGCAAATGGGCAATATGGCAGATAACGGGCGCCGAGGCACCATATTTGGCAACGATGCTGCAGTGTCTGAACAGTCCCATCTGAAGACCGAGATCGTACTTCTTCAGAGGAAATACGAGAGGCTGGCACAGAAGGAGAAACGGATGCAGGTCAGTGGAGAACCAACTCTCTCATACATCTGTGGATAAGTGTGAGTGAGTGAGTGAGGTTTTATGCTGCTTTTAGAATATTCCATCAATAACATGGTGGGGAAAACCAGAAGTGGGTTTCACACATTGTGCCCATGATGGGAATCGAACCCAGACCTTTGGTTTGAGGAAGGAACACTTAAACCACTAGGCTACCCCACGGGAATAGTATAAAACAAATTGCCTTTGTCAGTAATGGATGCTTCTATATTTCCTATGTACTTCAGGATGGGCCTGATAAGAAAACAAACAAGCCAATGTCTCATGAGCCAGGGGGAAGTGGGTTGGCCCACTGGTTTAAGTGTTTTCTCCCAATGCCGAGGTTTGATTCCCTACATGTGTGAAACCCATTACTGGTATCTCCTGCCATGATATTGCTGAAATATTGCCAACAGTACAATAAAACCATCTTCATGCCAGATTTAGAGAATTTATGAGTTTTTATAAAAACTGAACATTAATCCCGGGATATTGTGGTCTAAGGTGACCTGATTCATTGTGCAAAGTTTTGTCACTTATGTGAACCAGGATCTGCTGATCGAGGTCCAAATCTCAGATTGGCTCCAGTTATGATTCTTGGTCTGAACGTGTGTATCACTGAAGTAGACAGCCTGCCTGACTTTGGGCTTTCAGACACATCCTCAAATAGTGTTCAAGCAGCATTGAACCCAACACATTCTTTGACTGGGTTTCTTTGAGTAGATGTAGGTGTTCTTGTAGGTTGCGATTGGATGACACGTAGCATGGCGCCCATTGGTTCTCAGCATTGAATGCAAGTTAAATAGCAGACTACATGATTTTATTTTGTGAAGTAAAATCGTTCTATCAAAACACAAACATCAGCAGAAAAACTTGTAACTTTTATCGCGAAAAAATCTTTTGAGGTACATGTATAGACATTGGGGCTGGGACGAGTCCAAATTTATTACCTGGGTAACCGACCCCCTATTACCCGACCCTACCAAGGTACCCACTGTAGGTCTCAAGAGTTGGGAACAAAATGTCTGTTTGGGAATTGTTTTACCGCAGCCCTGGCAAAAACTGTTTAGGTACATGTATCCAACGATCTGGTCATGCATTCACTGAAGTTGACTGAAGCTTTATCTTTACTCAAACATATACAAGTCAAAAGGAATGTGTGCATCATCAGAAAGAAATGCGAACATTATTGACTTGAAGTGTAACCACTGAGCTATAGTGAGTTTTTATCATTAAATAATATATTACATGACTAACCACAGGTCCGGGTAGTCCAGTGGGTACCCGGGTCAAACTCAGGACTGACCCGACCCGAGTATATGTATAATGATTATTATGTTTGTTTAAGGACGCTATGCATACACATCTACAAGCAGATATGGGACAGATTTATGCCCCATCTGTTGGCTTAAAGCGCTAAAATTACTGCACGGACCAACAGAGGAATCAGTTGAACACACTCTTTATCTGTCAACTTTTTGTTTTCGGTCAACAGCAACTATGTGACGAATGGTCCAAGAAACAACCAGACCAACAACAGTTTGAGCCATTCTTACGTTCAGTGTCGGCTGTTGCCAACAGTTCAGGGACAAGACTCAAGACTCGTGTACAGCTACTCAACCAGGTGGGTACACAGGAAGGGAGGCAACTCTGTGTCTACTGTTGAAAGCCATCCAAATTTTATGCTGGATAATTTAGAGAATTTGATGATTGCCACTCTCAAAACTTGACAGAGAAAGGGGAATACAAAGAAAAGATTAGAGATTGGCAATAGCGGTAGGGAGATACCTTATAGAGAGCTTATGATAGACAGTTAATGTGGGACACATAGTCTATGCCAGGTTTTCTGGTTATAACAAAATTAAAAAATGAAAGCACTTTTATCATTATTATCTGCAGCTTATGTCCATTATATTAATCAGGCTTTAATCATCTGAATCTGTCTGTCATCGACCTCGTACTCTCCCTGTTAAAATATCAGTAGTATGTGTGTAATTTTCAGGATATAAATTTGTTTTCATCATCATGATGATAGGGACCAAGAATGACCAAGAAATTGGGAGGATTATCTTTTTGGACACATTCTGGGTTGGACAATGTTCAGAATTGGATTATACCTGTGATTACTCTGTTAATATTACACGTGTAGTGTTTATAGTTTCTAATTTCATTCACAGCATGTGTGATGAGAAGAGTGATACAGCTATAGTTGGTTGGCCTGACATTTTTTTTAATGGTTTATGGATCCGCCAACATTTATCATATATAATTCAGAAAAGCAATAAAATCAGAATGACAAGGTTTTTTATGTACAACCAACGGTAAAGTTACTGTGACAAAAGAAATGATAATGAAATGCCTCTGTCCGATTTTAGATTCATAATATTTATAAGGACCCTAACCTGAGGCCAAGATTTACAGCAATGTTTATCACATACCGATCTGAAACTTCAGATGATTAAAAAAATGTGTACTATGTGTATTTATTTAAAAAGACATCAATATCAAAGTCTGTAAACCAAATGAAAAAGAATGTTCGGCCATAAAACACTATTTCATAAGACAGACATTCATATCTTTCATAACGTAACAATTAACTTTTAAAAGTCTCAGTAGAGCTTATATCTATTTGGTTTTGTTAAAGATTGTTTAGAATTCAGAATATTATGCATTAATTGACTTGTGTATTCACTATACAATTGTTCTCCCAAACTAATGTAGACCCGTGAAGATTCCGGGGTAGAATAGGCCTTCAGTAACCCATGCTTGCCGTAAAAGGTGACTATGCTTGTCGTAAAAGGCGACTAACGGGATCGGGTGGTCAGGCTCGCTGACTTGGTTGATGCATGTCATCGATCCCAATTGCGTGGATCGATGCTCATGATATTAATCACTGGATTGTCTTGTCCAGACTCGATTATTTACAGACCGCCGTCATATAGCTGGAATATTGCTGAGTGCGGCGTTAAACAACAAACCAACCAACCCAAACTAATGTAGAATTATTTTGAAATATTGTTACTTGAAATGATAATATTTGATTGAATAATCCATCTTTGTTGACTAAATACAAGCTCTATTTCAGCATTGTTTTCAGATGTGGATAATATTGCTTGCAATGAATGATCGTGTATATACATAGAAGATAGCATGTATATATATATATTGGCTTGTGTCACCATTATGCTTGACGTCATTGTGAGTTGTCTCCCCTTACAGCTGCTTCAGTTACATAAGAGAACTTCACAAGGCTCATTAAGTCCACGAAACAATGTAACTATTTTTCAAATCAGTACATAACAAACACCTAGTCTTCTGTAGAGCATTTAACCCTTGAGTAGACAACAAACTACTAAACTCACTTGTGAGTGTGTCAAGCGTGATATGTCTTTGCACTCTGTAACTAAAACATGTTTCCTGCCAACTAGCAATATACTAGGAAGCTTTTGATAGTTAGCTGAAGTTTTCATAACTTGTAGCATTGACTATTTTGAGTGGATGAGTCGGAAAAATAAAATCGACACCAAGCTGAACGAGAATACGCAAAAAACAAACAGGGACAGATTATTTACCTTTTTTTCTTCACTTGAATTTTAAATTTAATTCTTGACTCTCAGTTTAATGAAATTATGATCAATGAGCATGTAAAAGCCAATTTGTTAAAACAGTCAACTACGGTTATAGCGAACTCAAAGGGACTGCTAATTTTAGTTCGTTATAACCGTAGTTCGTTATAAGCATATATACAGCATATATAATACGCAAATTGTCGGGACCAAAAAAGTAAGTTCGTTATATCCGTCAGTTCGTTATAAGAGTGTTTGTTATAACCGTAGTTTGTTATAAGCATATATACAGCATATATAATACGCAATTTGTCGGGACCAAAAAAGTAAGTTCATTATATCCGTCAGTTCGTTATAAGCGTGTTCGTTATAACCGTAGTTTACTGTATTTCTAAACAAATCAAGAAGGTTATCCAAGCAATAAAAACGGGTGGGTCTCATAGTTATAAAAGTTTAACCCTGTGATGTGCTGTTGTGGACGCAACAATACACATCACTGTAAGTTGAGGGCCATTGTGCTAAAAGATTAAATAGAGTTATAGCAATTATTTTTCTGAATTGTCCTCAAGGAGTTTGAATCTATATTTTCATTTTGATTGTAAATTTAATCAAAATTTATTCATAGTGTTGGTAAATTGTATAATATATAGAAAAACGTATTGTTCTTCTTTAAAGTCAGGGCGGTCGGGTAGCCTAGTGGTTAAAGCGTTCGCTCGTCACGCCGAAGACCCGGGTTCGAATCCCGACATGGGTACAATGTGTGAAGCCCATTTCTGGTGTCCCCCGCCGTGATATTGCTGGAATATTGCTAAAAGCGGCGTAAAACCAAACTCACTCACTCTTTAAAATCTTTTGAAGTTTTTTTAATTAATGTTAGTTTGGAGTGAGAATTGTTTTAACCCAACTCCTGCATAATCAGAGTAAACAAACAACAGAAAACTCCAACGCATGTGACTAAATCCACAATTCATTTCAGGTGCTTCAAGCTCAGAAATTTGTGCGCGAAAAACATAAACTACACCAAAATGGAGAAGTAAGACTGGCCCCTTTGCATGAAGGCAGTTGTTTACTTTGTCATATGCTTACGCTTGAACCATGTTTAACCCTTGCTGACTGCTTTAACCCCTGCATTAATGGTCAGGTCTTCAAACCAGGCGAACCCACTACATCAAATTGAATTGAATGCTGTTTGAATTTCTATATTAATTATGTTAATATAGATATATTTTGTATATTTTTCACTCTCTGTAAAATTCAATCACTGTGTCTTTGTTTTGATAAACTAGTAGGAGGAATATGGATTGGCTTACAGTCATAATTTATTTTGATGTCAAGTTTGGGTTATCTTGGTTGGAAGACTTTTATTTGCATGGAGTGAATGGTGCTCTTATTTCTCTTAAATAATTTTGATAGAATAATCTGGCAGATATATGCAAAGTTGTTTTTATAAGAAAGTGGGGAAAATGTGTGGTAAATGGTGTTTTTGATCATAGTCAATACTGCCAGTTTGTTCTTAAGGTAGGTATATGTGTGTTTCCATGACTGGTTACCATGGATATTATTGTTTGTTTGCATGGAAACACGGTGAAAGTGATTTTGTAATGTATGCATATGTTATTGGCGCTTTGTCTAGACAAGAAAGATTCTCAGTTGGACTAAATGAACCATCAAAAAACTGTTTATCATTAGGACCAATTGTTGTGTCAGTTCATGCATCGAAAATGATAATCGAAACACAGTTCAATTCAACTAAGGATGATTCTTGTCTAGAAATGTTTTTTTCAACAGGGCATGAATTATTGACAACATGGGGATCAGGTGTTTTTTTGTCAAGGAGCATGTATAGGTTCTATGAGAGTTACCCCCCTTGCAAAGATTTATCTCCCTTTGCTCTTACCAGGTTTCAGAAGAGAAAGATGACGATATAATTAGCTTGTATGTATTTGGTGAAGAGGAATCAGCTTTAGCAGAAGAGGCTGATCAGAATGCGGGGCTCATCGAATACAATAAAGTGGCCAAACACCATTTTGAATATGATAAACCTGCAATGCCCAGACAGAATGTAAGCCACTTATCTGAGACATATTGTCTCCCACCCTCACGTCCGGACCTCTGCACAAGTCTCCTCAGTTTTTTTGAACCTGTTGATTTTGTTCAACCTCATGCCAGCGGATTTCTTAGTTTATTTTGCCGGCACCTTTGTTTTGCTTGTTCATCAGAATTTTCTCCTCCACATTTGTTTCATTTTGTCCACGTCCATCCCCTTGCATCGTTATTCATAGTTTTGTTGTCACTGATTGGATGTTTGTGTTTTGTTATTGCTGCTCTTGGCCTCATATTGGATAAAGGATGACATTTAAAATGACCTTGACATTGACCTCTCCAACACGTCTTAATGTCTCTGCAAACACATCTAACATCAGAACATACAGCTTAGAATCAGGAATGAAAGGGTATCATTCCCCTCAACCATTTTCCTTAGAGATGGAGAACGAGGTTCGGCATGGATATAATGTTCAGGGTCGTGAATTGTAGAATCGCCCTGATTATCATTAAAATCCTCCTTGATATGAGTTGGCTGAGGCACCAGTGGTGTGCATCATTACTCGTATATCCTGTCACTGGTTTGCCTGATCCAGACTTGATTGCTTACAACTACCCTGATACATAATGGAATATTAAGGACTCGCTCGCTCACTCACTCACTCACTTCTTTCACAGCTGGGGCTGTGGATTAGCCCAGTGGGTAAAGTGTTACCTCCTCATGCCGAAGATCTCATGTTTGATTCCCCACATGGGTACAATCTGTGAAGCTCATTTCTGGTGTCCATCGCTGTGATATTGCTTGAATATTGCTAAAAGCGGTGTAAGACCATACTCACTCACTCACTCACTCTTTCACATATAAAAGCAAGGCAATATGTCTATGAAATATTCAGCGACCTTGAACCCGTAGGTTGATGTCATCCAAGTTTTGATGATGTTAGGTTCGATTTCCATGAACTCAGGAAAGGCAGGGGTCACTCCTATTTTCACAGTCGTGTGTCAGCGTCTGTGCCAGACACACTAAAGTATATTGGTCTCAACCAATATTTACTCTCAGACAGGCCCCGAGGAAAGATTACTTGAATTGGCTTTCTGACTTGTAAATATCCAGACTGCCAACAGACAGGTATAGTTTCACCTTCCTCAAGGTATCAGCTGAGAGTGTGAAAGTCCATATCAATCGTAGGGGGCGCTAACAGATTTATACCACGTCAGCCATCAACACAATGCGCTGTACATCTCAATCATATCAGCCGACGTCTTTGGCCACATGAAGTGACCTTGGATTTTGAAAAAGTCCCCTTTACACTATAAACTGTAAGACACACAAAATAATCCTTCTTTTGGTATAAATATTGAGATTGAATGCTTGGCCTGATAAGTATTTATGCTTATGTTGATCTCATATTTTTTTTTTTTATTCTTTTCATTGTTTCATTTAGCTTTATGCACATTATGTTTTCATGTTGTAAAACATTTATAGAATAATTGTAGATGTTTTTTAATTAAGGATATCCTGAAATAGATATATGCATGTAGAATATAGGCTTTGATGTGTATATATTTGCACTTATGTGAGATGTGGCATGTTCATGATAACAGTAGCACAGCGAAAGGCTTGTTATTCTTATGAGGTTTGTAAAAGAAACCACAATGTTTTGTCTGATATACCTTTTGGAACTCTGTTACTGTTTGTGAAACTTGTTATTTCAATACAAATATGATATGATAAGATAAAAAAGTACTGAAATCCATGCAACATAATTGGGGGAACAGTGATGTCTATGGAAGCCTTTTAGGGACATTTTTTTTTTTTTTTTTTACTTGAAATTTCAAGATACTAACTTTCAAGATGTCATGTTGAAATTTCAAGGTAATAAGATGAAATTTCAACTTAGTATCTTGAAATTTCAACTTAGTATCTTGAAATTTCATTGTAACATGTTATTTTGAAGTAATATACATTCTAAGTACAAATATTCTGACAATGTCTGAAGTCAAAAAGGATAGTTTTGTGCATTATCTCTTAGGTGTTAAATAACCTAATATAGGTGAGCTTCTGTACCTTCTACGTTTACCTGAGGGGTGTGTGAGGTGACAGGTAGATCGTGTTTCCCTTGTCACAACCAAAGAAACAATGTACATGTCCACTCCTTACGTCAGTAACAGGATGTTTAAATTATAAATTTTATAACTGAAATTATGCCACTGTGTTAATGTCTTTTAGATTATGTCAAATGATTTTCTTTTCCAATTGTTTTCATTGATCTAAAAATATACTAATATATTAGATTATATATTTCACCACTGAAATTGATTACTCAATCAAAGGATAGTTTACATTTTTTTACATTTTTTTTATAATAATCAAACATTCTGAGATTGCAACATTCATTTTCCTGTTTCTCTGACAGACGTTTATTAAGTCCCGGAGTTTCGACAGCGATTCATTAGGATCAGTAGACCTAGAACCCTTCATGAAAACCCCTAGCGATCGTGAAAATAATAACAAGCCTCGCAATCGAAATAAGAATGGACTGAACGCATCTCAGCGACAGCCAAGAGCAAGGAGCATGGGAGACGTGAGTTGATTGGTTGAAATATGTCCCCAGACGGACATCAACCTGATCTTCACTAGTGTCTTCCCGTTTGTGTTGCCTTTGACTAGATTCAGCTTCAAGATGCACATGCTTCTAGATCCGTGTTTAATGTCTTCTCTTCCGTTTCTAGAAAATATTTTGGATGTTTAAATTTTTTTACTTTTTCTGCGCCTTCCTTTTCCAGTTCCCAACTTCCTTTTTGGTTTGACCTTCACCTTTCTCTAAGTTCCGAGGTCCTTTCTAGGATATATAATACCGATGATTGGTCATGTGTCTGTGATGATATCCCAGTATATCCAACAATCCCATTGGCTGTTGTCTGACAGATATGTCAGTGTATATCCTGTATATCAACCCGAATCCTGTATGATGAATATATAGACTCCAAGATCAATTGTTCCCGTCATAGATGAAGCAGTAGATATCCCCTACCTTTGTGTAGCGTTACGTATTTGAGTCCGATGAAGAGATTTCGTATTTATGTAGTTCTTTAAGCAGCTTTGTATCCTTTACCAGTAGACAAGTTATTTAATAATGTAGTTAATTAATCTGCTTTCAATTCATAGGGATGACTAAATGTGCTGCAGGAATCTATTACGATAACCACAGATTATCAGGCCCTGTTTCACAAAGCAGTCGTAGTTCTATGTCTGTCATAGCACCCATGATTTAACATAGACTTAAAGCTCCAATCCCTGCCACAAACGGAATGTAAGTGCTATGAAAGTCATAAGCCTTTGTGAACATATGTTACAGTAGTCATGCTGCTGAGACGACTTTGTGGAACAGTGCAGTGGGAACACTCAACAAAAGTGTTAAAGTATGGGAGTTACGAAGATCTGAGTGTTAAGATCATTTAGAGGAATTGTCATGGATTCTGTTTCATGTAGTGATCATAGAGGCATGAGAGACCAACTTCTGTAACATTATGACTTAAGATAAGTATAGCGCTAAGAACAGTTTGTGAGATGGGCCTTGTATGTCGATTTAACATTCACCTTTAAGGGGGGCTTCTAGGGATTCCAGGGCAGATAGGTCTCATAAAAATATCCATATTTCGTTGTATCTTGTAGGATTCTTAGTTCCTGGTATCACATGTCAGAAGGTGGATGTATATGTGATATCCTGGATTCCTGGTATCACATGTCAGTAGGCGGATGTATATGTGATATCCTGGATTCCTGGTATCACATGTCAGAAGGTGGATGTATATGTGATATCCTGGATTCCTGGTATCACATGTCAGTAGGCGGATGTATATGTGATATCCTAGATTCCTGGTATCACATGTCAGAAGGCGGATGTATATGTGATATCCTGGATTCCTGGTATCACATGTCAGAAGGTGGATGTTTATGTGATATCCTGGATTCCTGGTATCACATGTCAGAAGGCGGATGTATATGTGATATCCTAGATTCCTGGTATCACACGTCAGTAGGCAGATGTATCTGTGATATCCTGGATTCCTGGTATCACATGTCAGAAGGTGGATGTATATGTGATATCTTGGATTCCTACTATCACATGTAAGAAGGTTGATGTATCTATGATATCCTGGATTCCTACTATCACATGTCAGAAGGTTGATGTATCTGTGATATCCTGGATTCCTACTATCATATGTCAGTAGGCGGATGTATCTGTGATATCCTGGATTCCTGGTATCACATGTCAGTAGGCGGATGTATATGTGATATCCTGGATTCCTGGTATCATATGTCAGTAGGCGGATGTATCTGTGATATCCTGGATTCCTGGTATCATATGTCAGTAGGCGGATGTTTCTGTGATAACCTGGATTCCTGGTATCACATGTCAGAAGGCGGATGTATCTGTGATATCCTGGATTCCTGGTATCACATGTCAGTAGGTGGATGTATCTGTGATATCCTGGATTCCTGGTATCACATGTCAGTAGGTGGATGTATATATATGTGATATCCTGGATTCCTGGTATCACATGTGAGAAGGTGCATGTATATGTGATATCCTGGATTCCTGGTAACACATGTCAGTAGGCAGATGTATATGTGATATCCTGGATTCCTGGTATCACATGTCAGAAGGCAGATGTATATGTGATATCCTAGATTCCTGGTATCACCGACAGTAGGCAGATGTATATGTGATGTCCTGGATTCTTGGTTTCACATGTCAGTAGGCCGATGTATCTGTGATATCCTGGATTCCTGGTATCACATGTCAGTAGGCAGATGTATATGTGATATCCTGGATTCCTGGTATCACATGTCAGTAGGCGGATGTATATGTGATATCCTGGATTCCTGGTATCACATGTCAGAAGGCGGATGTATATGTGATATCCTAGATTCCTGGTATCACATGTCAGTAGGTGGATGTATATGTGATATCCTGGATCCCTGGTATCACATGCCAGTAGGATGTATATGCAATATCCTGGATTCCTGGCATCATAAACACACTGTATCATGTGGTATTAACATATTGATAGCAGTTTATATGTTTGATTCCTGATGTCTGTAGATCCTAATGTGTCATGTGTCATTAAATCTGATATTAAGTGATATCCTTGATTCCTGAGCTCCCTGAATAGTTTGTTTTCCATAGATCTGGTATCACATGATATCCTTAATACCCAATACCACTATATCCCTTAATTGTGGGGTATTCATAGATCTGGTACCACATGATATCCTTGATACCCAATACCACTAGCTCCCTGAATTGTGGGGTATTCATAGATCTGATATCACATGATATCCTTAATACCCAATACCACTAGCTCCCTGAATAGTTTGTTTTCCATAGATCTGGTACCACATGATATCCTTGATACCCAATACCACTAAATCCCTTAATTGTGGGGTATTCATAGATCTGGTACCACATGATATCCTTGATACCCAATACCACTAGCTCCCTGAATTGTGGGGTATTCATAGATCTGATATCACATGATATCCTTAATACCCAATACCACTAGCTCCCTGAATAGTTTGTTTTCCATAGATCTGGTACCACATGATATCCTTGATACCCAATACCACTAGCTCCCTGAATTGTGGGGTATTCATAGATCTGATATCACATGATATCCTTGATACCCAAAACCACTAGCTCCCTGAATTGTGGGGTATTCATAGATCTGATATCACATGATATCTTTGATGCCCAATATTACTAGCGTGTTGAAATGTCGGGTATTCATAGATCTTGTACCACATGGTATCCTAGATTCCCAATACCACTAGCTCCCTGAATTGTGGGGTATTCATAGATCTGATATCACATGATATCCTTGATACCCAATACCAATAGCTCCGTGAATTGAGGGGTATTTATAGATCTGGTATCATATGATATCCTTGATACCCAAAACCACTAGCTCCCTGAATTGTGGGGTATTCATAGATCTGATATCACATGATATCCTTGATACCCAATACCACTAGCTCCCTGAATTGTTGGTATTCATAGGTCTGATATCACATGATATCCTTGATACCCAAAACCACTAGCTCCCTGAATTTTGGGGTATTCATAGATCTGATATCACATGATATCCTTGATACCCAATACCACTAGCTCTGTGAATTGTGGGGTATTCATAGATCTGGTATCATATGATATTCTTGATACCCAATACCACTAGCTCCCTGAATTGTGGGTTATCATAGATCTGATATCACATGATATCCTTGATACCCAATACCAATAGCTCCGTGAATTGAGGGGTATTCATAGATCTGGTATCATATGATATCCTTGATACCCAAAACCACTAGCTACCTGAATTGTGGGGTATTCATAGTTCTGATATCACAGGATATCCTTGATACCGTAGACCACTATCTCCATGAATTGTAGGGTATTCATAGATTTGGTACTACATGATATCCTTGATACCCAATACCACTAGCGTGTTGAATTGAGGGGTATTCATAGATCTGGTACCACACGACATCCTAGATTCCCAATACCACTAGCGTGTTGAATTGAGGGGTATTCATAGATCTGGTACCACACGATATCCTTGATACCCAATACCACTAGGGTGTTGAATTGAGGGGTATTCATAGATCTGGTATCACATGATATCCTTGACACCCAATACCACTAGCTCCCTGAATTGTGGGGTATTCATAGTTCTGATATCACATGATATCCTTGATACTGTATACCACTATCTTCATGAATTGTAGGGTATTCATAGATTTGGTACTACATGATATCCTTGATACCCAATACCACTAGCGTGTTGAATTGAGGGGTATTCATAGATCTGGTACCACACGATATCCTTGATACCCAATACCACTAGCGTGTTGAATTGAGGGGTATTCATAGATCTGGTATCACATGATATCCTAGATTCCCAAAGCAGTAAATCCCAATGTGACATGTGACATTTACCTTGTTGGGCTTGCAGGGCGGAAGAGGCCCCCAGAACCACACTGTGGCAAGAGCCGCAGTATTTACCTTGTCTACAAGACTTGGAAAGGCTATTTTCATTTCTTTTAAGAAACTATGGGTTCCCCATGCTACTTGATAAGTTTGTCTCTCACTGTTTCAAACAGATGTGGAATGATGGTATAATCCTGTCACCAGGACAGTCTTTGGATTATTGGACAGAGAGGTCCATGTAGTCAGCTTAAGAGGACCAAGTTGGGATCTTCTCAGTAGGGATCGTTGTGTGGATGAATGGTCACACTGTCCACCATTGTTTGATGGTGAAGGGTATCATTGTATCGATACATAAGATAGCTACGCGATAAATAACAAAGAACAAGGAAGAATGAAGCGTGGTTTGTTTCATGATAAAACATTGTTCTATCATGACGTCATTTATAGAGATTTCAATATACACTCGAAACTTGATGACGTCATATATTGGACATTATTTTTGAGAGGGAAATATCTAGTAAGTTGTTCCCCATAGATGTAACTGGGTTACGCAAATAAATGCAGTGGCTGAATGATCGCATTCAAAAGTGGGAGAGATATGACAATCGGTATTAGGAGAAAAGGTGAAGGTAACGTGAGGACTGTGAGAATATGTGAAGTGGACTTGTCAGACATTTCCGAGATCAGATTCTATTCAGGAAGTCATCATTACTAAAATTGGGGTAATATTTTTAAAGCTGGTACATTTTATCAGCATCCTTAAAGAGGCTGCACATAATGTTGATATCTCATGTAAGACTTAAATGAATTGTAGTCGTTGTTTATCTTACAATAATACACTACAGGGAAAATAAACAACTCCCACTTGTCATTATTTCTTAAGTAAATGCTGATTGTGGCATTATATATTTCACCCACTCACTCACTCACTCACTCACTCCGTCAGAGATCTAGAAGAGGGAGTCATGTGGTTTACTTAGTGTCAGAAGTGAAGCATGGGGTGAGATGAGGTGAAATGGGGTTTAACGTCGCGTCCAAGATTATTGCACTTATATAGCGACGTGTGTGTGTGTGTGTGGGTGTGTGTGTGTGTGTGGGTGGGTGGATGTGGGTATGTGTGTGTGTGGCTACTTGTACTAATCTGGACTAATGCCGATTTATAGTGCTAGCTCACTGAGATACCATGCCGCAGTTTAACATGAATACCCCACTCAGACACAGTATACTGACTGTGAGCCGACCAGTCCTTGTTTTAGCCCCTTTATGCCGAGCGCCAGACAGGGTAACAACAAGTACCATCTTTTAACGTCTTTTGGTATGACGCGGCCGGGGATCAAACCCCGAACCTTTCGCTCTCTGGGCAGATGCTCTACCACTAGACCACAAAGGCGGTCTGAAGCACGAGGACTTTCACCAGCACCAAGACTGAACTGTGCTTCTTCTCAGAGATGTAAGATGACTTTAGTGTTCTTACATTAGGTCGGTTCTTGGCGCTTCTTCCAGCAGATGTTCCTTTAGATCATGGTGGATCATTTGTATTGGTCGTTATGATTTTTGAAGATTTCCTTTGTATGTTTTCTATGGCATCTAAGAACTCCTCTTCCAACTGTTTTGAGTTCAAGACGAACATAGTGGCTGTCAGTTGTTAAAATAGACCATCAGACACTGTTAATGTCCCTGTTGTTGTCTGTCACCATTATTGTTCCATTGCTGTGAGAGAGACATCTTAACTAAACTTGGCACTTAGATAGGTCGAGTGGTGAACTGATTTGGGATTTTAAAATAAATTATTTTTCAAGTTTCCTTTGCGACAACTTTGACTTAGATTGAAAATGTCAGTAGTGCTCCTTTTCAGAGCAGATCTTAAACAGTACAATATTTCTTCACCAAACTTGGCACATTGATAGGTCAAGTGATAAACTGGTGCCTTTTGATAGTTTGGGATTTAAAAAAAATTAATTATTTTCTAGTTTCCATAGCAACCGCACATGTCATATTGGCAGGGGATATGAATATTTCATGCTTGTTGTTCTATTAGTGTGTGTTACATTTATTGTTCCATTGCTGTGTCGACATGCATGTTCTTGTGTCCATTGGTGTGTGACACCATTATTGTTCAAATCCTTGATTCCTGATATCACTAGCTCCCTGAATAGTTTGGTTCCCATGGGTTTGGTATCACATGATATCCTTGATTCTCGATGTCACTAGCTTTCTGAATAGTTTGGTATCCATCGTCTGGTAACACAATATATTTGTTTCCTGATATCAATATCTCCTTGAATAGTGTGGTATCCATTGATGTGATATCACATGATATCCTTGATTCTCGATGTCACTAGCTTTCTGAATAGTTTGGTATCCATCGTCTGGTAACACAATATATTTGTTTCCTGATATCAATATCTCCTTGAATAGTGTGGTATCCATTGATGTGATATCACATGATATCCTTGATTCTCGATGTCACTAGCTTTCTGAATAGTTTGGGTCGTCCATCGTCTGGTAACACAATATATTTGTTTCCTGATATCAATATCTCCTTGAATAGTGTGGTATCCATTGATGTGATATCACATGATATCCTTGATTCTCGATGTCACTAGCTTTCTAAATAGTTTGGTATCCATCGTCTGGTAACACAATATATTTGTTTCCTGATATCAATATCTCCTTGAATAGTGTGGTATCCATTGATGTGATCTCACATGATATCCTTGATTCTCGATGTCACTAGCTTTCTGAATAGTTTGGTATCCATCGTCTGGTAACACAATATATTTGTTTCCTGATATCAATATCTCCTTGAATAGTGTGGTATCTATTGGTGTGATATCACATGATATCCTTGATTCCTGATATCAGTAACTCCATGAATAGTGTGGTACCCTAGTTCTGATATCAACTGATATCTTTGATTCCTGGTATCCCAATCTCCATATTGTGTGCTATCCATAGTCGATGACTTTCATGATATCCCATGTTCCCGATATCATGGCATATCCTTTACTGGTTCAGTTCTCCCAAAGTCAGGTACTTGTTGCCTTGGTGATCTTCAGTTGGACTGAAAGCTTGTTACAGTTGCAGACATCATACTGAGCATCTGACTGAAAACTTTCAGCCATGTTGAATGTCAACAGGAATTCATCGTATGTTGACATGAATATATTTTTTATTATCTTTTTCACATTTTGACTGTTTTGGCTTCTGCTTACGTACTAACTTACAGACAAGAGCTGCATGGCATCGTCTCCACAGGAATACATATGCTACTCAAAAGAAGTTAAGGGCCAACAGATTTGTTCATATTACTTAAGTTAATCTGTCAAGAACCGCCGGATTCTTTCATATTACTATAGCTAATCTGTCATGGCAGACTAACTATAATAATATGAAAGAATCCGGCGGTCCTTAACTTCTTTTGAGGAGTATATTTCCACATCTGTGTGTTAGCCCTGTATGATGTGTAGGAGTTGGGTCGGGATTCTTTCGAGCGAGTGAGTGAGTTGGGGTTAACGCCGCTTTTAACAGTATTCCAGTTATATCACGGCATGTCAGCTTAATGTAAAAGGAAAGCCCGAAGTGATGCAGGTCTTAGGCGTTTACCACTTCGGTGAAACCCACAAGCACAGGTATGGTGCTGACAAACCTAGAAACATAATCGGGGCGAACCGGGATTCGAACCCCAAATCATAGGTTTCTGGCGTGTCCAAGGGACGCAACTCTGCACAGCGAATTGCGGTGCCTTAGACAACTGGGCCACCCGTGTCCCCGGATTCTTTTGAACGGACTACTTGTCATGACATAATAGGCAACACAGTATCTCAAGCATCTGTCAGCATATGAATGGAAATGTTAATTGTATGTGTGCGTGAATGCGTTTGCATGTGTGTGCGTGTGTGTGTGCGTGTGCGTGTGTGTGTGCATGCGCTCTTCTGTGTATGCGCAGATGTTAGAATAGATGATATAAAGAGGAGAATGTCATTTTTGAACATTTATACCATTCTTATGATTTTGAGTATTATTGAGAAGTGAGTCAAGCAAGTCTTTTAAAAACAAATTGTGGACAGTATGACCACATGGAAACAGTTTGAATGTAGAGCTGACGTGACTGTTACGACAAGATATAAAATGCTGAGTTTGCATATATATATATGTACCTAATGACCTGCACTGCACTTTAGCTTCATTGCAATGTTTTATTCTTTATGTTACCATGGTTACTGTGATAACAAATATAGAAAATAATCTATAGTTCAAGTAAACCTATTTCCTCATTTTAGTACTGAAATAAATACGGATCATTGTTAGCCTGGGTCCCATTACACAAAGCAGTCTTAGCACTATGACTATAGTAAGCCTATGTTAAAGTATGGGAGTTACGATCATCTTAGCGCTAAGATTGCTTAGTGGAACGTGGACCTTGTACCAAATACTGTTTATGATTACATATTTTAAAACAATATGTGTTGGAAAAGGTAATATGTTAATGGTTTGAATGCCCATATGGGTTTTCATGGAATTCAACACTTTGATCAAATCCGACTTTTGTAACTGAAGGTCAACACCATGATCCATCAAGGTCAAACTGAGGAAACATGTTTTTAGGAATACATGTTGTTTTATTCATTTTAGATGTTGTTCTTCCAACTTAGATGTGTTTTATATTTCATTAATACCTTTTTAAAAAATTCTAAAGAATTTATTCAAATTTATAAAATTTCATTTTTTAAGAACTTACCATTTTTGTAATCACGTCATATTAAGCATGTGCTGCATGCAATTTTCTGGATGTTTTGTTTAATCTGCAATGATTAATTTTTTTAAAAATAACAAAATCTTTATTGTTTTATTAGTCTGCAGCTCAGAATGGGGGACAAAATGGCCGTGTTACCAAGAGCAATGGAAAAGACAAAGAAGGGAGTTCTGCCTGTGTGATGCAGTGATACAGGATGGAAGATGGGGAGGCTGAGATGGTCGTGGCGATGCAGAGACGGAACATTCGGATGCAGTGATAGAGGATGGAAGATGGCGATGCAGTGATTGACAAAGTTTACTTCTGTGATATGATGTTGTTATTCATGATGTAACATGTAACAACGTTGTTATTATTTTTGGTATATGTAATCACAGGAGTCCGTATCTAAAAATAGACGCCCTCATGCATATTCATGACCATCTCCACACGCGAGCCCGAAGGGTCATGAATATGCATGAGGGCGTCTATTTTTAGATACGGACTCCTGTGATGTAATACCCTGTACACTGTTAGAATAATAAAATATGATGCATTGTTGTACATATTGATGCAAAGTTTGGGTCTTGTTACCATATCATGCACCTTTGTAGCTGACACACATTGTGCAACCCTTGTGCTACATTTGCGTCATAAGTTGGATGCATTAGCCACATGCATCATGGAGCTACTTGTGAATAGTGTCCTTGCAATACACAGTAAATTGTATACATACTTACAACTGGGCAGAAATATATCATGCACAATGTTGCTTTCTAACACAAGCTGCAGAAATTGTTTACTTCATGAAGCGAGGTTGTTAGAGGTTTGTCAGTGTGTATAACATGCAATACGATATATACTCAGACTGTTATTTTGTGAGCGTCTTCATGTGAAAGTGAAATCCCTTAACTGTTAGATGTGAACTTGTCCACACCAGTGAGGAGTCGATGATGGATTCTTGAGATTATGGCTCAAATCCCGATCCCAACCACAGTCTAAACCCCAATTCAACCCCAAACTTGACCCCAAAACCAATGTAACCCCAATCCCGATCCCATCACCAGCCCCAACCCATATTTAACCCGAATCTTGACCCCAACACCATTGTAACCTCAATCCCGATCCCAACACCAGCCCCAACCCATATTTAACCCCAACACCAATGGAACCCCAATCCTGATCCCAACGCCAGCCCCAACCCATATTTAACCCCGATCTCGACCCCAACCCAACCCCACCCTTATCCCCATCGAAATCTATATAAGCATCATCCCAGGCAGGATTGAATGTCGTGTATATATACTCACCGCCAAAAGAAACGCGAATACCATGGTTAATATATGAAGAATAATTAATATTCAAGAGATATTAGATTGGTTCGAGGCCTAGCAAACATGCTGATATGTTGTGTAGACTGACTGTCGCATGTGACGTCATCGATCCATGACTCTAGATGCACCGTTTGTCTCATGCAGGATTAGTGTGTAAAGTTTGGAAATCACATGCGGCATATCGTGATAAGAATATAGACAATGTGGTAACACTTGACTGATAGTTAGTTTTGTCAGTAATTGGTACACATTGGAAACATCTTTTCTAAACGTACAGGGGGCATGGGTGGCCCAGTCTTCTAAGGCGCCGCGATTCGCTGTACAGAGTTGCATCCCTTTGGCACGCCAGAAACTTATGATTGTGGGTTCGAATCCCGGTTCGCCCTGATTATGTTTCTAGGTTTGTCAGCACCATACCTGTGCTCGTGGGTTTCACCGAAGTGGTAAACGTCTGAGACCTGCATCACTTCGGGCTTTCCTCCCACATTAAGCTGACACGCCGCGATATAACTGGAATACTGTTAAAAGCGGCGTTATATCCAACTCACTCACTCACTCTTAATGTACATACTTCTCTATATGTGTCTATGGTCGTGTTTCTTTTGGGGGTGAGTATATTTCAATGTGTTGTTTGGAGATGCATTTAGCTGTAGTAAAGGCATCCTTCTTTCTGTAAACTGTAGGAACTGTAAGTACTGAAAATATATAGAATTATTCTTTAAACAATTATTTATAAGGAACTAACGCACTTTTTGCTAACCAATGTGAAATCAATCTTGCACAGTGCCCCTGTTGATCAACCTGCTGCTGTTTGTTCACTGCTGCGTAGGTGCCTTGTCATTGCATTTGTATTTTACTCTACAGAAATGATATGTTATTTACAAAAGCACATTTTGCTTTTGAAAACCAACTCCTGAAAACCAGACCCTGAAATGTATAAGACAGCAATATAATACAAAGATAGATGTGCATTTATTGTGTCCAAAACGAAACTTTGAGATGCAGTGTTTTAATCCTTCTATCATAATACATGTATATTTGTTTACTTGTTGATATTACCCTGTTGTCGTTGTAATCACATGGCCATGATGGTTACATCTTTCTTTGTAACGCCATCATGATAGCAAGTAGGGTCCTCTTGCTTCATAGATGAAGAATGTTGCATCTTGCTTCATAGAACAAATATGAATGCATTTTGCTTTTTTGAAATGAGGAATATTTCTCATGGGTGATTTTCTGATACTTACAATATCAAATATAAACTACTGACCTGTTTGAAGACTAGTAGTGTTGGTTTTTGTTCTACCCTTTGTGAAAAAGCAATAACAATTATACTTATACTTATACTGATTTTGGAGTTGTATTGTACTGCATTTATTAATATTGGAGTGAATTTGGCATTGTATTTCATCAAATATCCGTCCTCTATATTTCTTTTTATATAACTTTGATGTATACTTTAATCCAAATTTATTGAATCAAAAACATTTATTGTCATTTTTCTTGTTTGATACACGGCCTTTACATTTGTTTAGTTTCCACTTATTGTGATGTTTACAAAACAGTTATAATCCATGAAAATCCAGGGCCCACTTGCACAAAGCGATCTTAGCGCTAAGACTAACGTAAGCTTGTGTTAAAGTATGGGAGTTACCATCATCTTAGCACTAAGATCACCAAGCTTGTTGTAAGAGGCGACTAACAGGATCAGGTGGTCAGGCTTGTTGACTTGGTTGATGCATGTCATTTATCCCTATTGCATGGATCGATGCTCATGATGTCAATCACTGGATTGTCTGGTCCTGTCCTGGTTATTTACAGACCGCCGCCATATAGCTGGAATATTGCTGAGTGTGGCACACCTGTGTTTACACCTGTCACAGCTTTGTAATAAAGTGTGGTGTGATGTAGTAGAATTAACAGGGCAACTGATGGAAGTGTTCCAAGTTTTGAATCTGCATTTATACTTTAAAGAAATTGTCATGAAGACGTATACATTCAATAATGACATCACCCCATCTTGTTCATTCTAAACAACTGAAATACATTTTTGATGGGTTTTTTGTAGATGTTGAAATCCATGTTAATGACGTATGTACGTATGTCTATTGTATACTACAAGTCAAAAAGGTTGTCATAGCAACTCAGTCCCAATTCCCTCAAACTAGTCAAAATAACTGATTTTAACCCAGTATTTAATTATATATACATATGCTCTACTTCTGACAATTTTCTACAGGTGTTTTAGTATGAAAATATTCTGCTTTCATAATTAGACTGCTGATTATTTCAATTTCCTCAAATATTATGCAAAAAAATATTTTTCTGTATGTTCAATGCCTTTGCTGAACCCACTGATCTGTCCATATTATTATTGTTATTATTATTATTATTATTATTATTATTATCTATTTGAAAAAAAATAATTTTTTGTTTTTTTTTTGATATGCATTATCCAACGGTGTATGATAATCATATGTTTATGTGCATATATATAACCCACAGGCCGTGAGACAGTACCTGACTGGCTTGCATTATTATAGCCGGGAAAGTAATGAAGCTTTAACATTCTCTACCAAATCAAATATTAAATAAATGCAGTCACCGTAAAATAATTTGAACGCTAAGGTTACCAATTTTTGATCACTTGTTGATGGAGATTTGTGTTTCTTTACTCCATTACTTTGATATTACATATTTTGTTTATTACATATTTTGTTTATTACATATTTTCATTATTACTAACATATTTCATGTTCGTCTCTGTTACACAAAGTTTTCGCTACATAGCTGAAAAATTGCTGATTCAACATTTCGTATAAACTTGAAGACGTTTTGTTTTAGGTGGATTGTACGGAGCAATACAAATGAGTCTTGCTTTCAATGAGAAACAACAAATATGTAAAAAGCTATTATGCGATTCTTATCAGTAATTTATTGAGGTTGTTATTTCAATCTTTGTACATAAATATCGAATACTGGTGTAAGAGAAGTTTAAAATTGTAAATCTATTTTCAGCACCATGATGTTTCTTGATTTTGTATATATATTATATCAAGGTGTTTTTGATATTCGGTTAAACCCAATATGTGACATACTCTGTTATATAATACAATAAAAATAAAATAATTTCAAGAACCGGTAATATATTTATTCCCCTTGAAGTCAATAAAGACGTGACAATGCTAAAACAAACTCAAAAGGAAAGTCTGTATGGGAAGGGAGGTAACTCTTTGACTTCTTTGGCAAAAATGCCATGTTTTTTCACAATTGTATTTCCACCACCAAAACTATTTTGTGGTCTGAGCACAATATTCCTGCAGTTTCTGTGTGAGAATGTTACTCTGTTGGGTCACACTGGAAGTTGTTTGTCACTAACAGAAGGGTGATAATTTCCGTCCATATAATGTTTGTCTTCTCTGTCTATAGGGCCATATACTGGTGGTCGAAAGTTCAGCAACTGTGAGTGAGTGAGTGAGTGAGTGAGTATGGTTTTACGCCACTTTTAGCAATATTCCAGCAATATCACGGCGGGGGACACCAGAAATGGGCTTCACACATTGTACCCATGTCGGGATTCGAACCCAGGTCTTCGGCGTGACCAGTGAACGCTTTAACCACTAGGCTACCCGAACCCCCCTCACATCACTGAGAACAGAGGAGCATAAAATATGTAATCATGTACCTGTAAACGATTGGCCAAAGTTATTTTGCTAGTAAAATAAAATATCTGTGAATATTTTTAACCTTTACATCAAATTTAACTTATAACAGGAAACAGTCAAACTGATAATAAGTGCCCCCAAATGTGCATTGAGGGATGAGAATCTTCCATGGATCCGCAAAGTTTAGTGACCACAAATTTGTTAAAATCGGATGGCTCCCCCATTAACACCCCCAAATTATGGACCACACTCCAATGCAAAGAAGTTTCAGCTGAAAAGGAATATATTCATTAAATTTTGATCCCTTTCTGATCAAGGGGTGGGGGGTGGGGTGTAGTCTAGTGAATCATTCTTAATGCCCCGATTCGATTGTTCACATGGGTACAATGTGTGAAGCCTATTTCAGGTGTTCCCAACAACGATATTGCTGGAATATTGCTAAAACCATACTCACTCACTCATAAATGGGTACACTGGAAATATTTAAAAATATTATTTTGAAAGTCTTAGTTTCAGGGGACAAAGTGACCCAGTTGTCAAAACCACCACAACCAGCCTCATTATACTGAGATCTTTGTGCAGATTATAATGCGGTTGGCGCCTTAAGTTTCCCTGCAGAGTATTATCCTTCAATGTCCATGGTTGTCGGTTCAAGCCTTCCTCCCATATAAGGGGGCACGGGTGGCCCAGTCGTCTAAGGCGCCGCGATTCACTGTGCAGAGTTGCGTCCCCTGGACACGCCAGAAACCTATGATTGTGGGTTCGAATCCCGGTTCGCCCCAATTATGTTTCTAGGTTTGTCAGCACCATACCCGTGCTCGTGGGTTTCACCGAAGTGGTAAACGTCTGAGACCTGCATCACTTCGGGCGTTCATCCCACATTAAGCTGACACGCCGCGATATTACTGGAATAATGTTAAAAACGGCGTTAAACCCAACTCACTCACTCACTCACTCCTCCCATATAAACCTGATACGCTATGATAAAAGTGGAATACTGTTCAAAACACCATTAAAGCTTCTTATAACGTTGCGGTACTTTTGACCATCTGTATGGCTCTCAACTGGGGCTGGGACGATTCCAAATCTACTACCTGGTACCCAACCCTATCCCTGACCCGAGTCTTCTACGTACTGTTGGTCAAGAGTTGGATACAAAATGTCCTATAGGGAATTATTTCACCAGAGCCCTGCAAAAACTATTTAGATCACGTAAAAAACGCTCTTATCATGCATACACTGAAGTTGACTAGCTTTGTCGTTACTCAGTTATATATTTATTGGTTATTACATATTAAGTCAGAAGGAAATCCAAAAAAAAATTCAATTTATATCATGTAATTTACAGAGGTCTGGGCAGTCCTGTGGGTACCCAGGTCCTACTCTAGTACCTGAGTCGTCGTCGTCGTCGTCGTACTCGTCCCAGCCCTACTCAACCCTGTTCTGTGTTTGTGCAATACATCATGTTAGTCGGACACCACATAATGCCAGTGTGATGCTGTCAGTGTTTGAAGTCATACAAGTTGTTTCCATATTGCAATACAATAATACAAGTCTCCAATAGGTCTGCTGTGTGGTCTGTCCGCGATGACCCTCTCAATAATGACTAGGTCTGAACCTGTAACATATAGTCTGAGATTATAGGTATATTTTTTAAACAAATATATCAACAAAATCCAGAGCCCAGAACAATGATTAATTTCAGGCAATCTAGACCTGCCAAATCATTTTAGAAATTAATTTATTCTTCAGGGTAACTCGGACATGTATGTTTAATCACTGTGTCCAGACATGTGACACTAAATACGAGTCATTTTTCAACTGTAAAGATCCTGAGTAGAATAGGTCTTCAGCAACCAATGCTTGCTGCAAAAGGTAACTATGCTTGTCGTAAGAGGCGAGTAACGGGACCGGGTGGTCAGGCTTGCAGACTTGTTGATGCATGTCATCGTATCCCAAATGCGTGGATCGATGCTCATGATGTCAATCACTGGATTGTCTGGTCCAGACTCAATTATTTACAGACCGCCGTCATATAGCTGGAATATTGCTGAGTTGGCGTTAAACAAAAAACAAACAAACACTTATCTTCTCATATGTATTTATCTTGATATTTTGTATACCGGTACTAAACATCTGGGTATCCCTATCCAAACTTGAGAAGTGTACCTTACAACTGTTTGGTTCATAAAAGTCATGCAGATCTGCTAAGTTCAGAACAAGTACTTACTTTTCCGCCTACAAAAGTCTAAAAAAATATGAATATATTTTTTCATTTTAAGATGATGGCATGATTTAGACAGAACAGAAGGAAAGTAATTAACATATGCAAGTTTATCCTGATACATCACTGTCCATGTTTGTTTTCTGCATGAATTCCTATTAATCTTGAGAGGGTCAGCTCGGTAAATACTTGCACTGTTCAATCTGTGATATATGTACATTACAATATAGACACTGGTTTCTTCTAACTGGAATGAATCTGGTAATAAAATCTTTTTCTTCTGTTGATTCTGGTTCGTGTTATGGTTGTTATGAAAACAGAATCTGTTCTATTAGCTTACGAAGGTTAAGCATTCACCACAAAAATAATATACATTTGCACAATAATAAAAAACAAGTGCCGTATGTAAAATTCTTTGTTTGTGAGCCAAAACCTGACCATAACTTGAATTCGATGGTTGTTCAATGCTGCACTCAGCAATATTCCAGCTATATGAAGGCGGTCTGTAAATAAACAAGTTTGGACCAGAAAATCCAGTGATTGACATCATGAGCATCGATCCATGGAATTGGGATACTATGACATGCATCAACCAAGTCAGTGAGCTTGACCACCCGATCCTGTTTGTGGCCTCTTACGGCAAGCATGGGTTGTTTGATACCTAGTCCACCCCATCATTTGGAAAGCTATGGGCAAAAGTGACATTTCAACATTACGGCTAAGTTTTCATCTGGATTCTGTGGGAAATAGTTGAAGACAACATTGCTTTGATCATCCATGTCAAATTCCACTTTCATGGGCCCTATGTACAGGATGTAAAACATTTGCAACATGGGCAAAGAACTACAGAAGCTCAAGTGATTGTTTTGTTCAGAGGAGCCAGAATAGTAAGGCTCTATCTAGTGCAGTGCGATGTGAAAAATCACAGCTTTATTTCCATGATCTGTTCAGCAGATCACATCTGGCACAATGTCATAGTTGAGAAATGGAATTCATTCATTTTTTGTCTGTTGCACACAGCAGTATTCCAGCTATATGGCAGTGGTCTGTAAATGGACCACACAATCCAGTGATTGACATGAGCATTAATCTATGTAATTGGGACATGATGACATGCATCAAGTCCGCAAACCTGACAACCGATCCCGTTAGTGCCTTTTACAACCAGCATAGTTGCTGAAGTCCAATTCTGACCTGGATCTTCACGGGTTAGTAATCCGTTATGGAAGTTGGTTGGTTGGTTGGTTTGTTGTTTAACGCCGCAATTGGGATCGATGACATGCATCAACCAAGTCAGCGAGCCTGACCACCCGATCCCGTTGGTCACCTTTTACGGCAAGCATGGGTTGCTGAAAACCTATTCTACCCCGGATCATCATGGGTCCCGTTATGGAAGTATTGTTTCCAGCTGCCATATTGACCATCCAATGCTTCCCATCTTAGGTGCCTCCAAGACAACTTCCAGGAATGACGGTCAAGTATTTGGTCATCACAGAAAATACACTCACAACAGTTTAAAGTTATTTATTATATTTAAATATTTTACAACAAATTTAACAATGGTCTACAGTCTGATGGATGATTGTTGTAACCAGGTGTCTGATACATGTGTAAAGCAGGGTACATGCTGAAACGGGACGGTAATGGTTTGCTGGACTTGAAAGAGCCTCAATAGCAGATTAAGAACTGTTTAAGCTAATTCCCAAATCTAACTGATGAAACATAACATAACATAAGCAGGCCAGGCTAAAGTAATTATTTCTTCTTTTAAAGCCCATCTTAAATTTTGTGGAAAAAAATAACACCTTGCAAAATCTGTGTTAGCACATGTATCTTAATGAACTTTTATTTGAATAGAATATTGTAAGAAATAACATCAAACAAACATTTCTGAAATAACATCCAATTTCTCAGGTTACAAATTTCACATTCACTTTTTTCTTTTTAATTTACCCAAATAATTTACCTCCAGGCCTAGGAAATTGGTAAAACAAGAAGAAAATATATCTGGCTTTAATTTGGTAATTTTACAGCCATCAAGACAAGCAACCTAAATTAGACTTAGAGAATTGAATTAATTGCAGGACATTAAAATCAGAAGAACATACATCCATTGATGAGTGGGTGTCTGTAGACCAAAAGAATCCCTCCCCCAAGGATTGAGAAAATACATCAACAACAACATAAAGATCCTTGTTCTGACTGAACTGGCTGGACTGGTCAAGGCTGGTGGAGAAATGCCCGAGGCCGGGAAGTCCCTTCTATACATTAACACAAAGCAGGAAGTCATTAATGAGGTCTTAGCAGCTACATCCCGTATAACACAATAAAATTCCCTCTGGGACAGCACAGAAACACCTCATTTAAACCATCAATGGGCAACATTCTCCATGAAAAAGGATACCTGTTCCAGCTTGAGAATTATTTAATTCAGGTTACTGTCAAAAGCAGAAGTACATATTTCACTCATCACTGCTCATATCTAGATAAAAGTTACAAAACGTCCATGGATGTAATATTCGTTGGTCACTACAATTAACATGACTAAGGTACTAGATTTGACAAGTGCATGTTTGGTAACAACGTCAATGTTTGATGTAAGAGTGCATGTTATTGAAAGAAATTGAAAGAAACTGAAAGCTCCAAAACTACATGTATCCATTATGTCTACTCGAGTACACAAGGCACAAGTGTTTATGATGATTAATTATTTCACAATAAAAAACATTTCATTTAATCAATCTATAACGATGGTTATGAGATATTTCAAATACTGTCACACAAAAGAATAAATGCCAATAGTCAGTTCTGATCCTGGATTCTAGTCTCATTGACCCTTGAGTGAGTGAGTGAGTTGGGTTTAACGCCGCTTTTAACAGTATTCCAGTTATATCGCAGCGTGTCAGCTTCATGTGGGAGGAAAGCCCAAAGTGATGCAGGTCCCAGACGTTTACCACTTCGGTGAAACCCACAAGCACGGGTATGGTGCTGACAAACCTAGAAACATAATCGGGGCGAACCGGGATTCGAACCCACAAACAAAGGTTTCTGGCGTGCCCAAGGGACGCAACTCTGCACAGCGAATCGCGGCGCCTTAGACGACTGGGCCACCCGTGCCCCCAAGAAGATGTCTGAAGTGTATCAGTTGCTACAGAGTAGATGAAGGAGAGGCCATCGATCACAACAGCACATGCATGTAGAAACTGCAGGGCATTGAAGAGCAAAGTATGAACAGTGTGGGTAGAAAACGTACAAAACATGGAAATATACAACAATGAGTGGACATCAGTGGACATACTTAAAACACAGCATTGGAATAATGAGAGTAACATAGCATCAAGGTGCCAGAAGTATATATATACAAGATATACAGTCACATGTCTACTGCATGCTGTGCACAGTCAACCAGTGAGGTCAGTCCCAGACCAAAAAAGGCAGTCGCTGAACCGCTGGGAACCCTTTGGGAATATTTGATCTGTTCGGCATGTTTTGTGGGCAATAGTGAACTATTACAAATCTTTATTCTCGAATCAACCAACAGTCATCTAGCATGCCTAGTGCCCTAGATTAATGCAGATGGTAGCAAATATAAAGCTATTAGATATATTACAATGTTTTCAATTTCAATAAGACCAAATAATTTTTTTTCAAATTTAATTCACTGTTAGAGATTCTTATTTTGCAATGAAACCAATCCTGCAGTCTTTTTTAACTTGAAATAAATAAAATAAACTTCTCATCGTTTCATCTGACATTTTTGCAATTTCAATTACAGTTGACAACGTACCTTTCTACTCTGGGACTGTAGTATGGAATTTCATGACATACAAATATATACACCTTACAGTACCTCTAATGTGGCATACCATTATCAGGATCATGATAGCAGGTTGTTCAAACCTTCCTTTGGTAACACTAGGATTTAACACATCTAACAACATGAATAAATATGGTCCCATTATCATGTTAATATTGAAAACAGCTAACCCCATACATACTTCTACGCACAGTATCATGATTTTAAATTATGATAAATTTTACTAAATTATTACGCATATACTTAAACTTGGTTACCATGGTTACCCATTGATTAAAATCATTATCCCATGTTTAACAACCATTCACTATCATCAGCTGATAAGCATGATAAGTGGTTATTACGAACCAATTGTTTTCAACCGTTTTTCATGTGGATACCAGTTGGTTACCAAGGTCACAGATAATATAGGAAAACAAAAACAAAATTACATTATGAAAATCTCAGATCTTCAACACATTCAAGGGAAAGGAATGTTATTATCAATATTCATTAGACTATTTCATGATCTTTCTTACAAGAGCAACAACACTGAATAAACATTTTACTTTAATTTGACTTCGCAACTTATCATTTGCTAAACTCTGAAATACAAAGAAAGAAAAATCTGTGAGAATAAAACTTCTATATAAACTATATATCAATAGGTTAACATATATAATCTACCTCTCGGTAGTTCCAATTTCAAAACCGTTTCCTAAAATAAGGCTTCAGGGATAGTTTATTTATATATAGGGTGATGGTGGGCCGGTTGGATTGGTCTTAGGACTGTATCATACTTTGCGGTACCCCACCACCATGTTATGTAACATTTTCAAACAGTTTTCAGTCCCCTATACTTATGGCAAGGTAATGTTTACACATTTCATGATATACAAGATTAATAACACCAATGTTATTCAACAAGACTGTACAACAGTCAATTACACACTGCCTGATGTGGACAGAGGTTCAGATGTCAGTTCTACATAAGAAGCAGGCATCCACAGAATTGGAACAAATTCTGTTTCCAGTATGACCTAACCTCACTATCCATCATGGTACAGTATGATAAGTATTATATAGTATCAAAAAAATGTACACAGAAAGATGAATGTTTCCTTCACAATATTCAGGTGTCTAGGTTTTAGGGCTGGGACAAGTCCAAATTTAATACCCTGGTACTCACCCTGCTATTACCAGACCCTACCCAGGTACCCGATGTAGGTCTCAAGAGTTGGGTACAAAATGGATTGTAGTCCTGGCAAAATGCATTTAGATACACATATAAAACAATCTGGTCATGCATACACTTAAGTTGAAGTTTTATCTATATTCAAACATATTAAAGTCAGAAGGAATGAGTGCATAGTCAGAAAGAAATGCAAACATTAGTGACTTGTTATGTAACCATAGAGTTCTAGATAATTTTTGTCATTAACAAATGTATCACATGACTAACCACGGGTCCGTGTAGTCCTATGGGTACTTGGCTCCTACTCAGGACCCACCCGACCCGAGTACCTGAGTTACCCGTCCCAGCCCTACTAAGATTGTATCAATAGACTATCAATATATACTAACAATACAAGCTGAAATTTGTCAAGATAATCATTTGGAAGATAAAACAGCCATATTGTAGTTCCAACATACATGGCATAATAAGAGTAAGTGAAGCTGTTTTCATGAACTAATTAATGTACTGGTTGTGGCTATATTTTCACTGTTGTCCACACCCAGTTCCTGTGGCAGCCAGTAACGCACAGGATAATCGTTCATGCCCATTTGTGTGGCGCCATCCACTCGTGAGGCCATGCCCAGTTGTTACGTGCCTGTGACAATTGTTTGCGAGACCACATCCACTTGTGTCTGCCTGCGACAAAGTCGGAGACACACCCACTTGACGAGTCTGCTTCAGATCCATTCAACTGGCCACACCCACTTGTTGGGTCTTCAGGTTACACGTTTGACTGACCACAGCCACTATTCTGGCCCCGCCTACTTGCTTTGGTTGTCAATGAGACACTAACTTGTCTATCGTAATTCCATGAGACAGATGGAAATGTGTTGAACGTCCAGCCCAAAATGCACCAAACTGATTGGTTGAGTCATTAGCGCACCAATCCGATTGGCTGACATGCACGAACACAATTGGTAAGCACTATTTGCATGAGGATCTTCAAGTCTTTGAAGACGACAGTTTAGGTTGCTACTGCTGATATCTTCAAATGGATAATAGTGGCACATCGAAGAGGTCACAGGCTCCCTCGGTATCGTCAAGGTTGAAGTAATAGTCACGATCGCTTGGCGGCGGACTTAGGCGGAGGAGGGGGGCAAATGCTGACAAACAAAAAACAAACAGTGAGCATGTGCAAATCTTAGAAATAAATATATCATTTAGTTTGGAGTTTTCGAAATTAAAGGGATTCTTATGATTTGCTGTTTCAGTGTTCGAACAAAGAAACCCTTAAAATCCTTAATTTTTTTACATATTGTTTAAAACAAGGAACCCTTGAATTTCATGATTATTTTCAAACAAAGCAATGCTGAACAAATTTATATATTATAATGATACCATTGTGGTGTGCATACACGCACGCAAAAGGATTTTAAACCTATAATAATTCAAAAGAAACTGAGTGAGTCTGAAAAATACTCCAAGTGCATCATAGCACTGTGCAGCCTAATATATCCTGGACTAGACAAACTAGTGGTTGATAACATGAGCATTGGTACATGTCATTGTGCAACAATGATGACACACTGGTCACTTCGATGTTTTCAATTTTATAACACAAGAAACAGAATGCGAGAGAGTAAAATTATTATACCTTCTGAAGTAATGAGGTCATCGATGAAAGATCCATCAACATCTGTAAAACCATCAATAGAATAAATAATTGTTAGAACAGACAGTATGCTTTACAGAGTATGTGGGCATCAAATAGTTAGAACGGTCAAGTGCAATGATAATAAGTAGTGCATTTCACTTATATCACAGCATGTCCGCTCAATGACAAATGAGAGAGCGAACATTGCTTAATGCCGCAGCAGCAATCTTGCAGCTATTCACAGTGACGCCCAATGAGGATGGAAGAGCAAGAGTGATTCAGGTTGTACAAAAGCCATGTGCTGACACTCAGATAAGCCTGGATTGTAATCAGTGTGAACAGAAGTACTGGATCCTCCCTAGCAAGTTGTGGCAGTTTAGGCAACTGGATCTTGCAATTATTAATAGGTAATTCTTAGTTGAAACGTTGGATATCTTCACCAGCACTTTCCTCCTTGGGAATACAGAGTGAGAGTGCGTATGGTTTTATATCGCTTTTAGCAATATTTCAGAAATATCATGGCAGGGGGACGCCAGAATGGGATCCACACATTGTAACCATGTGGGGAATCGTACCCAGGCCTTCAGCGTGACGAGCGAACACTTTAACCACTGGGCTACCCCAATGTCCGAGTAAGTCCAAAGAGAGGAGCCATTTGCATCTCACACTGACATCAGCAATATCAGCCATCACGAACTAACAAGCAATAGAGTCTGGACCACACAAAATCCTCCAGTTTTGTGTACGACAAAATCATGAGGTTAGACATGGCATGATCCCCATTTTGGTTGTCTCTTACAACAACCATGGGGTAATGGAGACCAACTCTGACCCAGAACTCCCCCTAAGGTCATGAGAACATGTTTGTAAATCTGGTGAAAGTTGTATGATGTCTCACCATAGTCGCTCCGTGAGGGGTCAAAGAGCATATCAGATGGAAGGGAGTCAAGGCCACTTGGTGTTGTTGGGAAGCTTGCGGAGGTAGATGCGGATGTGGAAGCTGTGGATGCAGAAGAGATGTATTATCTACTTGATAATGTTGCCACCTTAAGACACAGTTATTGCGGATGTCAACAGTCTAACCACTTCATTCACTTAACAAAACCATAATAATTTAACTTGATAAATAAACACTTTAGATGAGTTTATAGTCAAATTCAACAACACTTCAGTTATTTATCTACTTATTATTAGTTATCTATATCTACTGGCGTTGGCAAAATGTGTGAAGAAAGCTTAAAGTGATGTGGGTCATAGATGTAGGCCACTTTCCAGAAACCAAAGAATCATAATCAGGGTGCATGTAAGTTTCAAATAGGACTGGGGCGAGTCCAAATTTACAACCCAGATACCCGACCCCCTTTTACCTGACTCTACCTCGATACCCGTTGAGTGTCCAGAGTTGGATACAAAAGCATCAAATTTACACAGAAGTTAGCTGAAGCTGTATCCTAACTCAAAACATAAAAAGTCAGAAAGAATGTGTGTACATTCAGAAAGATATGTGAACATTAGCAACTTGCAAGTAACCATGGAGTTGTAGCAGTGAATTATTCTCATTAAACGATATCATGTGACTAACCACGGGTCCGGGTAGTCTTGTGGGTACCCAGGTCATACTCAGTACCTAGTCTACCCAAGTACCCTGTCCCAGCCCTAGTTTCAAACCAACAACAACCAGATTCTGGCAATTCTAAGGGAGGCAACTTTGTGCTCCTTAAGGGCCTTGAGCCACGAACAAGCAGTTTCTAGCACGGCTTAGTGACACAAGTATGATCTCCTTGAGCTACTGTGACAATGAAGGGAACTGGAATGCTATGTTTGTTCATATCATAATAGGTCTTATGATCTGAGCGATATTCATTAGCCTTATCATAATGCTACACACATGCATGTGCCATTCTTCTTACCTTGTGGAAACTGCTCTTGTGAATTTTTCCTGGGGGACGACCGTGTTGCCATCCTGGTGACAGGTGCTGTTGTCTCCAGACTGGCCTGCTGTGTCTGCTTCAGTGGCGACTTGACGGGAGAACGCTGAAAAACGGGAACAATCTCTACATGACTCCTTTCTCAACATTTGGAAGCATTTGTATGTGGTTTAACACCACACTCAGCAAAAATACAGCTGAAAGAAGGCGGTCTGTAAATAACTGAACCCGGACCAGACAATCAAGTGGTTGATTTGTTTGTCTGTTGTTTAACGCCGGAATATCAGCAATATTCCAGCAATATGATGGCGCTTGGCAAATAATCGATTCTGGATCAGAAAATCCAGTGATTGATATCATGAGCATCAATCCATGCAATTGAAATACAATGACATGCATCAACCAAGTCAGCGAGTATGACCACTCGATCCCGTTAGTCGTCTTTTAAGACAAGCATAGTAGCCTTTTACAGCAAGCATGGGTTGCTGAAGAACAATTCTACCCCGGATCTTCACGGGTCATTGACATTATGACCAACAAGTCACACTGCCAGACCTTCATTATCATCTTCGTCCACTGCACTGCTGCAACATACAACTCACCTTTCCTTGTGACCTTTGACCTGTACGTCCCTGCGTGGTCGGGTCCACATTTTGATTGGATGGGTTTTCAACAGTGTCATCTTTCGGTGGTGGCACTTGCACAACGACTGGACTTGTTGAATCGGCATCTTTGTTGACAAGTAGGACATTGATAGGACCTGCGTGGCTCTTCAGGTGAATCTGGTAGTTCTTCTTATACCCTGGACCCTGGAGACAATGAATCCGGGAAAATCAAGACCTGTATCACCTGTATCCGTACTCAGTGCCTGTACTAATAATCCCCGACCAACTTCTAGACCAACCTGTAAGTAATCTGTATACATGGTATAAGCGCCCAGACTGAGCCTGAATATCTATGTGACAATCTGTTTTCTTCTGCATGTCACTGATCTAGATATAATTGTTAAAAAAGTTTTCGTTTCATGAACATTTGAACCTAGTCTACTCGATCTGACAAGTATAACCTGCATATGACTATAACAAGCACCCTCCTTTGTGAACTTGGTAAGGCGGTGGGGTAGCCTAGCGGTTAAAGTGTTCGCTCGTGATATCAAAGACCCGGGTTCTATACCCCACATGGGTACAATGTGTGAAGCTCAATTCTGGTGTCACCAAACAGCAAATAATAACGCCAACAAAGCACTAAATCAAGTGAATGAATGATGCTTAATGTTATATATCAGCAATAATTGCAGCTTTACCACACAGTTAGACACTACCACGAGTCTGTGACTAGTTAGCATTTTTAAGGACTAGTAGTGAGTGAGTGAGTGTGGTTTTATGCTGCTTTTAGCAATATTCCAGCAATATCACAGCTGGGGACACCAGAAATGGGTTTCACACATTGTACCCATGTTGGGAATCGAACCCCTGTCTTCGGCGTGACAAGCGAACGCTTTAACCAGTAGGCTACCCGACCATCCCTTTAAGGACCAGTACAACTATTAAGTTGTCTACTCCAAAAATGTTGTACTGTAAACAACTCGTCTGAAGCACAATTCCTACTCAGCAGGCATTTTGAAACAAAAAATGCTCATCACATTTGTCTGTTACAACAAGAATATGGTACTAATTGTATTCTAAGCAGTTTGAGAAAATAAGGGACCTCCTGGGGTCATTGAGCATGTTGAGATTTTTTCCTGTAGTAACATTTTTACTACTTGAATATAGGAGCCCCCTAAACATGATGCAGGGTTAGAAATTAACACTAGTCTGTTAGCCCGGAGCTAGTACAAAATTCCATTTGGCTAGTACAAATTTCCCAATTGTTTTGACATTACAAGGGCATTTTATCCTTACTTGGGGTAATAAAGCTTTAAAGTTAAGTTCTTACCCTGTGATAACTTACAAATTTTTAACATTATGAAAGGGCCTCTTGATTTTCATGCTGAATTTTGAACATTGGTCACCAAACACATGCAATAGTAATTAAACCTTAACTTCTTACATATCAAGGTAAAAAAGATTGTGTGCTACTCGCAAAGATAGAACGAACATCATAATCACTGACACTGTTTAATGTTTGAACTTACAATTTCTGGAATGGGGACTTCTAGCTGTGTCCCCGACGGTGCCTGGATGGCTAGAAGTGTGTCCCCCTTGAAACACTTACAGGTGTCCTCATGCGTCACAAATGCCAATCTGAATACAAGAGAGGTAGAAGTAGTCCTTATTGTTTGTATTTGTTTTTAACAATGCTATGGCAAAACTTCAACTTGCTCAGTGTCTAAAGCAATGTATATCAAAAAAAAAATTCTCAGCCAGCTACTAAAGATATCCACTGCACTCCCATCACATTCACAAGAAGAAATCTTGGCAGGTTCTTGAAAATCATGTTGTTTTTGGTTAAATACTGCACTCAGCAATATTACATTTCTATGATGCCAGACTGTAAACAATCGAGTCTAGACAGACAACCTAGTGATAGAGATCATGAGCATCAATCTACACAACAGGGATACAATGACATGTATCAACCAAGTCAGTGAGTCTGACCACCCAATCCTGTGATTTGGACTAGTGTGTTATTTCACTGACAATTTGTTAATTTCACATTTTTCTTCTTCTGAATATTGTTGACCTTATAACTTAAGGTTTACTTACCTGGTATTTGTAACTTCATCTGTGACATTCTTTATACTCTGCTGCACCCAAAGTTTGTGCTGGTCAAGTTCCCTTTCTTGGCGTTCGAGGTCATCAATATCACTCTGTAGGGTGACAAGTCTGTCTGAGATCTCACGGGTGTTGCACCCTGGCCCGGCCCCTCTGTAAAAGAGCACATTTGATGAGACAAACATTAGCAATTAGTGGTTGAGCCATCAATCAAATAATGCTGGTTTACCATGATAACTGATCTATCAGCATGATCAAGATATCTCAAACATTACCAAGGTGCTTAAATCATGAAAAATGCTAAATTGATAAAGCACCATTCACATTCTAAGTGTATGTTATTTGAAAATGGAAAGTAGAATGTTTTGTTTGTTTGTTTGTTTGTTTGTTGTTTAATGCCACACTCAGCAATATTCCAGCCATATGACGGCGCTCTGTAAATAATTGAGTCTGGACCAAACAATCCATTGATGAGCATCGATCCACGCAATTATGATACGATGACATGCATCAACCAAGTCAGCGTGATTGAGTGATTAATATCATGCAATTGGGATACGATGACATGTATCAACCAAGTCAGCGAGCCTGAGCACCCAATCCTGTTAGTCGCCTTTTACGGCAAGCATGGGTTGCTGAATACCTATTCTACCCTGGATCTTCACGGGCCGAATTTAGAATGTGTAGAATCTTATTTCTTTCAAACTTTTTCTATATTCTGATTTTTTATGCATGCACAAAATCAATGCTGCCCAGCAAGCATGACCAGATGACTAACAGGCTAAGCCATGCAAGTGCTTGTGACAATTGTAATGCATGATAATGTGTTAACATTTGACAATGTCTCAAAAATGATATACCTGTGAACATGGTGATCACACTTTGTTCACAAAACATTTTTTAAAAATTATATAACAGACAATTCCTATTGTACTTAATTCTTGTACATCAATTATCAGCTGACCAGTCCTTGTTGTATCCCCTTGACGTCAAGCGCCAGACAGGGCAACAAGAAGATGTACCATCTGTTTGCACCTTTTGGAATGATGCGACCAGTAGACCTTCCACTGTCCAAGTAGACTCCTATCCATGGAAAGACTTAACAAGGATAAGATTTTATTCCATAATTTCTTCATTACTTACTTCCACTGAATGCTGTTCTTGGACTTCTTTTCAATTAGCCCGATGCCTTCCAAGACATTGGTGATGTCATATATCCTCCTCTTTTGTCGTACAGCCAACTGATCTGCTGCCTGAAGGAAACAAGGGACGTCTATAACCATGATAACACAATGCTTTACGGAACCAAATAGTGTGAGACTGTTACCATGGTTACTGTTGTCAGTCATGAACATGACAAATAACTGTATAATTTTTTTTTGTTTATTTGTTTTTTGTTTAACGCTACACTCTGCAATATTCCAGCTATATGACGGAGGTCTGTAAATCATGGAGTCTGACATGTCTGAACCAGACAATCCAGTGATTGATATCACGCAATTGGGATACAATGACATGAATCAACCAAGTCAGCGAGTCTGACCACCCTAACCCGTTGGTTGCCTCTTACGACAAGCATACAGTCAAGTCTCGTTGATCAGACACTCGTTAATCGCCTTTATCCAACACTAATGATGGGAAACGATTAAAACTGTGCTTCTTAGACCTGTTAATCAAAAAGTCTCGCACTCCGCCTCCGACACACCTAATTTGCAATGAATTACTGAAATCACTCATTAATCAGTCTTGTTAATCCGACACAGTGATCAGCGTACTCCATGGTCATCTGCCCGCGAATACATAGCCCGTGTTTTGATGCGAGACGAGTCGGATGGTAGCTGAACAATGCCGAATATAACAACGGCTGCAGAAATAAACTTGCTTAACAATAAACAATTAATGCTTTAATTTAAATAAAGAAAACAGGATTATTCACATACTTAGATTAAATCATTCTCATTAAAATCAGATACAAGTTCTCGCTATCGCTTAGGACATCCCATTAGAGGTCACATCAAAACTAAATGACTAACAGGAAGTCAACGTTAGCCACTCAGAAAACAGCTTTCTTAAGCTTTTCGGTACCATTTTCAAACTTGCAACTCCCATTCCAGACTATGTTTTTTAAAGTATTTTGAATCAGTCATACAGCCCGTAACAGTTGTTTTGTGTTGAGCTTTAGAGGTTGCATGATTAGAAAACATATTCCGCTAACAATATAACATAACAATATGATTCTTTCATTTTCATTTTTTTATTACTTTTGTATCATTATCAATCGTGTAGTTGTCCGATTTTTTATCACGAACGTTTATACTACTTAATTTCATACTCATACTCATTAATCCAACCTAATCATATGCAACCAACCATGTCAGATTAACTGGACTTGACTGTAGTTGCCTTTTATGGCAAGCATGGGTTGCTGAAGACATATTCTACCACAGATCTTCACGGCTCAATATAACTGTATAAACAACAGTTAATGGATGCCATGATGACAAATATGTACAAGAATAATCATGATAATGTGACTGTCAAATAAAGTACCAAGAGTGATCAAGTCAAAGTTGACATGTTTGATAAGCATGACACAACTTAACAATGTTCGAAAATATGAAGTTATTGAGAAAAACCAAGGATTACTACTATAATAGCAGGTTGATAAACATTAGAAAATAAGGTTTTTTCACTGCTACTATAGTGCTAGTTAGCAATATGTAACTTGCAAAGTTATGCAACATTAAAAATATCTGGGTAATGATTTAAATTTCACATGACAATTCAATTGTAAACTTAGAAAGACATACTCATGACAATGTTAATTATTATCTCAAGTCAAATCATTGTGAAGTCCTGGTACTCATTTATGATGCAACTACAGTAAACTATGGTTATATCTTCTTATAACGAACTCAAAGGGACAACTAATTTTAGTTTCATCATAATCATAGTTCGTTAAAAGCATATATACCCACATGATGGCCAACCAAGCATTCAGCAACCAATTCAGCCTCTCTGCCTTCATCAGGCACACTTTGTTGGTTTCGTACTACATCATTCCAGATACATTTTCAACAAATACTGTAACTGAGTGAGTGAGTATGGTTTTACGCCACTTTTACTGGGTTAGAAATTGGCACTTGTCCTGTAGTCCTTGCTAATCTTCCTAATAGTTAAGATATCATAAGGACTAGTAGAAAAATGCCATTTTTAAGTGTTGTGCTATTTGTTATCATTATAAGGACCGGATGACTAAAATTGTTAGTTTCTACCGCTGCTTTTAGCAATATTCAAGCAATATCACGGCAGGGGACACCAGAAATGAGCTTCACATATTGTTCCCATGTGGAGAATCGAATCTGGGTCTTCAGCATGATGAACTAATGCTTCAACCACTAGGCTACCCCACCATCCTGCCTGTAACTAATTTTAGCCATGACATCGATTACTAACTTTTACATTGGTGATTTGGTTTCACTCCAGTTTATATTGTGAATGATCATAATGCAGGGAGAGTCTTCAACCACGGACAAGTAGATCATAACTAGGATGACAGTTTAGCCGTTACCCATACACACAGATAATATCTTTACCATTGATACATGAGAAGACAACAATGATCTCTGGCCAATACAAAAATAGTGAGGCATAGTGGGCACCGGTATGACATTTCACAAAATAGTGACAAATAGTAAGGTAAGAATGGTAAGCATGGTGAGGGCAAACCAGAGCTGGACAAGCATATACTACACAAATAATAATGATAAGATACATAAACCTGATCATCACTTGAATGAAATTTAAATAAAAATGGTGGTAAAAATTTTGATCATGTCAGAATTATTTGTTCGTGCCATATCAGTGTCAGAGAAATAAATGTCAATGTCAGTTGTGTTTGTGAACATTTTGTCAACATCCCTAACTCTGAATACATATAATGATAGCCATGGCCTCTTCGTTATGCTCATCCACTCATTCTAAATGCTCAAGGATGAATGGTTTGACTTAACAAAATGTCTTGGATACTTTTGTTTTTAAATGAAAACTATGGTGAAATCATTGTCCTGAAATTGAGACACTGTATTGTACTTACGCTGACATATCCATGATATCACAACCCTGGCTTATGAAGAATTATTTGGTAAAAATGACCATTCGAGAAGGTATGTAACAACAAAATATATACTGATTGCGCTAGGCCACTGCCACCAGTGTGTATTCAAAACGGTCCAAAATGAAAGCAACAGGTAGCAGGTGTTATCTTTGATGCGTCTCCAGTAACCCCTTGACAGTGACAGGTGCACCACGTGATTGTATTTTGAGGTCAGTAGAGCGTGAAGTTTTCAAAAAGTGGAGCATATTTATAAATAAATAATTATTACTCTTATTCTTAGCAGTTCCTCATTTGGCAGACACGTTGCACATTTTCCAATTTCAAAATTGATTATCTGTTACAACCCAACATAGCGTGACGATAAGGAATGTCTAAATTTCCGAAAGAAAACAAACTTTTCGTTTTGAGTTTGGACGGAAACAATGCAGTCACTCCTGAGTTGACATCCGTCGGCACAAAATTACAGGCAGTAGGTGAGTTTTGTTTCAGTTTGAAGTCATGCTTTAACTTACGACTTTTAGATCCAATACTCCATCCTTTGCTTCTTGAAGAAGCGATACAAACTTAGTTGTTAGCAGTCCTAAACTTTTCTCATGACGACTCGGAGTGTGGTCGGCCATCGTGCTTTCAAGCGTCGCATAGCATTATGGGAAATCTCATTCCACGATGAGATATTACGTTACATCCGGGCACTCATTACATGGCCGCCTCTATCAGCTGGTCCCCAGGGAAACAACAGTAGTTGGTAATTGTTTCATTTGGTTTGATAGAATAACAATCAATTTAATGCATTAAAGTAACGAGCAGGTGTGCTATTGTGCCAATGTAATGTGACATCAAAAGAGTGACATGTCTTGCTGTGGATTCTTGTAAATCAGCTGTAGACGTAGTAGTGTAGTGTATAGCAACTGCCCTTCTGTAGACCTGTGGACGTTGTAAAGGTATCCTGTGCTGAGCTAGAAGTACTCGTTTTCACCCAAAACATCTTTTATGGTCACTGGTGTGATATTTCCGACTGTTCATATATGCTCACTGGAATCCCATCATTAGAGAAATGCTACACACGTTCTACCGATTTTTTTTATCTGACATAAACACACGAATAGTTTTTCTCCAATAAGATACTCATAGACAGGTGTACGTTAATTCGTAAGACAAACGAATTCGTACCATTAGAAATGAGCAATTTCGTACCTCAAATCGAAAGTAATTTCGTAACCCTATGCAATAAGCAATGAATAACAGATAATAATAGATCTAAACAACATATATTTATGTGAATGTGTAAGGGTTATATTTTATTTGAAAAAGAACATGTTCAACATATGGGGTTTATCTGTTGACCAACGCTAGTCTTTAAGAAAACACAGTTTCAATTGACAATACTTTGGAGGATGCAGTATGCATAAATATTGTTTATGCAATATACACAATATTATGCAATAATTGCATGGTGATAAATTTGTTTTATGAAATCTCAACAGCGTCTGTTTTGTCCTCTATCCTCATGCGTAGAATGAACTACTCCACTGTGACATCACACAACTTGTTGTAGGGAGAGTATAACGATAAACATGGCCGTCTGAAAAGTATGTTTGGAAACCTATAATCCAACGATAATATTGTCTTATAAACAAATATTTAGAAATATGAAATAGGGTAACATTTGTTTCTTTTTTTTAGGGTTACACATTTTCTAGGGAAATGATTCCATTTGGGCTACAAAATTACCACAATCCCTCATAGACGAACATTTATTTTTAATTTGAGGTTAAAACAATATTGTCGCCAGTGTGGATACCTTAGCCCTGATATACATGATATAGTTGCCAGTTCAAATGGTCCAGTTAATTTCTTCAAAATGTGCCACTGAACCATTAAAATGAAGACAAGCTTGTTTGGCATGTTTAGTTTTTAGTATTCATATTCATAGTCTATGTTTCTTGTATTCAGTCATCAAGATGTTCTTGAAACTAATATTAACACCTGAACACACAAATCATACTGCATGCAAATGTTTTTGTTTCATTACTCTACACATAAACACAATCGTTCACAATACCATGCTACACATTTCTATGATTACACTACACTACAATACATTCATCATGTTCATTATATTTCTTCGCATACAAATATATCTTTGACTTTAAACATGATATGGGTTGGTCTTAGCAAATTCTGCCTGTATTTGAACCCATATTGCTGTGCTTACCAATATTTGGAAAATTCAAGTTACTGGTATTACCTGGTAATAGTCAAAATTGCTTGTAGCTGGCGTTATGCTTCACTGACAGCTGATTTCTACTGCACTGGAAGGTGTCAATGCAGCTATGTGAATCACATTCAAAAGTATACAGTATATATTTGGTTGGTTAAATATTTGACCATAGTATAGTGCCAGTTTCTATTGCTGCTTTACTAATCATGCTAATGAAGCTAATTGACAGATTAAATTTAGATAATACTGATAGATAAGTTCAAGATGCAAGTGTCATGGATTCAGTTTTCTCTGTAAATACATACATGTAATGTTGTACAGTATATGAATCAGTAATAGGGGTGTTCAAACACCAAAATGTCCTTCTTGTCCAAGGCAAGTAAACTTTAAAAATCTACTTGTCCAGTCTGATTGTCAACTTGTCCTGCTTAATCAGAGAAAAGAAGAAAACTTTATTATCTGAAGCGAAAGCTGATGGGAGATGTGCAGAATAAAAAAATGACTAGTCAGGCACATGTACATCATCTGCAGTTGACAAAGACACGATACGTCTTCTAAGTTCAAAGTTAACACCAATGATTTTCGTACTTGCCCAAGGGGAACTAAATTACCTGTTACCTCTTGCCCGACACTTTATTTACACAAGTCAGGCAAGTCGGGCATACTTATTGAATACTCCTGTATACATATATGAGCAATATAATGTTTTACATGTTCTTCAGAAATTAATATGTTACAGTCCAATAGGTGAACAGTTTGACTTGTGTAAAGCATCAATTTCATTCGTGCCATCTTTTTCAGAAATTATTCCTGATTCATTGCAAGAGGATGACATAAGAAACAATGGCTGGTAGTTTCCTGAAGGGACAGCTTGTCAACAACTCCGAAAGCACCTTGAAACGTCTGTGGTCTCTCTATCGCAACTCAACACTCAGCGATGTGCAGCTGGTTGTGGGTGGGGCGGTCTTCTCCGCCCACAAGCTTATCCTCAGTATGTGCAGTGATGTATTCAAGACCATGTTGACAGATTTCAAATGGCCTGAAGCATTCAAAGAGCAGATTACTCTCACTGAAGAACCCGAGTGTGTGGACGTGTTTGAGGACTTCCTGGAATACATGTACACTGGGCACATCCACCTCAGTAACCATACAGTGCTGCCTGTGATTACACTAGCAGACAAGTATAATGTCAAGGATCTCTCCGAAACCTGCGTCTCCTACATGTGTGATAACCTTGATGCTGTGGGCGATAATCTACAAGTAGTCTCGTGGCTACAGTATGCTCGATTATGCAACTACCGAACACTAGAGGCAAAATGTGCTCAGTACACTGAATGGAACTTCCAGAAAGTTGTTCAAGGTAGAGACTTTCTGTCAATGAATGGGTCCACCTTGTTTGAATTTCTATCCAGTTCTGAATTGGTCGTTCACAGTGAATATAGTCTCTTCCTTCACCTCAAACGATGGTTGCTAAGCAATCAAGCTCATTGCCGAAAGTGTCCGCGTGCACGCAGGGTTATGGTAGAAAAAATGGCTGGGTGTGTACGTTTCAATATGATGACGTCTGCCCAATTGGAGCTTTTGTGTCAGGATAATTTCATCCATGAATATGCAGACATCTTTGAAGAAGGCCTGATGCAGGCATTTCAGTACCATTCCATCACAGCAGTAGAATACTTCACTAAACTCGACGAAAAAGACGGAGGCATGTCCAGCGCTTCACCAGATAGTAACTCATCAGATCCTGAGAAAGTCGTTACCTCATGTCAACCATCCAGTAGACCTAGAAACTACACATGTGAAGACTGGAGCTGTCAGTTCACTCTAGAAAACTTCTCCTGCCTGGACGATTTCACAACCAGAACATTTTTCTTCTCCACGCCTGTGAGTAGCTCAGCTGCAGATGACCATGCATGCTGGGACTGGCAAGTGGATCTTTATCCCAAGGGCGTCCGCTTCCCCAAGGCTATCATGATCGGCATCTTGGAGAACTATGAAATTGACCAGCACGAGCATCACATCACGAGGCTGGGCGTCATGGCCAAGTCCGTCCACGGTGAGATCCGCAATGTCGAAGTGTCAATCCTAGCCCTGGCTTCGGGCATCAATGGCTCCGAATACATCCGAAATGTTGTGAAGAAACAATGTATTTTCGACTTTGATGGCTGTCTTCATAATCTAGATGATATTGTTCCATTTGATGAACTGATGGCAGCAGGATCGGTGTATCTCACAGAAGAGGACCGTAACACTTTCAAAATCCTCATCATCATCAAGCCAGTTAGATGATGTCCATCAACAGCATCTGCCAATGTTTGCCATAATAAGCTCCAGGTGCTTTTCTTATGTGCGGTGTGAATTTATTCACATGTCTTATCCCTGTTATCAGCATGACTCAGTGTTTTATTTTGTTATCGCTAGGGTAGATATACCTAATGTTTACAATAATATTTCATGGCAGTGTTGTTAATGACGGGGTTCCAGCATTTCTTGAATGTTGGTCATCATGATCCATCCACACTCTATTCCTACATGTCATGATATGTCTCATCTGTAACCATGGTAACACCTGAAACTAATGCAAATAATAAACCACATGATATTCAGTGACCATAATGACCATGTTAGTATTTTTATTTTGATAATTATTATTAACATATGACAGACTGTGAGAGAAGCGTACTTGAGTTGAATTTGGAAGGTAAAAAGCTACAAACTTATGAGATCTGTTCTCAGGCAAATATTCCCTGTTTTAATGATTTTGAGAAAAAAGAGCAAGATGAATCTTTTTTGTGTGAAAAATGTGTTGCTGAGATGTAAGAATTTACAGTTTTTGTCTCGGAAAAGAAATTAACTGTTTATGGCATGAGTATTTCCATAACCCTGTAACCATGGTAACGTGTGGGCATAGTAGAATTGTCTAGAAGTAAGACTTTATGTTCTTCGAATTATTTAGCAGTACAACACCTGTCATTCAATTAACATGATTACCAAAGATTAATACTAATTCATTTGTACAGCTTGGATTTGTTGAACAATGATAACAATCATAAGAATTCACATGATTCAGATATTTTGTTAAACCATGCTATTTTAAAAATCTTTGATAGGCATTTAGAAGTTGGAAGACCATGAATACATGACATTTTTGGGGAAGTTATCCATAAAAAAGTATCATGTATTCATGCTATTTTTGTGCTTAAGGAGGGCAACTTTTTGTTAGATTCCACAAAGGAATAAAATGTTTTGTATGAAGGAGGTTGCTTTTAATTGGAACAAAATAGAATATCAGTTTTATCTGGGTATGATGGGCCAGATTATTTTTGTTAGAAAACAATCAAGAAATAATATGTCAGTAACTTAGCCTTGTTAGCTTGCTTTGTTATTATTGATATGTATTTTATATTGATAATGCCTCATAGAAATGGTATTAACAAGTTGTGAACTTGATGATGTGAGGCTACCAGAGGTTTAACAATATGGTTGGATCGCGAAATGATATGTATCCCGATACTATAGGTGCGATTATGATTCGTACCCCTATAGGGCCAATAATACAGTACCTTTTTCATAAGTTGATATTCTTTCTTTTTTCAGATAAATCACAACCCTGAATCATTTGTTTTTAAATTTCTTAAATCGAAGATAGTATATTGTAGGCCAGAAACATTAGGCTAGAGGACACTGTGGATGTTATGCTATTTATAGCCAACCGGGAAATACTATAGCATGATAGACTCTGTGTAATCTGTTATATTTCATGTTTTTACACCAATATAACTTGTAACGTTGCATGATGTAATGTATTGTATTTATTGTATGTATTGTGATATGGGGGTTGTATATCAAAGTATTATAACATGGGCCTTGTATCGGGATACAATATTGTATCGCCATATTGTTACACCAATAGAAGACATTTTAAAATTGTAGATAACACATTAACATCAATAACACATTTGAAGCAGAGTAAATGTGACGTTAGTCTGTCGTACAGACCCTGAAACAAGTATATCCAATACAGCCCATGCAAGTCTATAATATTTGGCAAGTGAAGATTACTCTGAAATGAAGAGAATCTTTGGACTCCTTTTTAATATGTTTCATAACTATAGTTTACAACTCTTTTCATCTGTAGAGTGTGTTCATTTCAGAGACTAGATGTTAATCTAATGTTACCAATGAATATTAAGATAATTTACCATATTCAACGAAATAAGCGCCCTACTCTAAAAAGCGCCCACAGCGATATTTGCTAATATATTGGTTAGTGAACAATCTCAATTAGCACACCTTCCCATTGATCAGTGTGCACAAGACTTATTTATTCGTGTATAATACGCACTTGTGTGTTATAAGCACCCTTAATTATGGGCAATTAAATTATGGAAAATATATCTGTCATGTATAATACACACAGACTTTTCTTTTGTATTATTTCAGGCTGTTGGCATAAACCACGAAATTTACGATCTTTCAACTCTGTTTATTTTTCTCACCAAAACTATATTCTACTAAGAGCCCCCTATTTCTAATTCTGAGAGCGCCCTGGGCGCTTATTGCGTTGAATACGGTATTCTAATCATGATGATCATGTTTCAGCCAACACATAAATTGCCATGATTCCTATGCAAATCACATCACTTAGAAGTTTGAGATGCTATGAAATTTAATAATTAATGGTATCGTGAAATTGTAGCAGGGCGTGGAGTCGTCCCACAGATGACATCCTTACCTTGTCAGCTTGCTGACGGGGTTAACCTCTTTGGTCATGTGGACAAGGCGTCCGACCTCTGCTCGGAAGGTCCTAGGTTTGAACCCTATCACGAGACTTGGAAATTTTATGGCCGCTACAAAATGAAACCGTACAGTTTGTGTAAATTATGACTCCTTCCTCTCTACCACCACCCTACCCCACCCCCATGTGAAAAATGCAAAGGCAAGATACTGATAAGGCTTCCGTTCTAACTTAAACTGTTTAATGCCTAAAATAAACATTGAAACAGACATATGGCATTGCAGGGTTTTTGAAAAGAAAAAAGCTTAATGACCTGACTACCCTATTTTGAAATTAGTGTATTGTTTTTATTTGGACTAAAGATCGAGAAAACTCCATGGTCAAGTGTTCTTTAGATACCCATGTCTTATATGGCCCCTCTTGATGCACTGTAACGCAGAATCAATGTGAAACAGTAGTACAGTCAAGTCCCGTTAATCCGGCATGGTTGGTTGCATACGATTATGTCGGTATAACAAGTATGTAGGATAAACGAAATTAAGTAGTATCAAAGTTTGTGACTGAAAATCAGACAACTACACGATAGATAACAATTCAAACACGTTGTAATAAAAAATGAAATATTCATATTGTGATGTAACGTTGTTAGCGGAAAATGTTTTCTTATCATGCAACCTCTAATACTTAACATCTGTATGACTGATTCAAAATACTTTAAAAAACAGTCTGGAATTGAAGTCGCCAGTATGAAACTAGAGCCGCAAAGCTCAAGAAAGCGTTCTTGGTGGCCAATGTTGACTTCCTGTTAGTCAGACCGCCTCCATGGTCTAGTGGTAGAGCGTCCGCCCGGAGAGCGGGGTTTCAGGGGTTCGATCCCCGGCCGCGTCATACCAAAAGACGTTAAAAGATGGTACTTGTTGTTACCCTTTCTGGCACTAGGCATTAAGGGGGTAAAACAAGGACCGGTCGGCTCGGAGTCAGTATACTGTGTCTGAGTAGGGTATTCATGTGAAACTGCGGTATGGTATCTCAGTGAGCTAGCACTATAAATCAGCAGCAGTCCGGACTAGCACAAGCAGCCACACTTCACACACGTACATGCACATCGCTATATAAGTGCAATAATCTTTGACGCGATGTTATACCCCATTTCACCTCACCTCACTCCTGTTAGTCAGTTATGTATGTATGTATATTTTCTGGACCTTTTGATGAAAAAACATTGTTTTATCATTGTAATAGTAGCATTGTAACTGTGATAAGGTGATGATCACGTTTGCCTTTGCACAATGTAGATTTTACCTTTATCATGTTTATACAACGTAGTTTTTTGCCTTCTCGCAATGTAGAGTTCTTTGAAATCTTTGACATGACGTCAAGAACTAATATGTCCGCTATCTCTGAGGTGAAGCAGGTTGGATATGAAGGAGTTAAGGGAGGTAACTCTGATTAGTTTTGCAAGTGTTGAGTTCTGTCTTTTCAAACAAGGATCTTTTTTGATCAAAACAAATGGAAAAGTATTTTTGCGGTATGCTGGTATTTTCCTTAATGGAGACCATCACAAGAGTAGCTCATTGTGATGTTAACAGTTGATATATTGATGTTTCATTAATGAAAAGTCAAACACTTCAACAAAAAAATGGTTCCTCTGAATAGACAAATCCTGGGTGTAGAGGAATTTTCATTTGTATTCATACTACTAAAACAGTTAAGAATCACCCGATTCTTTCATATTACTATAGTAATCTGTCATGGCATGACAAGATCAACTAAAGTAATATGAAAGAATCAGGTGATCCTTAACCTTTTTCGAGTAGTATATATAGACACAGCAGTAATCTCTCAAAGGTCAGGTTTCTGGACAAATGATGTGTCACTGTATGACATCATCAGGTAACCAGATATGAACCAGTATTAATAATTCAATAATAGATTTTCACCCACATGTGAGGGGTATGTTATTTTTCATATTTTATTTTAAACAAACTGTTCAACACATCTGTGTTCATTAAATATGGAAAGTTTGATTCACATGAAGCACTAGGTAGGACTTTGAAGGTGTATTTCACCATGCAATGAATGTAAAGTACATAGTGAGTGTCTTTGTCCATGGATACATAGGGACCCTGGAATGATGTGAGGTGGGGTAGTGAAACGTACGGAAGCCTTTTAGCATGTTTAGGGCCATTTGTTTTTTGTTTTGTTTTTTTGTCTTGAAATTTCAAGATGTTATGTGGAAATTTCAAAATGCTGAGTTGAAATTTCACGATGCAATGTAGAAATTTCAAGATAAGTTAGTTAAAATTTGAAGATAATAATCTTGAAATTCCAAGATACTAAGTTGAAATTTCAAGATATCAACTTGAAATTTCCACTTATTATCTTGAAATTTCAACTTGGTATGTTTCTTGAAATTTCAACTTAGTATCTTTAAATTTCAACATAACATCTTAAAATTTCAACTTAGTATATGTGTATCTTAAAATTTCAGCTTATGTATCTTGAAATTCCAAGTCAGTATCTTGAAATTTCATTATAACATCTTGAAATTTCAAGTTAGCATCTTGAAATTTCAAGAATGAAAATGGCCTAAAAGGCTTCCGTAGACGGTGGAGGTGAAGATGTAATAATTGTGACAATTTTTATCGGCCTTACCCCGGTTAGGACCCGGGTTTGTTTGACCATGTCAAACATCAGACCTAGTTCTACCTACACACCACTGGCATTGCCTAGAAGAAGCTATCATGCCATCTGAAGCAATACTCCGAACATCCTATACATCCTATACAAATTATCAGATAATATATCAGACATTTTAATCATCTTTTCCTCTCAGTATTTGTTGACTTGCTGTTTTGATTGTTTATATGCTGATTTTTTAAAATAAAATCTAATTTGATTTTGGGTACTTTTGTTGTTTGTGGAGGTTTATGAAAATTGGACGATCCTCCTTTGTTCTCAGGTCCTCAGAAGTGCTCTCTGTATCTAGTGGTAGAGGGTCCGCCCGGAGAGAGGAAGTTCCGGGGTTCGATCCCCGGCCGCGTCATACCAAAAGAGTTAAAAGATGGTACTCGTTGTTACCCTGTCTGGCGCTCGGCATAAAGGGGCTAAAACAAGGACTGGTCGAATCGGAGTCAGTATACTGTGTCTGAGTGGGGTATTCATGTTAAACTGCGGCATGGTATCTCAGTGGGCTAGCCCTATAAACCGGCATCAGTCCGGACTAGTACAAGCAGCCACACACACGCGCATGCACGTCGCTATATAAGTGCAATAATCTTGGACGCGACGTTAAACCCCATTTCACCTCACCACCTCTGTATTGTTGACAGGCTATGATGTAATCGAAATAATGTTTGAGATCTGCATTACTCCCACATCAAGCTGACACGCCGTGATATAACTGGAATACTGCTCAAAGCGGCGTTAAACAGAACTCACTCACTCACTCACTCATTCACTTAGTACCTGTATTGTTGAATTGCCACCTTTGTTACCAGGGTTCACTTGCACGAAGCGATGGTGCTACGATGATTATACTTAACATATCAAGGAAATATCACGAGTTTCAAACAAGAAATGTCGCCTACAAATGTATTCAGTAAAACACTTGGCAATGTACGTTGTAACAGCTATGCATGTCATGCATAGTATACTATGAGTCCCAAACTTCCATCACTACAGACACATTAGCCATGCGTCTGTTTTATACAACTGGAATAAAACCTATCTGATCTCAACCCAAACGATATGACGTCAACTTGATACTAGCTTCAATCGTAACTCATATTTTGACATCGACTTATATATATAGCTCATGCACTAGGATTGTTTTCTGAAACATGAAATGCAGGGGCGGTTCTAGGATTAAAAAAAAAAGGAGGGGGGTCAACTTGGGCCATTTGTACCTTCAGGTGTGCGTGTGTGTTAGGGGAGGGGGAGGTGTGTGTATGTGTGGGGGTGGGGTGTGTGTTTCCACCCCTAAAGTCTCTATGGTGTATTCATCTTAGCTACCCCAAATCTTTTACATGCATAGGCGTGCACTCTTTCAATAAAGTCTAACTTCATCATAGTTCATATCTCAGACCCCGACATCAAAATAGGATTAATTTTTGTATCGAAGATCTTAAAAAATGTATCAAAGTTGACATCACCAAGGTTTTTGAGATTCCTTTAGAATGCCATAGAAGGAATTTGTCTGGGTGGCAGCTTGTATTGAATGGAAATTCCATGACAGTATACTGGAAAAATAGACGCCCAGATATTTGTACTTAGTGACATCTTATAATTTGCCTTTATAAAAAAATATTTTGATGATATACCCCTGTTTTTTTAAAACAATTTGCTTATTTTTTCCCATGTTCACAAAACTGTTCTAATACATTCATTTGTTTTAATCCAGTTATGGTGTTGGAAATAATTACACTATCATCAGAAAATAGCAGTAAAAACAGTTGTACAATGTCGGGATTTTACTTTTCCATTGACATTTTATAACTAAGGGCGAGATTCTTAAGTATAAACCACAATTTATCACGATGTACAGAGTCGAATGCCTTGCTAAAGTCTACAAATAATCTCCCCCCATATCTTTGAAAGATATATACTTTCTCTGAAGCCGGTTATCAATCAAATCCCTCTCTTTACATTTCTCGGGCATACTGTTTGTGACCTAACGCAATTATGATGTTCTTTCCTTATGACGTAGCCCGTGTTCTTCACATTATGACGTCATAGCATTTTCGATTACGTCATTTAACTACAACCCATGTTGTGACAAGATGGCGGACACATGACTTCTAACAAATATGCCGGTTACCCCCGTCGAAGGTATGTACTATGAGGTGTTTGTTTGCCTGCAGCAAGAGGCGACTATTCTTGTCGTATGAGACGTCTAACGGGATCGGGTAGTCAGGCTCGTTTACGTGGTTGATGCATGTCATTGTATCCCACTTACGGAGATCCATGCTCATGGTGTCAATCACTGGATTGTCTGGTCCAGACTCGAATATTTACAGACCGCCGTCATATACCTGAAATATTGCTGAATGCGGCGCTAAAAAACAAACAAACAAACATATTTTCACTTAACTACTGACTCACCTTGAAAGTTAAACGACCGGTAAAAGATATGTATGTCCTGAGAGAATAACCGACAAATAATCCTCAGCGAAGCTCCCCGTCCAGTGTAGGTTCTGAAAGCCATGTGATATCCGATTCGTCTTCCAGCTGAACCCCCGACCTTAGATGAGTTTGATCTGCTGCTAGAGGACAAGGCCTTCGTGGACCACTTCAATGTCTTCCTGTCTCTACCCGTGAGTACCTGGACGTATAACATGTCCCTGGAGTCACTGACCACCGCCCTGTGGGACCCGGATGAACTATGTTGTTTGTCTATAGCGGCGACGTAACTTGATTGATTGCACATCATCGATATCCGTGAAGATCCGAGAGAACAATAGCACTTCGGCAACACATGCTTGCCGTAAAAGGAGACTATGCTTGTCGTAAGAGGCGAGTAACAGGACCGGGTGGTCAGTCTTGCTAACTTGGTCGATGCATGTCAGCCTATCCCAATTGCGTGGATCGATGCTCATGATGTCAATCACTGGATTGTCTCGAACAGACTCGATTATTTACAGACCGCCGTCATATAACTGGAATATTGCTGAGTGCGGCGTCGAACAACAAACAAACGAAGCATGTCATCGTTTAGATGTTTGAGCATGTCATCGTACCCTGACGACCTGGACGTTGCTTATAATATCAATCACTGGTTTGTCTGACCCATACTTGACTATTTACAGGCAGCCGTGATGTAGATTGAACATTCATGACTGCTGCGTAAAACAACAGAAAAATTTAACACACCTCTCCTGCGGGGATTCCGAGACCGAATAGGTGACAAGTAGTGAGTGGGTTGGGGTTAACGCCGCTTTTAACAGTATTCCAGTCATATCACGGCGTGTCAGCTTAATGTGGGAGGAAAGCCCCAAGTGATCCAGGTCTTAGACGTTTACCACTTCGGTGAAACCCACGAGCACGGGTATGGTGCTGACAAACCTAGAAACATAATCGGGGTGAACCGGGATTCGAACCCACAATCATAGGTTTCTGGCGTGCCCAAGGGACGCAACTCTGCACAGCGAATCGCGGCGCCTTAGACGACTGGGCCACCCGTGCCCCCACGTCCCAAGTAAGAGTGGACTCCCAATGGGATCGGGTGTCACAATGTGTGCCTCATACAATCAACTCGGTTATCCACTTGTCGTCGTAACTGGAATATTGTTGCCTGCGTTGTGATAGACAACACACTCACAACTCACAAGAGGATTATACAGCTGGAGACACGCCATCTTCCCAAGGCAAGGGTGTGAACTGATTTTAAAGTCCAGTTTCCACTTTTAAAGTAGGTTAACTCCCTTGCCTCGGAAAGATGGAGAGGCATTATAACATTGATTTTCGTATGCCAAATAACTTCAGATCGACCATAGCACTGCTGGAGATCAAATCAAGTATAAACAAATCAAGTATAAACAATCCCATGGGCTAGAGAGTATATATAATGATAACTGTATTTCTGGGACTAAATGTTTATTGTGTCATACGTGGGGGAAGAGGTTGGGTCCTGGGTTAAGCCCTGGAGTAATCGTAAAACTTATTGATGACCCCAATGTGCCGACTTTCATCTCTGCAGGTGTTCGGGCAACAAGCCATCTACAGCTTCAGGGAGAAAGAGTTCGAATTCGATCCCCCAATCCGGCGCCGTCGATACGTAAGTGGTCATAGCTTATTGCGTCGCCGCAATTCCGTTCCCTTCGAGTGTTGCGGTAAAGTAGTGAGTTCTCTTTGGCAAGCAATGGAATGGAGCCATGTCTGAAATTAAATTCGAACCATGATACTTTCTTATATCATCAGAAGCAGGTGCCTTTTATATACTGACCAAAAAATATTAAGGGTGAAGAATACTTTTTGGGATATTTTTTGTAGTGAAGACTGATCACACAATTTCCATCTTCCCGAGGTAAGGGAATTAGCTGACTATAACATTCCAGTTTCCACCCTTGCCGAACTACGCTGGAATTGTGAAGTTGTATTTTGGATGGAATAACGATTATGATTAGTCCAATCAAACTCGCGTAACGAAATCGACATCCGGTTTGTAAACTGCATGTACATAGTTTTCGGTCGTTTGCAGGATTTGCAAAGCATGTGTACCGACAACAGATATTTTCAAAATCTTTTCATGTTTTTAACCAGAGTGCTCACGTTATCTGATGCACTTCGCGAAGTAAGACCCGTTTTATTTCAAAATAGATCTTGATTATCGATCATATCGTTTTGAGTTGGCGCCGCGCCATTTTGTTTGAAGCAAATGCAGTTATATGAAAGGTGGAATCTGAGTGAGTGAGTTGGGTTTAACGCCGCTTTGAACAGTATTCTAGTTATATCACGGTGTGTAAGCTGAATGTGGGAGGAAAGCCCGAAGTGATGCAGGTCTCAGACGTTTACCATTTCGGTGAAACCCACGAGCACGGGTATGGTGCTGACAAACCTAGAAACATAATCGGGGCGAACCAGGATTCGAACCCACAATCATAGGTTTCTGGCGTGCCCAAGGGACGCAACTCTGCACAGCGAATTGCGGCGCCTTAGACGACTGGGCCACCCGTGCCCCCCTGAATCTGATTGGTCATTTTGAGGGACATAGCAGGGACATAACTCGTAATAGTCACTGGTGGCGCTACAATCTGGCCCAGTCTACTTCAACAAGGGTGGAAACTGGACTTATATGGTCCGTTAACTTCGTTGCCTCGGAAAGATGACCATTTTTTTCAAAATATCCCCAAACATATTCGTGATCCCAAAACATTTTGATTCAGTATCGTAATACAGAGTGACAAGGCGGTGTGTTTTGTCTGAGTTGATCAAATGCAGCTATATTTTTTCTCAATATAAACACATTCACAAATTACTAACGTTTCCTCCTCTGTCGTCTCCAGTTCATCCACCGACGGTCTGTGATCAACTGGTTGCGACTGGAGCGGTTTCCCTACTTCCGGCAGACCCGCCTATACGTGGAATACCTACTTTGCACTAGACTAAGGGAGGTCGGCTTCCACGTGCAGGATGCATCCGGAAAAGGTCGGGTAGGCCACAACAAATTGATGACTTGTTCGTCCGATTGTTTTGTCAAGAGGACAAGGCAGGATAAGCACTCATTTTTTGCCCTCACGATGTTCATAATTTATAATTTTAAAAATTATTAACAAAACATTTAGAATCTTTCCAAAATCCAAATATCCAAATAAAAATAAGAATTTAAATTTAAAACGTCTTTTACACCTGCATATTTTGGTCTAATTATCCCCCGCCCAACGAAGTTGGCGGGGGATATAGAAACGGGCTCCTTCCGTACGTCCGTCCTTCCGTCACGTTTCGTTTCAGGAGCATAACTCATAAACCATTCAATATTTTTTCATGAAACTTTGCAGGTCTGTCAGGTACATGCTGAACTGGTGCCTTTTGCTATTTAGAAATTTTAGAAATGTTTATTTTTTACGTTTCCATGGCAACAAGATGGACTCAGGTTCTGTTAGGGTAGGGTTCGTTTCCGGAGCATAACTCATAAACCGTTCAATATTTTTTCATCAAACTTTGCAGGTCTGTCAGGTACATGCTGAACTGGTGCCTTTTGCTATTGAGAAATTTTAGAATTTTTTATTTTTTACGTTTCCATGGCAACAAGATGGACTCAGGTTCTGTTAGGGTAGGGTTCGTTTCCGGAGCATAACTCATAAACCGTTCAATATTTTTTCATGAAACTTTGCAGGTTTGACAGGTACATGCTGAACGGGTGCCTTTTGCTATTTATAAATTTTATAAAAAAAATTTTTTTTACGTTTCCATGGCAACTAGATGGATTTAGGTTCCAAACTCTTCTTTTTTTTACAATTTCCATGACAAGTTCCACCTCGGTTAAAAAAGGTTAGGGTTTGCAACAGGGGCGGGGGATATAGCCACGTTAGTGGCAAACTCTTGTTACAATTTCAGTGGAAGTCCAATATGTGTTAAATGACTGCTTTTATTGGTTTTCTTTTCCAACAAGCGTTTTTCTCATAACTGTAGCCACACGTCTGTTCTTGATCACCAAATAAGGCAAAGACTTGACAGTGTAAGGTAGACAAAAGGGATAGATGTCAATAAAACGGTCACGAGTAACATTTTTTTCAGATCAGCCGGAAACACCCGAGGCGACACGAGTGTTCACGGTGAACCTTCTGAGTCACGTGGTGGGCACGCAGCTATTCCGGGAGTCGATGCGCGGCACCAATGGCGAGAGAGTCTACAACTGCTGGGTGGACATTGGAACCTTAAAGCAAACCACGGACCCCATTCGGCAACGACAACAGTTTCAACGCATCAATAAGTTGTACATCGCCGACGGTGGTCCCCAGGATCTTAATGGGAACAAGAAATATCTCGTTCAGTATGGTACTAATCGTGAAAAAACGTTGATTCGGAATATCAGAACCAAATTAATATGCTTTAGAGATTTGAAATTGATCATTATAATATTTGTGCCCATTTTCCAAAAGCGAACTTGACGTACACATACTTTACATAAACTGAGGGGCAAAAGAAACTATACCTCTCAGTTCATTCTATCATATACATATATATATACTACGTTTATAACGAACACGCTTATAACGACTTGACGGATATAGCGAACTTACTTTTTTGTCCCGACTATTTGCTGTAGTTATGCTGTATATATGCTAAAACGAACTACGGTTATAACGAACTAAAATTAGTGGTCCCTTTGAGTTCGTTATATCCGTAGTTTACTGTACAAGTATTTGATTTTCAATTGAAAATATCTTAAGTTAGCGATATTATAAAAAAAATAAATAACTGTTGTGTCAACCCTTAAAGAATACTTCTACATGGTTTTATTTAAAAAATATAATTTGAATTATAACGTATACAAGTTTATAAAGAATTTTGCATTATACACAACTGCTGACATTTTATCATTGAAACTCAATAAATTTGCTTTTTTCGGCAAAACTTTTATTTTCACACATCGTAGGGTCATGTGGTTGCAATTCATTTTTTTTACCACAGTCTACATTGAACCAATGTATTTTTATCCAAGATTACCAAGTCAGACTACTTTTTACAAACGGAATGAGTGAGGGTTAAACAGAAATAATCAGATTTAACAAGTTTTTTTCAATTTCCACTTACATAAAAAATATACTCGGTATACTTTCTTTTGTCCTTCAGTTTACAGCAATATGTTTCTAAAACATGAATGAGTATGTTGGGTTTGGGTTTAATAAAACTATTCACTTTATTAGGGCAACTGAATTTCGAGATTTTGGACAAGAACATAACAGAGGTCATAGGAACGTTGTCAAGGCTGCCATACACTGACGATGTGTTTACTCTTGACGCCGAGGACGCCTTGACGACGCTACAGGGGCACCTGCTGGAGCTACTCAAGGGGTACTGGGTCCCTCGCCACGTGCTGCACGTGCTCAACACAACCAACGTTGAAGTCCTGAAGGTAAGCAATATGCAATATATTGTCACGAAGTGAGTGAGTGAATGAGTGGAGTTCAACTTCGCGTTGAACAGTATTTGATTTTTGTTTGTTTGTTTGTTGTTTAACGCCACACTCAGCAATATTCCAGCTTTAAGACGGCGGTCTGTAAATAATCGAGTGAGGACCAGACAATCCAGTGATTGATATCATGAGCATCGATCCACACAATTGGGGTACGATGACATGCATCAGCCAAGTCAGCGAGCCTGACCGCCCGATCTCGTTAGTCGCCATGTATACTCTACGGCAAGCATGGATTGTTGAACACCTATTCTACCCCGGATATTCACAGGTCGTATTTGAGTATTTGAGTTGGAGCAAGGCGTGTCAGATTAATGTGCGAGTTGGGACGGTGAGGTAACCTAGACATGCTGAAGATCCGGGTTCGATTCCTAACATGGGTATATCCCGCCGCGAGATTGATGGAATATTGCAAAAGCGGCGTAAAATCCAACTTATTCAATCGTACGAGTACCCACAGGTCGTGTGCACGACCACGGGTATGGTGCTGACAAAACCTCGAATGATAATCATAGGGGATCTGACACCGTCATCGGATCTTGACACGACTAAGGGGCGCAACACCGCACTTGATACTCAGTTTGATACTCACGTATGTTACTGATGGTGACTAAGCTCTGTAGAACCATATTGGGTGTCTTTCAGCCACTCTTCAGCAGGTGTGAGGGCGAAGATTTAAGTTTTGACGAGGTGGACCGAATGGTCAGGTGTCGCCGGATGTTCCCGAGGTTTGTCATCGCTCAGCCGGAAGCTTTTGCCGTCCCCACGGAAGTGTTCGCATCCATCACAGAGAAGGATGACCCTCGCCTACCGCAACCCTCTCCCGACGTGTTCGAACCCAGGGAGGTGAAACTGGATGATCTGCTAAAGCTCTGGGGAGGTGAGGATATGTCTGACTCGGAGGGAGAGAGTTTGGTCAACAACGCCGCTTTTAACGATATTTTACTGAAATCACAGGCCAAAATGACGTCATCGTTTGGGGTGAGCTGAAATGGGGTAAAGACGTTTCGTGCAAGTTTATTGAACTTATATAGGGACGTGTGTGCCTGCGTGTACTAGTCTTGAATAATGCCGGTATTTCTAGTGCTAACTAGAGTGAGTGAGTATGGTTTTACGCTGCTTTTAGCAATATTCCAGCAATATCACAGAAATGGGCTTCACACATTGTACCTATGTGTGGAATCGAACCCTGGTCTTCAGCGTGACGAGCGAACGCTTCAACCACCAGGCTACCCCACCGCCCTCTAGCTAGATATACCGTATCGCAGTTTAACATGAATACCCCACTCAGACACATTATGCTGACTCCGAGCCGACTAGTCTTAGCCCCTTCATGCTGAGGTCCAACAACAAGTACCATATTTTAAAGTCTTATTGTATGACGTCATCGGTGATCGAACCGCCAATCTTCCGCTCTCCGGGAAGCCGGTCTATCAACTAGACCAAGGAGGCGGTGCAAGCTACGGTCAACATTAAAGACAACATTATAACAACGTCATCGTATGGCACTTTGGTGAAACCCAGTACGATATGAAACTAACTGATAGACCAGGTTTCAAAATCGGGTCGTCTCTTGGATTCAAATCCACAACCTGTGGTTGTGTATGTTCAGGTGGCCATCCGATTCCCCTTGTCTTGGCTTGACGGACTGAACGTATATGTGTTTCTCATTTGTTTCAATATCGCAGTTTTCTGTAATTTTAAATATACAGTAAACTACGGTTATAACGTACACGCTTATAACGAACTGACGGATATAACGAACTTACTTTTTTGTCCCCACTATATGTTGTAGTTATGCTGTATATATGCTTATAGCGAACTACGGTTATAACGAACTAAAATAAGTGGTCCCGTTGAGTTCGTTATAACCGTAGTTTACTGTACTAGTATTCTACATTCGGGGATTCAAGCAAATATATAAACATAAGTACTCTCAAGCCGAATGATTGAGAGCGAAACAAAAAGAATGTATACATAATGAAGGCACCAGGTCGAAAGCTTGTGATAACGTGTATCTATGTATCTAAATATATTGTTTGTATACAGGATCGGCTCTAAAACCCCCGGAGGAGACCGCTCCCGAATTAGAGAGCTATCCAGTGTCCAGGCCGTGGTCAGCGGTGTCGTGGGCAGAAGACGAAGACACCAATGTCACCCCAGATAGTCCATGCAGGGAGTGGAACTCGAGTTCACCAGAGGACAACATCGACAACACCAGGACACCATCAGGGTCGTCTGTGTCGAATTTGTTACAACAAACATCGAGCTTTCATATCACGGACAACAGCCCCAGTCGGATGGTGCTGTCCAGTATAGACCCAAAGAAGCTGAGTAGCATGCCGCTTCTCCTTAAAACCTATGTGTTAGGGCGGAGGGATTACAAGACCAATGCTCCGCGAGTGAGTAATCGCATCCTTTGCGCGCTTGTGTCAGACAACCTGGCTGGGTCTCCGTTCTTGCAGTTCCTTCAGAAGTCTAATATGGTCCACGACATCAATTATCTCAACTTCTGGGACGATGTGAGGACTTATTTGAGGACGGATGACAAGTTGAACAGTCACGGCAACAGCAGTAAGAAGGTCATGGCGAGAAAGCTGACAGAGCGTTATCTGTTGGCGTCTGAGGACGAGGCCATTTTCTCTGAGGGTCTCAAGATGGCATTGTTGAACGCTCTCTCGAGTGGAGATGATGAGTCGCTGTTGTTTTCCGCGCACGACATCGTTTCCAGTGTAAGGATCTCATGTATGTCCAAATAGGTGTCAAAACAAAATGATCTCTGTCTGCCGGAAACCGTTTCCGTTGACCGTTTGTGGTAGTCGTAAAAATAAATAGAGTTGTGAGTGAGTTTGTTTTGACGCCATTTTGAACAGCATTTAGTTATATCACTGCTTAAAGTTAAAGTGGGCCGTAGATATTAAAACTTTTGTGAAGTCTATAAACACGGGTATAATGACTTGTAGTGGCTCATTCGGGATTAGAACACACGACCTACGGGTCCTGGTAACTAAGGAATGCAACTCCTTAGGACTTATTGATAACTCCTGGGACACGTGTGTTCACAATATCTCTCACTTTATTTCTTCAAAGCAATTATTAAAAGTGACAAAAGTCGTCCTAAATGATCCTGGGTTTGTCAGCACGGTGTAGTGAAATTCCCAATGGTGCACGCCAAGCCGAAGCTAGAACAAATAGTCAATAACTCGATTGCCAATACACGTATTTGCTGTCTTTCAGAGTCTCAATATTTCATGGAAGAAGTATGCTCAGATTGACAGACGGAAGTTCGTCAGGACAGCGGTAGGTACGAGCAGAACTCTAGGACTGTGCTCCCCTAATTTGTAAGGCTGCATGAAAACAATTTAATGTTTGGGCAATTAGACCGGAAAAGTCTCCATATTATTATTTATATAATGTAAAAAAATGTGCGAAACAAAAGAAAACAACGAAAATTATATTTTACATCCTTGTTTCAAAGAATATATATATTCGAGGGTTTTACACACCGGTGACGAGAACCAGAATATATCACGGATTAATAAATAATCATTAAGGGAACATGGTACTGCTTTATTGTGAGGTGACTATGCTTGTCGTAAGAGGCGACTAACGGGATCGGGTGGTCAGGCTCCCTGACTTGGTTGATGCATGTCATCGTATCCCAAATGCGTGGATCGATGCTCATGATGCCAATCACTGGATTTTCTCGTGCAGATTCGATTATTCATAGACCGCCGTCATATAGCTGGAATATTGCGGAGTGCGCCATTAAACAACAAACTGATTGTTCCGTTAAACAACATTCTCTCTCACGGCTGACGCCATCCTATTTCAGTGCGGCAAGCGGTTCATGTTATTTGTCAATCGTCTACAATCCCCTGTGCCACGCGTGCGGATCCCAACTGGGGATGCAGACCCCTTGTATTTTTTGGACGCGCGTCAACGCGTTCAAAATAAAGTCGACAGCGAATGCAGCTCCGACTCAGCGTCGCCCGTTCCCCAGTACGACAACGTCTACGTGAAACCCCTCGGTGAGGATCACAGGACAAAAGCATTGGAACACACAGTGATGTCCTCAGAAGATGGTGAGTGATTGTCAAGAAACGCTTGTTTTCTTCTATCTGCACGCTGCTTCCTCAACGATCCTGTGTATTGTGACTCTATTGTATTAAATGCCACGATCCCATTCTATGGCCGCGTTTTTTAGTCCGATTCGAATGTCACAACGTCTTAAAAAACATGTCTAATCACATTTTACACTGACGGAAATACAAGTACGTCCTTATTATGTTTCTAGGTTTGTCAGCGCCATACCTTTGCTCGCTGGTTTCACCAAAGTGGTAAACATCTTAGACCTGCATCACTTCGGGTTTTCCTCTCAGCTGACACAATAGTATATATAATAGCTGATATAATAGTAATACCGCTAAAAGTGGCGTTAAAACTCACTCACTCTGACAGAATATACTGATATACAGACGTTACTGGACGCTAGCTATCTCTGTTTGTACACAAGATAGCGAATGGGTGCAGTGTATTCAATTGATATAATGCACCTAATAATAGTGAATTTTCTTATTGGAAATAAACAATTATCGGCATATTTATAGTGAGAAGGCCGAATGTTTTCACCCCCTTATCAGTAATAAGGAATGTTTGATAAAAGTAATTGTCTGGTTTCCCGTAACAAAAAATATTGCAGGCGGACCAGTAACTATTAAAGTCACATATCCCATCTGTGTAATTATATATTTAGTACTTTTATCACCTATACTGTTTAAAAAAACCGACCTCTTAAATATCGTATGTGCATCACGCGCAGCTGTGTATTGTTTACGTGAACCAGGCGACATTGTTGACATCATTCGAATCGTATTGTGACGTAAGGTTGAAATGACGTCACACAAGAAACGACATCACAGCCGAAGATTGATGACGTCGTTCGACAATGATGGTTTTCTAAGACGGCGGTCGTGATCAGTGTTTTTTTTAAAATTATTACGCTCGCATATGTGTCTTGCTGATGTTACAAAACCCATGTAAAAGTTCATGTATTACTCTCGCTCCCGCTCGGGAAATAAACGAGTTCCGACACTCGCTTAGTAAAATCAGTATGACACACATGCTCGTATAACAATCTCTATATGTCACATAGTTAATAACAATATCTAAAATTGTGAACCTATATTTCAATATTTAGACTGATTTTTTTCGGGTGTTTAAACAGAATGAAATTAACGCATAGCTGACGTTAACAAGTACGTTTGGTGATTTCTTCTTTTCACCAATTTAGCAATACGTTTGGAGTTTGATGGCGCGTGGTCAATATCGCGGTATGGCAGTGTAGAACTACTGTGTAACGTCGCACTCAGCAATATTCCAGCTATGTGACGACGGTCAGTAATTAAATGAATCTGGATCAGACAATCCAGTGATTGACATCATGAGCACCAATCCACACAATTGAGATACGATGACATGCTTCAACTAAGTCAGCAAGTCTGACCACCCGTACCTGTTAGTCGCCTCTTAGGACAAGCATAGTCACCAAATTACAAGCATGGGTTGCTGAAGACCTATTCTAACCGGGACCAGTATTCAATCCTCAATCGAACATTTTTCAACGTAGAAAATTTAGTTATGAACTTTATTAAATTTGGGATCTCCGATGTGGATTTCAATCTCCGTTTTCACAGGTTCCTTGGTGCCAGCCACGAGCACTGTGGCGGATCTTGTATACACCGTCAACAGCAACTTCGGCAGTCTCGACCTCGGACCAGGCGACATCGTCAGACAAGGTATGACTTTAACCTTCTCAGTTCTATTGAGATATTCAACAATGGTGTTTTTGCGCAGATACGAACGTTGGATATGTTGTAAGGACTAGAGTGAGTGAGTTGGGTTTCACGTCGCTTTTAACAGTATTCGAGTTATATCATGGCGTGTCAGCTTAGTGTGGGAGGAAAGCCCAAAGTGATGACGGTCTCGGGTGAAACCCACGAGCACGGTAAGGTGCTGACAAGCCTAGAAACATAGGATTCGAATCCTCGATCACAGGTTTCTGGCTCGCCCAAGGGACACAACTCTACACAGCAAATTGCGGGGCCTATGACGACTTGGCCACTCGTACCCCGATAGGTACACGGTGGCCACAAAAAAAACTTTCAAAAGTTACAGATATACATTTTAAAAAAAAGGAAAATACATTTAAACGGGAACCGTACAAGGCATTGAGCCAAAATGTTTTGGAGAGAACACTTGGTGTTTGTAGTCCCCTCACTTATCGGACCGCCTCCATGGTCTTGTGGCAGAGCGTCCGCCCGGAGAGCGGAAGGTCCGGGGTCAAACCAAAAGACGTTAAAAGATGGTACTTGTTGTTACCCTGTCTGGCGCTCGGCATTAAGGGGCTAAAACAAGGACTGGTCGGCTCGGAGTCAGTATACTGTGTCTAAGAGGGATATTCATGTTAAACTGCGGCATGGTATCTCAGTGAGATAGCACTATAAATCGGCACCATTCCGGACTAGTACAAGCAGCCACACAAACACACACACGTACATGCACGTCGCTATATAAGTGCAATAATCTTGGACGCGACGTTATACCCAATTTCACCTCACCTCACCTCAGTTATCCAAGTTGAATGTCAGCTACCATCAATAACGTGTATGTCCCCCGTTGACATCTCCTGCCAACGGAAGAGACGAATATGCGAATCACATCCTTGAGAATGGTAGCCCACTCGGCCTGCAACGCAAAAGCCACCTGCTCTAACGTCTGGGGTTGAGGTTGACGTCGGCGTAGCCGTCTATCTCATTCACCCCACAGGTGCACTATCGGGTTTAAATCCGGGGATCTGGAGGGTCAGGGTAGAACATCAATGTTGTTGTTGTGTAGACAGGCTCTTGTGATCCGTGCTGTATGCGGACGATCGTTGTTCTGCTGGAATACACCGTTGCCGTTGGCTGCAAATGGGAGGACGTTTGGTAGGAGAATTTCGTTGATGTATCGTTGACCCGTAAGATTGCCCTGGATATGGACCAAACCTGTCCTGCCATGATGAGAGATAGCCGCCCACATCATAACGCTACCCCACCAAACCTGTCCAGTTCCTGTACGCAGTTTCCGGCGTAAAGTTCTCCACGACGTCTCTAGACCCGTGCTCTTCCATCCCCTCGACGGAGGAGATATCTTAATTCGTCGCTGAACCAGACATATCTCCATCGCAATTGTGGCCATACCCTGTGTTGACGACACCAATGCAGTCGTTGTCGACTCAACATGAGGCGCGAATAGGACGTCTTGCTCGTAGACCTGCTGCTCTTAATCGGTTTCGTACGGTCTGGTCGGAGATTCTGCGCAGTCCGGGTATTTTGGGATGCGGTTGAGGTGGCTGTGATCGTCCTTTCACGTAGGTGGCGCAGTCGGATGTAGCGATCTTGGGCGGGGGTCGGTACTCTTGGTCGCCGCGACCTTGGCCGATCACGTGTTGACCCATGCTGTTGAAACCGATCCCATAGCCTTGTGATGGTGCTGGGCTCTACATTGAAAACCCTGGCTACAGCCGATCGGGATTCCCCTGCCTGCAAGCGTTGTTTCTTTACACATCTGTTAATCTTGTCACTGTCACTGTTCGATTGACGCAGACACCAGGCAATAAAAAATTGCACTTTAATACCGCTCATAGTGCTGCTGCACGTGCAGTACGTGCAGCTCCATGGCCCTTTTGTTAATGCACCGGGGCGTTTTTTCCGAATCGTACGTGTTTCCCGACTAATGGTTTGCATGTCCTTGTTGTGATCATTTTGATCCGGGAAATTTGTCACTGACACTATAACACTTTAAACCTCTACATTTTGCACCTCTCAGTCCCCTAATTTTGCTTTTATGGCGAAAAATATCCGTTTTGCGGTTTTATTTTAGAAGCGTATATGTGGACAGTGAAAGTAATACATGTTTGTTCATATGATTGCCGTCTATTGAAGGCCTTGATAAGCTGGAATGTTGCCGAGAGCGGCGTTAAACAAGAAATGCGCTTGGAGGGCGTATTGGTTTACACTATGCTTGTAGACGGTAAATTTATAAAAGAAAGTATACTTGGCTTGTTTTTATGTAATTGAAAATTGAAAGAACTGTTGTTAGATTTGTCTGTTTAACCAAAGGAGGGTAATTTTGTGTAAAAATACCTTGGCTCAATGAAGTGAGTGAGTGAGTGAGTAAGATGGGTTTAACGCCGCTTTTAACAGTATTCCAGTCATATCACGGCGTGTCAGCTTGATGTGGAAGAAAAGCCCGAAGTGATGCAGGTCTCAGACGTTTACCACTTGGTTTTGTTTGTTTGTTTGTTGTTTAACGCCGCACTCAGCAATATTTCAGCTATATGACGGCAGTCTGTAAATAATCGAGGCTGGACCAGACAATCCAGTGATTAATATGAGCATCGATACACGCAATTGGGATCGATGACATGCATCAACCAAGTCAGCGAGCCTGACCACCCCATCCCGTTAGTCGCCTCTTACCACAAGTATGGGTTGCTGAAGACCTAAGGAGGAAAGCCCGAAGTGATGCAGGTCTCAGACGTTAACCACTTCGGTGAAACCCACGAGCACGGGTATGGTCCTGACAAACCTAGAAACATAATACGGGCGAACCGGGATTCGAACCCACAATCATAGGTTTCTGGCGTGCCCAAGGGACGCAACTCTGCACAGCGAATCGCGTCGCCTTAGACGACCGGGCCACCCGTGCCCCCTGGCTCAATGAAGACTGGGGTAAGAAGTCGCAACAACATGGCCCTTACCATGTTCGAAATGTTGTAAATTTGTGCCGATAATAGGAATTTTGGTGATTTTCAACGATAAGATATTTAAAATACCAGGGGCGGTGGGGTAGCCCTGTGGTTAAAGCGTTCACTTGTCACGCCGAAGTCCCGGGTTCTATTCCCGATATGAATACAATGTGTGAAGCCCATTTTTGGTGTCCAACGCCGTGATATTGCTGGAATAATTCTAAAAACAGTGTAAAACCATAACCACTCACTCATATAAATTTTATAAAAGGTTTTTAATTCAATAAAAAATTAACCCATAAAATATTCTTTGAGTGCTGACTGAAAGCATTACAGGTTATTTTGGGATAAATATTGCTAACTTAAGATATCTTCAGTTGAAAATCAAACATAAGATAGAGAGAGAAACATAACTGGGAGGTATAGTTTCTTTGGCCCCTCAGTTTACATTATAAAAGATCAACATATATGTAAGTAAGCACGTGGGAAAGGGAAGTGAAACCTCACAGTCTCGCCATAGAGGGGTTTATTTTTATCACTTAGTGATATACCACTACGGCATGGTAACTAACACACACTCACTCACTCACGCACATACACATGCATGCATGTGGCTATACATAAGTGCAGAAATCTTGAACGCGACGTTTAACCCCATTTCACCTCACCTCACCTCACCATGTGTTGTCAGAGCACCTGAAGCGTCTGGTGTGTCCGGAGAAGATTGACATTAAAACCATCAAAGTGTCCCGGAAGGTCATCCTGCCAAACATGTGCTTCTCAACGTCCGAGGCGAATGCCCGGAAAGGTAACAGGTTGGTCATCCGGAGGAATGGATTGATCATCAGAAGGCCGAGTAAACCCAGGTACAATTTATTGATAATATAATTCTGTTGACTAAAGTAAAACTACAAAAAACTACTACATTTGGACAGGTTTAAGAATTATGATGAAACGGATTGATTAAGTGTAAGCGGACAATTATTACGCCCGCGTGCAGTGACGTTCTTTCTTCGTCATTTTCCCAGATCGTTCATGGAGGTTCTCCTCAAAACAAGCCATTTTGAGTTTTTCAAGCGGTTCCTTGCGGCCCGGAAGGTCATCGTTCCCCTACAGTTCTGGCGCGCCGTGGAGGACCTGAAGGAAACGGCCAACTTCAAAGCCAGACACATGAAGACCATCCACATCTTCAGGAGATTCTTCGGCAAACAGGCCAAGTATGGTACGTAGCCATATTTGGAATATCCGTTTCATAATGAGTAAGTAAGTGAGTGAGTGACTAAGCGATTCCTTCGTCCAGGGAATCGAATGTCTGCCCAGAGAGCCGAAGGTCAGAAGTTCCATCCCCAGCCGTGTTATACCAAAACCCGATAATATATACTGCTTAAGCCTGTCAGAGTGCTGACAAACCAAGGATCATAAGTCAGACGAATCTCAGATTCGAACAATGATCACTGGTTCCTTTCACGCCTCAGGGTCAACGACCCCATTTAGACGTGTCAAAAACAAAATATGTCAATTCAAAAGTGACAAACTTGACAAAACAAATTAATGAGTAGAGCCAATATATTCCTTGGTTTGGATAGATGATTCGATACACAGAAGAAACATCTTAGCTTGCCTGGTTGGCTTGTAGTCAGTACACTGTTCTTGAGTAGGGTATCCGTGTTAAACTGCACTGGGCTAGCACTATAAAACTGGTATTAGTTCTGCCTGCACGTCGCTATGTAAGTGTAACAATCTTTAGTTAAATGTGACCCTTATTTGTCATTCTTAAATTCGCAAAATATAAAAAACAACCCTCACGAGATTCAGACTGAGTTGTCATACTTTGGAAATTGAGAATAGACGTCATTATAAAATCCCAAGAAATTTACGAAAATGCAAACTTTGTAAATGAGACTGTGTTGAAACCGAGTACCACTTCCTGCTTATTTGTCCATCGTATGCCAAGTTATGGCAACTTTATCTCAAAAGCAAAGTTCTATTGTCATCCTAACGTTCATAAATTTAAAATGCTTCTGTCATCACAAGATACATATATTATTACAAATCTAGCAAAATATCTATATTATGCAAATGAAGTAAGAAATGCGAAACTGAACGCTTAAAACCTGTCTGTAATCAATTTTTGTACACAAAGGCCTGTGGCCTCTATGTATTGGAAATAAAATGATTGATTGGAACAATCTTTAGCTCGACGTTAAACCCCATTTCATCTCGCCTTACCTCACCGAGTGAGTGAGTATGGATGGCTTTAGCAATATTCTAGAGTGGGACAATAGAAATGAGCTTCACATATTTTACAATATGGGAAATAGAACCCGGTTCGTCAGCGTGAAGAGCGAACACTTTTACCAATAAGGTACCCCACCGCCCCTCACAAAGTAAGTTAAGTTCCCTATGAGATGCTGACATCGCCGAAATTCTGGCCTCATCTGTGGCAGAGCACCCCTTGCTAACCAGCGTTCTCGGGTGGCCCAGTCATCTGAGTCGCCGCAAATCACTGTGCAGAGTTGCGTCCCTTAGACGCACCATAATAAGAAAAATTTGCGTTCGAATCCCAGATTCAGCCTGTTTATGATGAAAACATTCCCGTGGGCTTCAACAAACGTTAGTCCCCTTCATCTTTCCGAGGCAAGGAAGTTAACTGACTATAAAAGTTCAGTTTACACCCTTGCCGAACTAGGCTGGTATTATGGAGTTACATTTTGGCTGGACTAACGAGTCTATGCATAAGTCCAACGAAATCGAAATCCGGTTCGTAAATTGGCATGCAGATTTCGGTCGATTGGAGGATTTGCAAAGCATGGGCACCGCCAACTCGAAGTCAACAGATATTTTCTAAATCTTTTCATATTTTTAATCAAGGTGCTCACGTTATATGATGCAAGACCCGTTTTATCACAATATAAATACTGATTATCGATCAGATCGTCTTGACTGGGCGCCACCATTTTGTTTGAAGCAAATGCAAGTGAAACGAGAGGTGGAATCTGATTGGTCCATAGGAGAGACATAGAAGGGACACAACTCGTAGGCACAAGTGTTGCTGCGATCGAGCCCAGGAATACCAGCCTAGTTCGGCAAGGGTGGAAACTGGACTATTTTAGTCAGTTAACTCTCTTGCCTTGGCAAGATGGTCCCCGTAGAAATGAATCACTTTTGGCTTTCCTCATATTAAGGTTAAATGCCGTGAAATAGGCAACAAAACTGACTGACGATCAGTTTAGAAAAGGATGTTGTTATGTCACATTGTCACATTGTTTATATATATATATAAGTGTAATAGAAGTGTAAAATTAATTGCCACACCTATTGGTGAAGCCTGAATTCGTCATATACTCACCGTCAAAAGAAACGCGTAACCTACAACATATTGAGAAGTTTGTACGTTAAGAATAGATGTTTCCAATGTGTACCAATTGATGACAAAACTAACAATCAGTCACGTGTTATCACGACAACTTTACATGCTAATCCTGCACGAGACAAATGGTACATCTCGAGTCATGGATGTATGACGTCACATGTGATGCGTTCATGAGCGACGGTTCACACAACAGTATGTTCGTTTGTGCGTCGAACCAATCTAATATCTCTTAGTCCTCATTTTGTTATATCATAGGCGCGAACCTGGAATGCAGCGATGAGGTGATAAAACAGATCCCGTACATGGATCACGTCACGTACGGCATGATGGTGTGCGCCCAGGTCAGCGTCTTCAGGACGATGGAACGGAATTGGTAAGAGGGGTCGATTTGGGACGGAGAAAGCATAACTGGGGGATATAAATGTTTGTTATACCTCTATGAAGAATCTTGCAATTCCACTGGTTAATCCGTACCACGTGACGAAATAATGCATTTATGTAGACCCCGAAATCATGTGACTGACACTGACCTCGAATATTGACTCGTCACATGATCAGTATTGACCTATCACGTGATGAATATTGATTCGTCTGACAGAAAACAAAATGGCGTCTGGTACGAACACTTTACGGTTCGCAGCTAGGTCACTGTAATGAAACAGATGACTCAACATATATAAACTTGAAAATGAATTTCGGTTTAACAAAAAGAAGGATTATTCTTGATGAGGTAAATATATGAAAACAAGGACCCGTTCCATGCCACCGTTTTAAAACCGGATATCACGCTTCACGTGCATCGCAAGTTTTCTTCACGTCATTTTACACGTGCAGCATCGCCCAAACGCAACAACTTGCAAAGATATTTCATTTGTGTCACGTGCTGTCGAACAATACTATCATCCACCTGACCTTCCATAAACGCTATCTATGTATATTTCCCAAAAATATGTCTGAAAGCTTTCTCAGGATGGTCAGTTTATGTATTCTCGATATTAAAAGATCGAACATCCAACAAGCCATGTTGGTTCCTGTGGCTTAACGATAATATTAAGACGTTTGAATACCCTGATTGTCATAACGCCATGTGTCAAGGGCTGGACAGCACCGATCATCTAAATTATTTGCCATTATAACTAGGTGAGTGCATGAGTGAGTGTGTTAGGTTGTAAGAACAACTAACATAGGGGATAAGGTGGTCAAAATGGCTTCTGAGTACGACTAAGTTTGCGAATGTGATGTCTGTGTTAGTTTACCACAAATCTCTATTCACTCATTCACCAAAGGTTTCCGGGATATTTGGAGACGTTCCCAGTCGATTCACATCTTCGCGAATCCATGCCCTCCTCGACTGACGTCTCGTATCAGGAAGATGAGACGATGATGATGGACTGGAAGCCTCGGAGGAGACCTCGGAGGAAAACGGTAGGTCAGGTAGTCAGTCATCTGGAGATATCCATATACTACCGTATATTTCCGATATTTACACTGGGTGTGTTAGCAAATTAACTTTTATTCTCAATGCTGAATAGTCAGTCGGAAAGATCTTAGTGAGTGAGGTTTTACGCGGCTTTTAGCAATATTCCAGCAATACCACAGGGTGGGGACCAGAAATGAGCTTCACACATTGTACCCGTATCGGGAACCGAACCCGAGGCTTCAGCGTGACGAGCGAACGCATTACCACTAGGCTACCCCCGACCGCCCCGGAAAGAGTTGAGAACCAAATGATATGACGTAATCATGATTAATGTTGTCATTATTGTTATTTATGAAAGTAGAAAAATAGGTTGACTTTGGTAATTCTCTTGCAGCTGACATATCTGACATTTTTTACAAAGACAGTACATTAAATAACCTTTGGCGAGTGGAAACATTTATTCACTCCAAACAGACAATTCGTAATGCTTTATAGCTCGATAGTTATTGTCTAAATTCTGGTGTGATAAAGTGCTCTGGGTAAAATCGTGGAATTATCTTTTGCTTTTCTCCCAGTTCCGACTCTGGTTTGGCTTTGTCAATGTTATCCGCAACTTCCTGCGCAGCCTGCAGAATATTGTAGAAGTTCAACTTTTCGAGATCTACTTGAAGCGAGAACTGGACCGACTTTCTTCTGCTGATAGTGAGTATATCCGGTCACTGTGTAAACATTACACAATCCGTCGCTGACATCATGCTTTTAAAATAGTGCGTGCGTGTGTATGTACGACACAAGTGGCCTTTAAAAAGGCAGGGATGGTGTACGCCTGGATCCGTACGCTCATGTTATCCGAGCGCTACATCTATTGTACGCCTATGTAGGAGTATAGGAATTCATGTTTCAGAAGCATTGTGTTAGTATAATAATACTCATTTCCACTTACTCCAATCATCAGAACAGGGTGTTTGCAAAGTATCTCAGTAGTTATTAACTTTCCCCTGATTATGATCGAGGTGTTTTAGCACTTTATTCGTTATCTGGGGTCTCGCCAAACTAGTAAAGGTCTAAAGAGGCATTCACACGGTACAACCAGTTGTATACAATTTGTTGCATGCAACACATTGCATCGTGTGAACTTTTGACGTATGCAACTTGTTGGACGTGAGTTGTACGAAATAGGACATGCTGAACGCAGCCAATCAAAACGCGTATGAAAATCACGTGACATTTACACGTCAATTTTTAAAAAAAATGGCGACTCCGATTCACGTCGGTAACTTCTGCTTTTCGGGATCCTAATTGTCACCACTCAAGAAAGGACCTATGAAAAGTAGGTACGTTGAATAACACAGTAACAAATTATATAAGTTGACATTGGCATCGGTCTAATTCTCCAGGATAAACAGTTCATAGTATTTTTTGAAACAATAGACTATGTGACTGTACACTGTATTGTAGAACGAAGATATTGCCAATTTCGCATTTTACCAATTCACCGTCCTAAATGTGATTATTTATTCAAATAACGTTTAGATACATGAGAAGTTCAATTACAAAACCATTTGGTGTCTGCTCTTTGTCCAAACCCCAATCATCATTCCAAAAAGACTCCAATAACCCTATATTAGTATATTCGTTTTCGAAACAAAAGCTCTTGACCGAACCTCCATGCCGGATAGCGTTGCAAAATCACGTTTCTTTTCGCGTCAGGCGAGATGCCTATCACATCACATGTATTTCACACTCAGCTACGATACATACATCCCTGAATTCATCATACCATTCAAAATCTATTGACACATTGTCTCAGTCACTTATACAAATGGTCCAAATGAAATCAACCGAAATATTCAAGTGTGAAACCAAACCCTGTGCTCTGAAACCTACCAGTGGGCCTTCTCATTTGAAAATGTAAACAAAGCAAACCTCCAGATTTACTGAACATTTTCTACTATTCCGTCGTCAATTTGTTGCATACATTAGCTCAGATTAATCGAATATGCATGGGTCGATAATCGTTGCAAGAATTGAGGAATTAATAATAAGAGTCTAGATTCTTATTTCTTGATGATTTCAGATTGATTCTGGTTACTTAACTTACATGACTCTTTTATGTAAGTATATGATCCCAGCATCACGGTAAAACCTACTCCAAACATTCCGCGTACTGCTATCAGTGAACTCGCTATGTTATGACGGGAGGTTACCGGTAGTGATGTCATGTTAGTATACGTCAACATCAACATCGTTGTACATATTTGTTATTTTCTTTGAGGTGCGGGTGAAATAGTACACAACGCATTCAGTTCATGAAGTAGTTTACTGTTTCAATTCTGAATTATAATTTGAATATCTCTTCGATACCTTTACATCCAGGAAAATAATGCACTGCTGCAAAATGGGTACATGTATGTAGTACTGTTACAAATATGATCTAAAATGCCATCGAATTTATGAAACTCTTAATAATCAGCTGTTTGTTTGAACATAGAAATTGACATCCGTCGTGTTATTCTTCATATAAGATGCTTTGTGAATGTAACACACTGCAGCATATATACTGAGAGGCATTAGAAAGGCTTACACAATTTTAAGATATAATTTTTTAAGAACATATGAGGTCCGTTTACATTTTACCTTGTTGACACTGTCCATTGTTGGTTATTACTGTAAACATGTCATATGGGTTGCAAACAAAAACTGTTTCTGGAAACGAAGCCAATCACCAAAACGCAACACACCACTGGGAATGCTGCTAGCGATGCACATTTTGTGAAAGGCATGATGCACGTGCAAACCTCAAAGGTAGGCCCTATAAATGCACACCATGACATTTTGCCATCACTTGCCTACACAATGCCACGGTTAACGCAAGATCAGCGTAATGAAGCAATGGGGATGTTAAATTGTCGTACCCAAGAACAAGTTGCTGCTCATTTCGATTGCCATCAAACGACCATATCGAGATTACATGAGCGGTTGAGAACCACAGGCAGCGTAAGGGACCGTCCTCGACCATGTGCACCGCCTGTGACGTCACAGAGACAAGATCGTCAAATCGTTAACAGCCACCTCAGAAATCGCATCACGTCTGCCAGGTCAACGGCAAATGCAACCATTGGTCTCCGTGGAAGACTCATCAGTGACCGTACAGTGCGTCGTCGTCTTGCTGCCAGGAATTTGAGGTGTCGACAACCCTACCGTGGACAAATCTTGACTCAGGCACACAGGCTAGCACGGCAGCGATGGGCAGCTGGTGGAGGTAATCTCGATGGTAGAGATTGGAGACAAGTTTGTTTTTTCTGATGAATCACGTTTCACAGTCAGCTACCCTGATGGACGCTTACGTGTATACCGACGCCAACATGAACGATTTACACAACCATATGTTATTGAACGTGATCGGTTTGGAGGTGGAGGTGTTATGGTTTGGGGAGCAATCAATGCAAATTTTCGTTCGGATCTTGTTGTTATTCAGGGGAACCTTAATGCCAGACGTTACATCGACAACGTTCTACAGCCTGTTCTGCTGACTCAACGTGGTTTACGTCGCCATGTCTTTCAACATGACAATGCAAGGCCTCACACTGCCAGGATAACAAATGCCTTCTTGCAGCAGAACAACGTTAATGGCCTTCAAGGTCCCCAGATTTGAACCCTATAGAACATTTGTGGGATGAACTTGGCCGCCGTGTCCGACGTCAACAGAATCCTCCACAGACGGTTCCACAGCTGACTCAAGCTCTTCTGCATCATTGGAGACGTATTCCTCAGGCTGCAATTCGTCGACTGTGTCTCTCAATGCCTCGCCGGCTTCAAGCGTGCATTGCTGCACAAGGAGGACACACTCGTTATTGACACCACTCGCCTTTGACGTCATTTTCATAGACATTAATTCTTTGTCACACAGTAACTGTTCATGAAATTCATCAGTGTCATTTGTATATTTCATTTCAGTCAAAAATTATTGACACTTAAATTTGAGTATGCGTTATTTGTGCCTCTTAGTATACATCTTTCCTTTGGAGAATTGTGAAATATTCATTGTGGCAAATTTATATAGATAGGTTGAATAAAACGTGCACTTCATTTTTTAAATCAAAGTAAATGTATACCTGAAATTCGTCACGTTATATTTTTTATTAATGTATAACTCATGTGTGGACAACTATTTGTTTTACATTTGGATTTTATCGTTTAATTGGCGGAACATTGACAGCTAAAGATTGCATCAGGTGCGCGTTTCAAAATAGGGGCCGATAATTTGAGATTCATGGGTGGAGGCGGGTCATGACCTGTTGGGTGTGCGTTGGTGGGTGGGTGTGGGGTTTTGGCATGATGTTGTTCGGATATAAGACAGTATTTTGTTCGCTGACAAAAAGCTGTTAAATAAAACATTTTGTCGCACTGTACTTTATCTATGAACGATCAAATGTTGCTACATATTTTAGAGGCTTTTACGTTAGCTAAACAGGAACTTTGACAACATTTAACACTTTTTGGTTTTCAAACCAGTCTTTAATATTTCACCATGGGGTTAAAAATCCAATCATATACAAGTCCGTTAAATTGCAAAGTCAGAGGTTGGCCTAGTACCACGCGACCGCAATTCTCGCACAGCGTTGATTTTTCAAAACTATGCGTCTGAACATTACTCGGCAACCATGATTACAGCGATAGATGTAGTGAATCGGAGCTTTCTGTCAGAGATCCCGCGAGACCCGAGTTCTGTACAACTCGCCCCCGTGTGAATGCCGTCTTGTATACAACTTCAGTTCGTACAACTTATTGCATACAACAAATTGTATACAACTAGTTGTACCGTGTAAATGCCCCTTAAGACTTGCATCCCATCGGGCTTTCCTTCCGCACCCAGAATGCCTCTGTGGTCTAGTTGTAGAGCGTCCGCCCTGAGAGCGGAAGGTCCGGGGTTTGATCCAAAACCCACAAAAGGACGTTCAGAGATGGTACTTGTTGTTACCCTGTCTGGCGCTCGGCATTAAAGGGCTAAAACAAGGACTGGTCGCCTCGGAGTCAGTATACTGTGTCTGATTTGGGTATTCATGTTAAACTGCGGCATGGCATCTAGCATTGGTGGGGTAGCACTATAAAATCGGCATCTGTCCTCACACGCACGCACATCTACCGCACATAATTCATCCGGATCCTGTGGATCTGAGATTTGACAAACAAAGGTTAAAGCCATGTCCATGAACAAATTCATAGAAACGTAAAGTCATAATCTGTCAAATTCCCACTTCCAGAGATAACGGAGACGCGCGAGGTGATATCCCGGGGCCGCGATCACACCTTCGACCCCCCTCTGTCTACCATGACGCGTGTTGTTCTTCGCAACAAGGTTGTCATCATCAACAAGCTGCCTAGAGACCTTCAGTTCTGGCTGGAGGTGAACCTGTAGGTGACATGGGTTGGTTTCCATAGAAACACTTTTAGGTGATTTTGAAGTCAAGGGACGTTCCGGTTGGAGATAGGTGTGTGTGTGTGTGTGTGTGTGTGTGTGTGTGTGTGTGTGTGCTGACCCCCGAGCCAACCAATCCTTCTTTTGTCTTTTTAATGATGAGCCCATGGTAACAATTCCCATGTGATTCCAAGCAAACACTTAGTACCATTTAAGTAGATTGCGAGAGTCGCGGTTGTTACCGGTAGAGCAGAACATGTTTACCCTTTTCTTAAACACCTGGTGTCATCACCGTTTTCCAGTGATCCATTCATATAATTTTCACTATATTGCCTTTTAGGCTCAATGGAATCTGTTTCTGATTGTTCTCTGGCGTTTGCATTTTATATTTAGGCAAGCAGGTCCAGGCAGGAGCTATCAACTGAGCCATGTTTCACGCCAACAATTAACGAGATGTACACTTTTAATGACGTTTTCTGATAGATAATTATTGATGGCTTTGACTGTACTCTGATAATCTGTAGAGTGCATTGCTGCAGATATTATGTACTGGGGCGGTGGGGAAGCCTAGTGGTTAAAGCGTTCGCTTATCACGCCAAAGGCCCGGTTGGATTCCCTACATGGGTACAATGTGTGAAGCCAATTTCTGGTGTCCCAGCCATGACATTGGTGGAATATTGCTAAAAGCTGCGTAAAACCCAACTCACTCACTATGAATGTACTCATCCACAGATTCAGACAACAGGTGGACGGCGTGGTCCACTCGGGGACCTACTCCAAGGAGGACAATGATATGCTCGTGGAGAAGGCAGAAGCTATTATCACGTGCTTCCTGTCGTCGGAAGTCCCGCCTCGGGTTCAGGTGGGGATCTGGCAGATTAAGGCTGTAATTGATCTCAATCATTCTTCTAGATGATTTTTCTTTAAGAAATAAACGACCAGTGGGAGTTATTTATCGTACAATTGAACACTGCAGGGCGAATAAACAACTCGCTTGCACGAACGCACGCACTCACTCAGTGTTTACTCTCTACCTCCCACAGGTGAACGTCCCAAGCGAACTTGCCGCCACCATCGCACACAATTTCCTCATTGCTGGGCCCCAGAGGGGCATTTTCCACGAGGCGACTGTCCAACTCTTCCCCATCCTGTACCACTTTTGGAAAAAGTAAGTTCACATACAGCAGCAGGGCTGAGAAGGTCCTCACCCTCTCCTAAGTGCGGACCGCCTCCGTGGTCTAGTGGTAGAGCGTCCGCCTGGAGAGCGGAAGGTCCGGGTTTCGATCCCCGGCTGCGTCATACCAAAATACGTTAAAAGATGGTACTTGTTGTTACCCTGTCTGGCGCTCGGCATTAAGGGACTTAAACAAGGACTGGTCGGCTCGGAGTCAGTATACTGTGTCTGAGTGGAGTATTCATGTTAAACTGCGGCATGGTATCTCAGTGCACTATAAATCGGCATCAGTCCGGACTAGTACAAGCAGCCACACACACACACGTGCATGCACGTCGCTATATAAGTGCAATAATCTTGGACGCGACGTTAAACCCAATTTCACCTCACCTCACCTAAGTGCAGATCCAGAAAGATGGAGGTTATTACATGTATAGAGAATATTATATGAATAAACATAGTATGACATAAACACGAATATAATGATCTATTTATCAGAAGATATCTACACACACAGATGAATTTTAGTGCTTACTTATAAGGACAGCAAGTCACAACAGCAGCAGAACCATAATTTGTCGAATGACGTCAACAATCTCCATCAATGACGTTGTTTTTAGTGTGACGTCTTTCAGACCTCACATCACAATAAGATTCGAATGACGGAAACAATACACTGTTTTCTCGTGACGTGATATTATCCTATATTTTTATCAAATCCAAAGTTTGCTCTCGTAGGTAAAATATAGGGAATACTGCACTCATTCTCGTTAGATACCATTTTAACGAAACGAGTGGACTTTCTATGGTATCTGACCGAGCGAAAGCGAAAAGGGTTTTCAATGGCAAGTTATAGACAAAATACTAAACGAGCTCCCGTGTAACACCAATTTTATGACACTAGTGAATAGTTTCCGTATCTGACTCGCTTTCGCTCGGTCAGATACCATAGAAAGTCCACTCGTTTCGTAAAAATGGTATCTAACGAGAATCAGTGTAGTATTCTCTATTTATGATACGGGTGAATGGTTCTGGTATTTGACGAGCGAGAGCGAGTCAGATACCAGAACTATTCACGAGTGTCATAAATTTGGTCTTACACGGGAGCTCGTTTAGTATTTTATCTATTACTTGCCATTTATAACCCTTTTTTTAGAATTTCACTGTCGTGTATGAATAGGCAGACACGATCCACGATCCACAACCTAGTCCAATTGAGTTTTACAAAATAATATTTCAAACACGTGAAACATTGACACATATTCATTAATACCTTACAACCGCCCACTTTTAGAATTCAGGCATCCGTTCCACAAAGTTATCATAGCGCTAAGGGACCCGTGCTGATCCGGGGTAGAATAGGTCTTCAGCAACCCATGCTTGCCGTAAAAGGCGACTAACGGGATCGGGTGGTCAGACTCGCTGACTTGGTTGATGCATGTCATCGATCCCAATTGCGTGGATCGATGCTCATGATATCAATCACTGGATTGTCTGGTCCAGACTCGATTATTTACAGACCGCCGTCATATAGCTGAAATTTTGCTGAGTGCGGCGTTAAAGAACAACCTAAACCACATTCTTTAACAGAAACTTACGACTGCCTTTGCGCTACAGTACGATCGCCCTGTACGAACGACGGGGCCCTGCACCACAAAGTTTACAATCACGTCACAATACCCGATGACGTAATCAGTGGAATTTTGTTGCGAGATCCATCGGCAAAACAATGCCATGTGACGTCAGGCTGGCAACAATGTTCCTGGGGTCATTGAGTGTGCATAAGCTCCTCTCTGCGATCTATCATCTCCAAACGCAATGTCGTTGAATAAGCCAAGTGATGCTGAAAGTTTTCAATGCTCGTTCCCGCAAAGCATGCGCTTTGGTATTACACAATGTGTAATACAGCTGTATGTTTATTAAACAGGTGAACTCTCCATGGGCAAGTAAAAAAAGTAAAATACTAATAGTTGAGGCGCTTTGCAGCATATGTATCAGAATCAAGAACGGTTAGACCTCTCATGTTCACCTAACGTTATCGATGCCATATTATATTCCTGCGTCAGGAGATAAAGGAGTGTGCGATGTACTCAATAAGCACCAAGCCAGGGCGGCTTGACATATTGAATTCCCAGTATGTTGTAGGTTATCACAGAGAGGCTTGTTGTGGGTTATACACAGAGAGGCGTCTTGTGGGTTATCCACAGAGTGGCTAGACAATAGACATATTAAATCCCCAGTATGTTGTGGGTTATCACAGAGAGGCTTGTTGCGGGTTATCCACAGAGAGGCTTGTTGCGGGTTATCCACAGAGAGGCTTGTTGTGGTTTATCCACAGAGAGTCGTCTTGTGGGTTATCCACAGAGTGGCTAGACAATAGACATATTGAATCCCCAGTATGTTGTGGGTTATCACAGAGAGGCTTGTTGCGGGTTATCCACAGAGAGGCTTGTTGTGGTTTATCCACAGAGAGTCGTCTTGTGGGTTATCCACAGAGTGGCTAGACAATAGACATATTAAATCCCCAGTATGTTGATGGTTATCCACAGAGTGGTTTGAGATATTGGGGTTCTCTGTATGCTGTAGGTTCTCTACAGAATGGCTTGAAAAGATTGACCCCCGAGAGTTGTTGCGCCGTATCGGAGAAGAGGAGACGAGACAAAACTATTACTCCCCCCACCACGGCCATGAAGCTCCCGTCGACTACACCAAAGCTACATTGAAGGACTACCAGATACAAAGTGAGACGCCATGTAGAAATTACTCCATACATTACGATTAACATTAACATAGTATTGACGTGCTGCCAGGGACGATGGTGGTCCAGTCTTCAGGCATGGCTCTCTCCATCACAGTGTGTGATCCCGTTATGTGATCGCACCGCGATATTACTGGAATATTAGTAAAAGCGTGTGAAACGATATTCACTTACTCACTCACCGTCACAAGCTGATACAGTAATATTTGTAGTTTGTTTGTTTGTTGTTTAACGTCGCACCTAGACCTAGCAACATTCGAGCTGTATGGTGGCGGTCTGTAAAAATCCAGTGATTGATATCATGAGCATCGATCCACGCAATTGGGATCGATGACATGCACCAACCAAGTCAGGAGCCTGACCACCCGATCCCGATCGTCGCCTAATGACACTCATGGGTTGCTGAAGACCTGGGCTGCACAAAGCGATCTTAGCGCTAAGATGATCGTAACTCCCATACTTAGGCTTACAATAGTCTTAGCGCTAAGATCGCTTTGTGCAAGTGGGCCCAGTTCTAACCTGGATCTGGATTATGTCCAGACGTCGTCATACAGTTGGAATATTTCCTAGTGCGGTGTTAAACAACAAACAATTGAGTGAGTGAGTATGGTTTTACACCGCTTTTAGCAATATTCCAGCAATATCACGGCGGGGGACACCAGAAATGGGCTTCACACATTGTACCCATGTCGGGAATCGAACCCGGGTCTTCGGCGTGACGAGCGAACGCTTTAACCACTGGGCTACCCGACCGCCCTAAACAACAAACAAACATTGTATAGTGGCTGAAGTGTTAATGGCATGGACTGAAAATCTCCTTGTTCCAACAGGTAATGACGATGATCAGTTCCGGATCAACTTTTCCCTTTTCAACGGGATTCGTGTATTGCTGCCCAAAACAAAGGGACACCGCAAGGTCGAGGACGAGCCTGCAATCAGGGGCCACTCGGTATCGCCACGGAAGCTGAGCTTTATCACCAGCCGCCCCTCGGGGAGAAATCTCAACACGGCCCTCAGTAAACCTCGCAGTTCACACAGGGATTCTGGGAGTGTTGGAAAGGAGAAAGATGGCAGCCGATCGTCAGCCGAACAGGAACAGGAATCGCCACGTATGGATGCCGGAAGGTTAAAAGCTCGGCGATTAAGTTTGCTGGTGGAGGGTCTGAACATTCAGCAAGGTCAACCACCCCGTACTAGCCCTCCTCGGGGTTCCCAATTCACCAGACCTATGAAGACCCTCCTTGATGTTGTAAACATGGCGCAGGTGCTAGGGACAGATGAATAGGAATCTTTCTTCTAGCTGAATACTGTCAAGTGCAATATGTTGCTTAATCACAGCCAATTAGTGCTCCTATTTGCTGTCTGAGATGTGATTTTATTTCGGAATAGGCCATCCAACCCATAATACTTTTTTTCACAAACAATTGTCTGTTTAGAGGAAATAACAATGGCATTGTAAATGAGTTTTTTCTAATATCGTTTTGAATGAATTTTAGAACACCATTCCGAAGATTTTGATAATAACTGTAAACTTTATACATTTTGGCGAAACACATTTAACATACATTCATAATAAACACATACATGTAGAATAAGTTCTTTTAGTATATATTGTACTTTATTTCAATTTGGTACAGGTGGAAAGGAGTCGTGGATTGTTCCTGGAACATAACCCTCTATGAATACGGCCCCTAGGCTACTAGACCAGGGCCCACTTGCACAAAGCGATCTTAGCGCTAAGACTATTGTAAGCCTATGTTAAGGTATGGGAGTTACGATCATCTTAGCGCTAAGATGGCTTTTTGCAAGTGGGTCCAGGTTCCACAAAGCGATCTTTGAGGTTACGGTCGCCTTGTATAAGGTACAAAATGTTTTTTGTAATAATAAGATCGTACCTTCTATTCCACGACTTACGAATTGGGTAGTTCTACGGTCGTTGGGCACTGAGTCCGGGGTCCTGTGTACACCATTGTACAAAGCGATCTTACGCCGAGGCGTTCGTAACTCGTACACATAAACCGGCAGATTTCCGACAGTCCTGAGGTCGCTTTGTCCAATAGGGCCCAGAGTAAGACAGGCCGACTCTACTCAATGTCTGTCTAAAACCAATCTGAAACTACTTGTGTTAGTCCCCGGATGTTTTTCTGTTCATCCTGTAAGGACCCCAAACAGGAATATAGGACCCCGGCATATGTTTGTCTATTTGTTTGTTTAACGCCGCACTCAGCAATATTCCAGGTATATGACGGCGGTCCGTAAATAATCGAGTGTGGACCAGACAATCCAGTGATCGATCCACATCATGGTGTACATCGATGTACACAAGTGGGATACGATGACATGCATCAACCAAGTCAGCGAGCCTGACCACCCGATCCCGTAAGTCGCCCCAACACATGTGGCTAGAGTATTGTGACTGTCCATTGTTGGTAAGCGTTCATCGACGGGATTGGACGTTGGTCCTGCTACCAATTACTGCTTCGCGTGGACGATATAGCTTACAGGCTGTGTGATATAGCTGGAATATTGCAGACAAACATTGGAGATAAAGAAATAAGATTAAATAAAGAATGAAATAAATAGATAAACAAAAACAAACAAAAAAACATCAACAAATATCTGCTCCATGGACAAAGACAACTGATAAGAATATAGTGTACCACATCTTCCCGAGGCAAATGAGATAACCGACTAAAAAAGTCCAGTTTCCACCCTTGCCGAACTAGACTGGTATTTCTGGGCTCGATCGCAGCGCCATTTGTGGCTATTACGAGTTATGTCCCTTCTATGTCTCTCCTATGGACCAATCAGATTCCACGTCACTTTCATTTGCTTCAAACAAAATGGCGGCGCCTAGTCAAGACGATCTGATCGATAATCAAGATTTATATTGTAATAAAACGGGTTTTACGCGAAGTGCATCAAATAACGCGAGCACCTTGATTAAAACCATGAAAAGATTTAGAAAATATCTGTTGACAACGAGTTGGCGGTGCCCATGTTTTGCAAATTCTGCAATCGACCGAAATCTGCATGACTATTTACGAACAGGATTTCGATTTCGTTGCGTGATTTTGATTGGACTATGTGTAGCAGGGCGTGGAGTCATCCCACAGATGACATCCTTACCTTTTCAGTTTGCTGACGGGGTTAACCTCTTTGGTCATGTGGACAAGGCGTCCCACCTCGGATCAGAAGGTCTGTGGTTCGAATCCCATTACGGGACTCGGAAATTTTATGGCCGCTACATATGCATAGTCTCGTTAGTCCATCCAAAATGCAACTTCATAATACCAGCCGAGTTCGGCAAGGGTGGAAACTGGACTTTTACAGACAGTTAACTCCCTTGCCTCGGGAAGATGAGTGTACCATTGATACACGACAGACGTGAATTTATATAAATCACGACAGTGAGAAAATGAAGACTGTTTCAGTGTTAATGTACCTTTATGAACATGTGGAATACATCTAAATTTAAATTACACCGGCTGAATTCAGCACATTTATCGTCTTTACTTTCTAACAGTACATAAACACACCAGTTACTCTCCGCAATTCACACTGTATCGTGTCCATGACGCACTCATATGGAAATCTTTATCGAGATATTAATTTGAATTCTGGAACTATAGACCATAGTCCTCCTTTTAACAGATACACTATTTTTCCAGAAACCAACAACTATTAGTGGATTCGATCACCCAAACCATCCAGATAACGACAGTTCCATAATTAAACGTCAGGCATTTAGATTGAGTTGAGTTTAACGCTGCTTTTAACAGTATTCCAATTATATCGCGGCGTGTCAGCTTAATGTGGGAAGAAAGCCCGAAGTGATGCAGGCCTCAGACGTTTACCACTTCGGTGAAACCCACGATATGGTGCTGACAAACCTAGAAACGATATCGGGGCGAACCGGGTCAGTTCTGATCCTGGATTCTAGTCTCATTGACCCTTGAGTGAGTGAGTGAATTGGGTTTAACGCCGCTTTTAACATTATTCCAGTTATATCTCGGCGTGTCAGCTTAATGTGGGAGGAAGGCCCGAAGTGATGCTGGTCTCAGACGTTTACCACTTTGGTGAAACCCACGAGCACGGGTATGGTGCTGACAAACCTAGAAACATAATTGGGGCGAACCGGGATTCGAACCTTCAACCATAGGTTTCTGGCGTGCCCAAGGGACGCAACTTTGCACAGCGAATTGCGGCGCCTTAGACGACTGGGCCACCCGTGCCCCCTGACCGGCGTTAGTCATCTCGTATAGCATCTTAGTAGTAAGCCGTAGGTAAGGAATGTATGATTGAGACAGGATTCGTTTTGTGGTCCGTTTTCAAATACAACAAAGAAAACAGACTCCCACAGGTATCTTGTGTAGTCATATACACTGCCGTGCAAAAGAAAGGATACACTCAAACTGATTATACCAATACCTGCTTCACGCTACCCATAACTGTGTAGTGTGACATTGCGACCCCAAGTTCATTGAGAGGTCATGTTCACGTCACCTGTTGTGAGATACTCATTGATATGATGCATATATTATCGATATATTGATACCAGTGTCGATATTTAGATACCAGTGTCGATATATTGATACCAGTGTCAAATACATCACCATCGCATAACCTTTTTTTGTTTGTTCTATTTTCAGCCACCATTAAACACGATGGTATACTTTCTTTTGCACGGCAGTTTACTCCGCGGCATTACTTCATATTCTATTTCCTAGCTTTATCGGCAACAACCCATGCTGATAAAACACACGAGGGTGAGTCCATTTCACAACAGGGGTCGGTGTTGCTTGTGAATGACCGTTGAAAGGCATCCCTTGCATCAGCGTACATTACCTCTCTCACTGACTGATGGCTGGCAGGGATCCTGGGGGTGGTGGAGACAGCTGGACGACACCCAGATATCCAGGGCGTGGCTGTACACCGGTACTGTATCTGACCCTGTGCCCTTTGGAGGAGCGACCTGCCCACCGACGGAGCTCCGTACATGGGCATCCGGACCGGTGGTGGAAGGAAAACGGAGTCCAGAGTTCGTGGGTGAAGTTGCGGAAAGAATGTTACATTCTTTAACTCATGCACAGTCCTGTTCATGAATTGTTCACTGACCGGTTTATCAAACCACTCGGGTTCTTGTGCTACTCGAGATTTCGGTGATAAAAGGCTCACCACATGCTTTTTTTCAACACAAGTCTGCGACAGTACAGGATTCGTTGTCGTTTCTTTAGCATCAGCTGCATCACTACCATTTCTGTTCACATCTTCAGAAACCGTTTCAGGATTTCCCAGATCATCATCTTCAGGTGTTTCTTCTCTGAACATACACGAGTCCACCGTCTCGACGATCTCCTTGTAGAGGTCCGTGAAGCTGTTGGTCGGGATGGGGTAGCCTAGAACAGCAATGCTATCCCCGTATTCCAAGTCCCGTAGGTCCTGCAAAACACCAGTTAGCCTCTTAGATCTACATCCCTTGATGAAGGAGCAAGGTTTTCCCTGAATAAGTCTGATCACCAGGATGTAGAAGGCTAATTTATGCAGTTCCTTGTGTCGATGTTGACGACGATGGTACTGGGCCATAACGTGGCCCTTCAAGCTATTCATTTTCATGAATAGCAACTTCTTGTGACTGAAAATCTTGCTAGTAAGTCCTCTGGTTTTGTTTGGTTTATTCTGCGCTTCAGCCTCAAGAATGCCTTCTTTGACCTCCTCAATAAATTTGGCATAGTCTTGGCGGGATAAGACCTTTTGGAAGAAATGTAGCCATTTCGTAAGCAAATCCTTTTGTCGTTTTGTCTTGAGACGTGTGAATTGTTCAAGACTGGATTTTGCATCCTCTTCCTCTGTTGACTTCTGGCCGCTTCCTGATCTACCACCTCGTTTTGTTTCTGTTCAGATTGAAAAAAGAACATTTATTACTCCTGGGGTTTGGGTTAAGGGGGGTGAAACGTATACTTGTTAAGTAGATGTATTATATATGACACAGGAGCTGACAGAACAGTTATGAAAAAATATAAGATAGCTATGTGATAAATTGTAAGGAACAATGAAGACCGAAGTGTGATTTATTCACATTGTTCTACCATGACATCATTTCTGGAGATTCAAACATGCGCTCGAATCTTGATGTGGTCGTAAATTGGATGACGTTTTTTTTAAAGAGGGAATTGCCTAGTGAGATGTTCCCCATAGATGTAGTCGGACAACGCAGATACGCGCAATGGCCGAACGATCGCGTCCAGAATTGGGAGAGATATGACAATCGGTATTGGGAGAAAAGGGACAGATAAATGACGTGAGAAATGTGAGAATATGCGTCAAAGACCAAAGTTACCCCCCTGTTCATAAAAAAGGACTTGTCCAACATTGCCGAGGTCGGATTCTATTCAGGAAGTCATCATTATTTAAATACGGATAAATATTTGTAAAGCTTGTACATTTAATTAACATCATTAAAGAGGCTGTACATGATATTGATATCCCTTGTATGAAATAAACGACTCGTGGTCGATTTTTATCGTACAATAAACACTGCAGGGAGAATGAACCATGAGGTTTATTCTCCCTGCAGTGTCTTCTTGTACAACTCCCACTCGTCATTTATTTCTTAATTAACCCAAACTCCATTCTCTTTACATATGATATAATAAGAACATATACCGTCAACGCCTGTGATCTTGACAAGCTTGACAATCCACAAAAACAGACCCAATTGGGCGTAAAAGGCAAAATAGCGGTGAAAATTATATGAACCAATCACTGAAAATCAGTGATGACACCAGGTGTTCGCGAAAAGGGTAAGCATATCCTGCCCTACCGGTAGCCTCCGCCGCTCACACAATTTGCATAAAAGGGTAAGTGTTTGGTTGTTGCCTGACGCCCACTCTCGAGTGGCTGTCTGGAACTACGGATAAGCATTTGGTTTGGTCTTAGGTTTAAAGGTCACTTTAATTCAAATAATGACGAGTGAAATAATTAGTTATACCTACATTTATTATTATGGTGAATATATGACGAGAGTCTAGGTGTCTGAACTAGGTGCGAAGGCAAGTCCTGATAAGCATACACCCCTGCTTCGAATTCTAAACATTACCTCCTCTGCTACGCGGCTGATGCTTATCTTCATCTCTGACTGCATCACGTGCACGGATGAAGTATTTCATCTTCTCCTGCGCTGTCAGCTCCTTCGACCACTGTCGACGAAGTAATTCATCAAGAGCTGCAGAAGATGCTTCTGGGTGAGACATCTGGAAGTGGCGACGATGTTCACTGAAATGAGAAGATGACAGAAACATATATCAGCATAAGTTGTTCTGGTGAATATAATCATCAATGTCGTCGGGGTACTAGTGTGTCTGTCAAAACGTTGTATAACATTAATACTGGAGTTTTAAGAAAGAAACGAAGATTGTATGACACGTGAGTGCTACAAATAGACTTTCTGAAGTTAGCCTTTTATTCTGATGTAACGTTACCTTGACCACAGGACATAAGCATTTTCATCTATCACGGGGTATTACAGCACTACAACTACCTTGTCCACAGGACACAAGCATTTTCATCTATCACTGGGTATCACAGCATTACATCTACCTTGACCACAGGACATAAGCATTTTCATCTATCACTGGGTATCACAGCACTACACCTACCTTGTCCACAGGACATAAGCATTTTCATCTATCACGGGGTATTACAGCACTACATCTACCTTGTCCACAGGACACAAGCATTTTCATCTATCACTGGGTATCACAGCATTACATCTACCTTGACCACAGGACATAAGCATTTTCATCTATCACTGGGTATCACAGCACTACACCTACCTTGTCCACAGGACACAATCATGTGCTTCTGTCATGGGGTATTACAGCACTACACCTACCTTGTCCACAGGACACAAGCATGTTCATCTATCACTGGGTATCACAGCATTACATCTACCTTGACCACAGGACACAATCATGTGCTTCTGTCATGGGGTATTACAGCACTACACCTACCTTGTCCACAGGACACAAGCATGTTCATCTATCACGGGGTATCACAGCAGTAAATCTACCTTGACCACAGGGCACAATCATGTGCTTCTATCACGGGGTATCACAGCAGTACATCTACCTTGACCACACGACACAAGCATGTTCATCTATCACGGGGTGTCACAGCAGTACATCTACCTTGACCACAGGACACAAGCATGTTCATCTATCACGGGGTATCACAGCATTACATCTACCTTGACCACAGGACATAAGCATGTTCATCTATCACGGGGTGTCACAGCAGTACATCTACCTTGACCACAGGACACAATCATGTTCATCTATCACTGGGTATCACAGCAGTACATCTACCTTGACCACAGGACACAATCATGTTCATCTATCACTGGGTATCACAGCAGTACATCTACCTTGACCACAGGACACAATCATGTTCATCTATCACGGGGTATCACAGCATTACATCTACCTTGACCACAGGACACAATCATGTGCTTCTATCATGGGGTATTACAGCACTACACCTACCTTGTCCACAGGACACAAGCATGTTCATCTATCACGGGGTATCACAGCAGTACATCTACCTTGACCACAGGGCACAATCATGTGCTTCTATCATGGGGTATTACAGCACTACACCTACCTTGACCACAGGACACAAGCATGTTCATCTATCACGGGGTATCACAGCAGTACATCTACCTTGACCACAGGACACAATCATGTTCATCTATCACTGGGTATCACAGCAGTACATCTACCTTGACCACAGGACACAATCATGTGCTTCTATCATGGGGTATTACAGCACTACACCTACCTTGTCCACAGGACACAATCATGTTCATCTATCACTGGGTATCACAGCAGTACATCTACCTTGACCACAGGACACAATCATGTTCATCTATCACGGGGTATCACAGCATTACATCTACCTTGACCACAGGACACAATCATGTGCTTCTATCATGGGGTATTACAGCACTACACCTACCTTGTCCACAGGACACAAGCATGTTCATCTATCACGGGGTATCACAGCAGTACATCTACCTTGACCACAGGGCACAATCATGTGCTTCTATCATGGGGTATTACAGCACTACACCTACCTTGTCCACAGGACACAAGCATGTTCATCTATCACTGGGTATCACAGCATTACATCTACCTTGACCACAGGACACAATCATGTGCTTCTATCATGGGGTATTACAGCACTACACCTACCTTGTCCACAGGACACAAGCATGTTCATCTATCACGGGGTATCACAGCAGTACATCTACCTTGACCACAGGGCACAATCATGTGCTTCTATCATGGGGTATTACAGCACTACACCTACCTTGTCCACAGGACACAAGCATGTTCATCAATCACTGGGTATCACAGCAGTACACCTACCTTGACCACAGGGCACAATCATGTGCTTCTATCACGGGGTATCACAGCACTACACCTACCTTGACCACAGGACACAAGCATGTTTATCTATAACAGGATTGGCCAGCAACTCTTCGTCTATGATTGGCCCCTTCCTTCTCCGCGGTGGCAGACAGGATGGAGTTTGTTGGTTCTCAATTCTTTCCCTGTAGGAAGAATGATACTTTGTTACCCTCTCTTGCATATTGTTCCACTTGAATGTGTCAGCTAAATGTGGTGAGAAGCCCAAAGTAGCCAGGGTCGTGATCGAAAGACATTAATCGCTTTGGTGGAACCCATGAACATGGGCAAAACCAGGAATCATAATCTATGGTTCGAACCAACGACCTTTGGATCCTGCAGATGTTGTCAATGAATAACACATACCGCAAAATTGCTTATCAAATCCCCTTTAAAGGCATTCTGATAACAACACTATTTTAATTGAAAACAGGATTTGACCCCAAAGTTACAAACGTTATCAAAACGTTACTAGGCTGGTACAGTCACCGAAACACTGCAAAAATAATGTCCAAAATACAACTATGATACCCACATCTGATACATCACCATCGACTACTATTTCTTGTTTGTTTCATTTTTGGTCACCATGCCCGCCAGTGTATACTAGTGTATACTAGTCAATAATTCCAATATTTATACAAACCTTTGTTCAAAAGAGGTTGCAGGCTTCTTCTTCAGCACTCCAGATTTATTCTTGAGATTCTTCTTTAGCTTTTTCTTCCATCTAGCTTTCAGGGGCAGGCCGTGTCTGCTGTCTGATTGTACCACTTCCCTCCCCTCCCTCTCTTGCATTCTCACTTGTCTGGGGCTCAAAACAGTCACGTCAATATCAGAGATGTTTCTGTCTGTAGACGGGTCTGCTCCAACATCCGCTTCCCCTTCACAGATATCAGAGCTGGACCTCCTTCTCCTCTTGGATGGGGAAGGGCTTTCTGTTGACATCTTTGTCTTTGTCTTGTTGTCGTCTCTTTTAAGTGGAGTATACACAAAGTCGGTACTCCTACCGCACTGGCCGGATGTTGAGGAATCAACCTTTTTCAGGAGTCGAGCACTCCTCTTAATTGGTGTCAGAGAAGTGGATCCCGATGATGGACATTCTGATGTAGCTGGAAATTCATCTGTCTCTGTCATCGGTTGGGGCCTTTCTCCTTCATCACATAAGTGTTGAACAGAATGTCTTTCCTTGGCTCTGAAGTTACTTTCTTTACATTTTCGAAGAACAATTTTTGGAAAAGATATTTTTCGTTTGTCCTTCTTCTTACTCCAAAGCAAAAACTCACCAGAGGAGGAGGAAGACTCGGGTTTTGATGATCCACTACTGGTTGGTTGTAACACTGGCTGGTCAACCTCCTTTGCAGTGTCACTGTCAATATTGGCACAGTCGGACCGTGTTACCATGAACCTTACAGGTTTCTGTTTATCACTGTCTCCAGTCAATGAAACGCTCGTGTTTGTGTCAGAAGATGTCACTGTCGTCTCATCTGTGAGAGTTGTCAGATTGCTGTTTATTATTTCAGCTGAGATTTCAAGTTGGCCATTAGTAGCTTTTCTTTCCATCACTTCTTTGAATACTGTACCGTCTACGGCATCACAACTGTTACTCAATGAATCATATTCATCTTTAGGTATAAAACAGTCCTCAAATCCTTGATCAGTTTCTGTGGGTAACATCTCTAAATCCGAACTGAGACTTTGGGAGGCAATTGGACTTATAGCTAATGGGTCTGCAACTGGAGTTGCCCACCCTTCACTGTTCGCCTTATCACTCCACCACACGCTCTCCGGTCCAGATGGCATTGGTGTACCTGGATTACTATGAAATGTCAATTGACTTGATGACCGAGTTCCCTGATTCATACTGAACGATCCATCTGTGTAATATTGCTGTTCATTTGGAGATGAAGGGTCTTGCGATATCAATGTTGATGCACATGATGTAATATCGCTAGAAAACATACTCTTTACGTTTGTATCAAGTTCAGAAAGACTGTCATTTGCAGCTGCCGCCAAGTCATTGTCTAGGACATGTTGAAGAGAAGATGAACCAGCTTGAGATGCACCACAAGTACTGTATTCTGGAGTCCTTTCCTCTAGGCTTGGAACGTCCTCAAAACTCACATGACCTTGATTACAAGATGAGGATGCTGTATCTGAAAGGATTGAGTCAATCTCACTGATCAAACAAATTGTGGAACTGCTCGTTCCTTGCTGTAGCGATTCATTAGATGATGAAGCTGGTTCAGATGAGGGATTGTTGACATCTCGTACACCATCACCTGTGTTAGTATCATATCTACACTCATTTTCATCTTTAAGTTTACTCGCATGTTTCCTAAAGGGTGTGACTGAAGGCAAACCTTCCCACAGCTCATCCTGTTGGGATTCGCTTCTTAGCCGTCGCCTTCTGATGACAAAATCGTTTAGATCAAACCCTAATTTTTTATCTTCATCTGGAACACTTGTAGAGGATGGACTTATTACGTCTGATGACTCCTGGGACGTGACAATACGAAGTGATGCGCTGTCTGTGTTGGATATCTTCGTATTTGATGTTCCTGATTCGGTCCCACCTACAATATCGGACACTTGGATTAGGACTGGTCCCTCTGCATTATTGTTTCTTGTATCAGTATTCAAAGGCAACGCTTGATCTCTTTCATGGGGACCCCTTTGAGAGTTATCATGTTCTGATGCCAAAATAGTCATTAACCTGGATGGTTTTCGTTTGAGCAGTACTTTAACATCATCATCATCTACAGCCACATCTCCGGATCTGTTCCTGCTTCTTGTCTGCCTGATAGGGGATGACTGAATCATTTCCCTCGTCATACATCTGTCAGGTTGTGTCGCCTGTCTGTCTTCAGGACAAAACCCCTCAATCGATGCAGCATGGGAGGTGGTAGCCACAGACCCATCTCGACTCCTGAGATCTCTGGGTGGTGTTTGAGTTGATACGCTGGTTATATATGCCCTACTTAATTCAGAATCGCCAGTGCTGGTTGATTCATTAGATGAAACTCCAAGAGTCTTTTTACCAGCTCTATTTCCTTTTTCTTGGGGAGATCTGACGACTATAGAGAACGGTGACGAGGATGGAGATGAAAGTTCACGTTCTTTTGCCTTGCTATTAGATGAAAGATGTTTCGTTCGTGGTCTACCAACGCCTCGTTTGATTGGAGTTGTACCACTGGTGTTGGATAAATGTGACTCATTTGCACTATCACTATCTGAATATTTTGGATGTGCTCGGGGGTTAATCTTTGTGCCAGGCACATTCTGTTTGGTATTATTATCTGTGGATGGATTAGATAGTGTTCGTGATCTCAATTTCTTAGAGCTTTTAGCTTGGGTTGCCTCTGGTTCTTCATTTGAACTTGACGATATTGGGTGATATTTAGCCTCTTGTGTTGCTGACAGAAACCTGTTTATCTGCGAGAGATTCTTTATCCCACTTGTCCCGGGCATGTCCTGATTGGATGCCTCAGAGGAGTTGGATGTTCCTGATGTACTATATGTCCCTGTTGAAGACCCTGTAGTGTAACTAGATGTCTTCCCTGACGTGTACGATTCACTATTAGAACTTAGAATCGAAGAGGAATCAGTTTTAGAGTTTGAGCTTGTGTATGAAGTAGCACTTGATCCAACCCCGGAACTTGAACTGGTACTGGAACTTGACGTCAGGGTTTCAGCTTCAGGGAATTTAATCTGTCGCCTACTTGTTTTGGTTGGCGTTTCCTGTTCCCCTCTGTGTGACCTTGTCCTGAACGGGGACACCTCAGACGACCAGACATCTTGCAATTTCTTTAGTTCCCGTTTGGTGTTGCTGGTAGTGGGGTAATTGCTGGTGCTTGGTCTATTGTCGGAAAGGGGGTAATTGCTGCTACTTGGTAAATTGCTGGTGGTGCGGTTATTGCTGATAGCGGGGTTATTGCTGGTGGTGGGGTTATTGCTGATAGTGGGCGTATTGCTGGTGGTGGGGTTATTGCTGCTACTTGGTTTATTGCTGGTGGTGGGGTTATTGCTGGTAGCGGGGATATTGCTGCTACTTGGTTTATTGCTCTTGGTGGGGTTATTGCTGGTGGTGGGGTTATTGATAGTAGTGGATGTGCTGATCCTGTTTCCGATTTTATTTTTACGATCCGTGCTGTTGCTGCTGTTGCTGCTGTTGCTGCTGCTGTTTGTGCTGCTGCCGGTGGTGGACGCGTTGCGTCTTTCCCTGCCTGGTGTCCGAGATGGGGAGCTCTGTATAAAACAATATTCATTTTGAATTTCTATATTTCTGATCTGATCTGTTTATATCAGATTCTACTCAGTCAAATTATATGTATATTATATTTTAACTCTAAATTGTCAGCCTTAAAAGTTTTATTAGGATTTCTCTGAGCGTCCTTGTTCCGGAACGTCGTGATATCAACCACTGTTTTGTCTGCCCAAGACACGATTATTTATAAACTGAGCCGAAATACAAGAAAAAAAGAAAGCTATATACACATATATACATTTTATTTGCAATGCTTTGCCAAGTACGTTCCTTGATATTTCCGTGAAGGTTGTATTCGAATATGAACGAATAATCTTTGCATATCCGTTTCCCGAAACAATCTTCATATTTGTTTGCCAGATGTAAGGCAACACGTTAGCATAAGTTAACTTAAAGTTAAGTCGACATCGACTTATCGACATCGAATAAAGTATCGCCATTCAACTCATCCTCGGTTATATATGCATAATTTATATAATGCATTGGATAATCCAGGATCAATTCTACATCAATACTTCCCGCTGTATGAAATATACTCACGTGGGTCACAGTCGCTATCAGGTTTATCAACAAATACATATATAACACTACGATATTGTAATTAACATTTATTAAATAAAATTTACCATGTTTATTAAAAACAAACATTCATAATTAATTGAAAGGTTTGGTTTTCGATGAGGGTAAATAAGTTTATAGAAACACATTACCGCTACAAAAAATGCATTACTGTTATGTGATGTACTTCACACAAAACGTTCCTGGTACTCCAGCAATACAATTCAATGATGACACAATTGGTCATAACGAGTCCACAAATCAGCAAGGAGGACACAAACACACACACATCAGGTATTTATTAGTCCTGCACCATGCATTTTATGCGAACAAAATCAATCTAGATTTATATAAAAGCAAGTCTAGCCAGCTTTAGCCAGGGCCAGGGTGACGCGATTCGCTGTGTAGTGTTGCACCCTTTCAGCACGTCAGAAACTTATGAATCGAATCGAATCGAATCCTGTTTCGCCCCGATTAGGTTTGTAGATTTGTTGGCACCGTACCGTGCTCGTGGGTTTCACCAAAGTGGTAAACGTCTGAGACCTGCATCACTTCGGGCTTTCCTCCCACATGAAGCTGACACGACGTGATTTAACTGGAATACTTTTAAAAGAGGCGTTAACCCCAATTCACTCATAGTGTTTTTGTAGTGTTTTTTTTATTAATCCACTCGAGCTACAACGGGACCTGTGAAGATCCGGAGTAGAATAAATCTTCAGCAACCCATGCTTGCCGTAAAAGGCCACTGTGCTTGTCGTAACAGGCGACTGACGGGATCGGGTGGTCAGGCTCGCTGACTTGATTGATGCATGTCATCGTATCCCAATTGCATCGATGCTCATGTCAATCACTGGATTATCTGGTCCAGACTTGGTTATTTACATATTTACATATAGCTGGAATACTGATGTGTGCGGCGTTAAACAACAAACCAAACCAAACAAAAAGCTACAACGGTCTTAAATTGTAGTTCGTGATGCAACATAATCTGTATTCTATCGTGTTTCCAAATACGAGCGTTGATTGATAAGTTCTGAGTCTCACATAGGAATTGCGTAATAGTGAAATCTTTGTTCTGGACGTCGTAATGTCAAAGAGGTATATCCTCAAAAACTTGAGTCAGTTGAGCAAATTGTTTCTTTGTGACAAGTCTATTTCTAGCGTAACAAGACAGCTTAGCATTTAGTAGGCTTTTTGAAAGAAATTAGCCTTTCCGTTGATACATACTTTAAATCTTGAAATTAACGCGAGCGTGAATTAAATGCGAAAAATGCGAGTTGTCTTTGTTTGCATAAATGAAACTTCTCCAAAATGACTATAAACAATAACACGGTCTCACTGCAAACTTTGGATAGCGGAAATACCAACTTGAATATAAACAAATACGCGGTTTATTGAGCAGCAGTTGTAACAAGTATATAACAATGTCATTCTAAGAATAGGAATTACACAATAGACATTCTAGAATTCTAAATATAAACTCTTGACGAAAGATATTGGGTTTTTGTCTAAATTATGGCTTTGAATTGTGTGCTCCGTGTTTGCGTCCGCCATCTTGAATTATCGAAGAATGATTAGTCACAGCGCTCCATAGACCAAGGTTGTAGGTAATCGGAACGTCAGAATCTTCGGAGTGATATGCAGACTACTAATAAGGATACACCACCAACCCTTGACCCTCGGACATAAAAGGGCTGTGCTGCACATGTATGTATGAAGACGTCACAACATAAATTTAACCAACCTTTGAATCGGAGTCGGTTCGAGCTTTCTTGCATTGAATGTTTTCTAACGACGCCGGTCTTGAACCCGGACCGTTGCCCCGACCATGGAGTGATGGCCGACTTTTATCATCAGGTGCCTTCCTTTTTCTTCCACGCTCCATCGTCTATTTGTTCACATATAATTTCATACACAGGGAACTGCGAGACAGTCAGTCATATTTGTTTACATTTATGATTGCTATGTGACGTCATGTCGCGATGACGTCACAATTGTGTTCATATGACGTCACTAAAACACAATCCGGTCTTTGTTTCGGGAAAATGCTGCGTGCTTGCCTTCTTTTGATGAATTACGATGTTATATACATCAAAACCATTTCTCCAAGCCTTAACACAGAAATAATTAGACAATAAAATTATTAATTAAACATTTTTTAGACAATGTTTGAAGCCCATTTTGTGGTGTTCATCGCTGTGATATTGCTGAAATAGCTTTAATTGGGCCGTAAAACCATACTCACTCAGTATCTAAAAATAATGTCATTAAATAGTTTTGTGTTGTCTGAAATTGATTATGTTTAATTGTTAAATTACTTTAAATATTAATGATATCCCTACAACACTTACCGCAAAACAATCGATGGGTAAAAGATATTAGAGCTTTCTCCCTTATATCCCAAAACTCGGCATCCAGAGGATTAAACGCGGTCACGTCAGTGAAATTATTTTAGAAAGCACCCGGCGTTCAGGTGTTTTCGGGGGCACGGGTGGCCCAGTCGTCTAAGGCGCCGCGATTCGCTGTGCAGAGTTGCGTCCCTTGGGCACGCCAGAAACCTATGATTGTGGGTTCGAATCCCGATTCGCCCCTATTATGTTTCTAGGTTTGTCAGCACCATACCCGTGCTCGTGGGTTTCACCGAGGTGGTAAACGACTGACACCTGCATCACTTGGGGCTTTCCTCCCACATTTAGCTGACACGCCGCGATATAACTGGAATAGTGTTAAAAGCGGCGTTAAACCCAACTCATTCACTCACTCAGCTGTTTTCAATTTATCTCGCTCCTCCGCCACAGCGGGCGTCCTCCTGACGTGGTACCCATATATAACAGTCCACGGAAATATGTTGTAGAATACGACCATGTGAGGTATATGTAACCGCCTAGATCAATATTTATCAAAATTTCAGTTCGACAAAAGTCAAAACACAAATCTTATACCGCATGGTATCTGCGAATCCCGTTTGGGAATCCTAGCTATTGTTTGTTGTTTAACGCCTCACTCAGCAATACTCCAGCTTATGGCGGCGGTCTGTAAATAATCGAGTCTGGACCAGACAATCCAGTGATTGACATCATGAGCATCGATCCACGCAATTGGGAAACGATGACATGCATCAACCAAGTCATCGTGCCTGACCACCCGATCCCGTTAGTCGCCTGTTACGACAAGCATAGTCGCCTTTTACAGCATGGGTTTCTGAAGACCTATTCTACCCCGGATCTTCACGGGTTCGAAATATCTCATGAGGATCGGTGTTCAAAATGTTTGACTGCGTGGCATTCATACCGTTTAATGTTTGGGTGGTTGGAATGCCCCCCCCCCCCCCCCCCCCCCCCCCAGCTATTGTAATTCCTAGGATGTCAATCACGGGTCAGCAGGCCGGTCGCCTATGTCCCTTATAGGTTCCCAATCATCCCATTTCTGTGCATGGCGTGGCCGCTACGCGTAAAAGAGTACCGTTAAATCGGAGAATCTAGAGCGTGTACGTGCAGCGCCGTGCTTGGATCCACACGTGTGTTCCGATAGCCGGGTACGAGTCGCTTGTGCGGGGAGGAATGCAGGGGCTTTCATTGGGCAGTTTAGGTTGTATATACTATATAGTATAGCGTAGCTGTGATATCCCAGCAACCAATCAACAGGCAGCTAACTTGAGTCTTATTGAGTGGCATTCCGAAAACATTGACATGAGATATTCCTCTACGATAACATTGTTTAGTTGGAACAGGAGCGTGGCGTTGGGTTAACCAGAGACCTTATTTTTGTTAAAAAAATTCCCAAACTTACAGGATGTGACCTTAAATTTTCAAAATTTTTATTTGAAAGTAATTTGACAGAAAATATCATCAGGATTGAAAAATATGTAATAAAAAAATCAGAACTTGTTTTTTTCGTAGTTCCGTTGTTCTGGCAGTGTATCATTGTAAAGTTGTGACATGTCGCATTGAAAGTAATTATGAAGTGTAAATTCGTAAAGCAATAATTGAGAAAATGAAGTATGAAAATTCCCTTAAAGGGGAAGTGTACACGCAAAAATCACTTTCTTTCTTTTTCTAAACAAAACGCAATTTTAGAATTAGTTAGTATCTGTGTTTGAAAATATACGCTCATTTTTTTCACAGTGAAAGTAGGAAGCTCACAATAGTGTTAAAATGATATGTCGTTATGAGGCCTTCGTTTTACGAGCGAAATAGGCCTGAGTTATCCCCCTTAGATAATGACGTAATTGGTGCCAATTCAACTGGGTCCCTGTCTATTCTCAACGCAAAAGATATCAAGTACCAGTTTGCGGTAAAACAACATGGTCTACGACACACTCCGGCGCAGTGGTGACTCAGCATAACACTATGCTGGCTGGCATCTGAGACGCTAGAATCACACACCTGTACCTACACCACGTGAAGCGGCTCTAACAAAGCATGATGACGTCATAATGTTTATCAATTGGCACCAATGACGTCATATTGCAAGGGGCATAAGCCATGGTGTTTTTGTTGTGGAAATAGAACACTTGGTAAATGTGAAAAATATAAATCGTTTTAATGCAAAAAATATGTTAATTAAATATGATGTTTTTATATTTTTGTCTATGACACTTCTATGTTAACACTTTTAATGTCGAAAAAGTACAAGAAAAATTGGTTCATATCCGTGTGAACTTGCCCTTTAACGAGTTTTACACTGCGATATCCCGTTCGCAGAGCTCTCTATACCACCGAGAATGTAGCGAAGGTGTCACGCGCTGGGAAGGAGCTTGGGAAGATATCGAAGGGAGACAACTCTACATACTTCCGCCAAATCGGCTATTGGCGCACGGCACGTGTATCACAATGGCAGAGACGGGAGAGAAACTCAGCAAAAAGTAAGCATTTTTTAAACTCTAACGTCATGTGAAGTATGGTTTTGATAAAAACATGTAGAATGTAAACCCAATCTGCGGTGAACTTGTTGATTGATTGGTGTTTGACTTGTAGCTTATGGCAACTTGTGATCAACAGTTGACGTACGTGGTTGCTGCTTTGTTGCATCATCATCAATAAGAGGGGTGACAGTGTCAAGACATGTCGTTACTTCCGGCCTCTACACTGTCCACCGTTGTTAAACTTGATCTCTACCTCGCAATAACGTTACATTCGGACAGTAGGACCTGACGGCTGTCCAGCCATGTACCGGTATGACAGGCATTTTTATGGTGCTTCATTATATTACTGTCTTTTATTTTTGCGCGTGTTTATTGTTTAACGCCGCACTCAGCAATATTCGAGCTATATGACGGCAGTCTGTAAATAATCGAGTCTGGGTCAGACAATGCTGTGATTTACATCATGAGCATCGATCCATGCAATTGGGTTCGATAACATGCATGAACCAAGTCAGCGAGACTGACCACCAAATCCCGTATGTCGCCTCTTACGACAAGCATAGTCACCTTTTATGGCAAGCATGGGTTGCTGAAGACCCATTCTATCCCGGATCTTCACGGGTCACTGTCTTTAAGCCTAATGGGCGGTCGGTTAGCCTAGTGGTTAAAGCGTTCGCTCATCACGCCGAAGACCCGGGTTCGATTACCGACATGGGTGAAATGTGTGAAGCCCATTTCTGGTGTCCCCCGCTGTGATATTGCAGGAATATTTCTAAAAGCGGCATAAAACCATACTCGCTCACTCACTCACTTTAAGCTTAATCGAGAGACAATACAGACGTCAGTGGAAAGAAGGTTTGTAAATGTGTATTTCATAACATTCACTTAACTGTATGATCAATGGTGACAAAAGCATAGACATGTCTGCCATGGTGCTATAACTGCATTCCAGGACGATATATAAAACAAGCTTACGTAGTTCTGTATGTACTTTTATTTGAACAGTTTGACATGCACTTAGGTCTTACATCATGGTCATCGCGCTGCCAACACTTTGTGAATCTGCGCTATGGTGGATGAATCATGTGTGACCTCACTGATGAAGCTGATGGTGTCATTAATTGTTGCTCATGCTATCACCCACTAGTGCGCCTGGCCAAGACTTTATAGTTACAGGTTACCATGGTTACTGTGGTGCTAGGGGTGAAACGATACATTGGTACACCGGTGGATTGTGAGTTTTCAAGTGACAATACCATACACGATGCTTTTTTCTCTGTATCCATACAAGACATACACCTGCTGAATTAAATTACTTTCTACTCGTTTATGACCCCTGGCATATTTATCAGACAGATTCAGAAAAAATGTGTGGTAATGGGCGTTTCAAGTTCCTTACTAAAAATAGCCATACGAATGGGTGTACAGCTTGCTTTTCCTTTAGAACCTGCTCTGGAATATTTATTGTCAAGAAGTTTCCATGCGATTCAATGTAAATATGTGTATCGTGATACGTATCATATCATGACCAATGTATCGTGCCATAGTATATGTATCTGAGCATGATTGTAAACGGGGATTTATCTAGGAAGAGTATAAGATACTAAAACAAATGCATGTGAGGCAGATTGTGAAAATATATTTTGATAAATTTTGTTAAAATTGGGTCTTCTTAAAAGTTCTTATTTTCATTTATTCAGAGGGTTTCTAACATTGTCCGTTAACATTGCTTTCAATGCATTAATCATGATGATATTAAACTAAGCATTAAGGCATCTTACACATATTTGTTATTGGTGAAATACAAAGCAATACTACCAAAGCACATTAGTTATGACTATATTTACCATGTTATCCTGAATTAGGAAATATTTATTTCCAGTTTTGGACTTTTACTACTCATGTGGGTCCAAATGTCAGCCTCTGTCTAGTCTACTAGTCTAGATAAATCCTTGGAAAATTTGATACTTGTCGAATTCAATAGGCAACTCGACTTTGCTCCACTTCAACAACATTGATTTACCAGCCCCATCATCTGAGACACGGTGACACGATGCAGAGCCTGTCATCACTGCTCCGACTAGCCTCATGGCAGTTTGTGTCTGTCCAGCGGGTGTCATCTCGCCTCGCCTCGTCCCCTCTCTGTGCTGCATCCATGTTGAGGTCCTGTAGTCGTCGGAGCCCTTGTCTTCACGTCCAGCCTCGTACCATCTCAACTACACCTTCTTTACTACACAAATCACGGTAAATATACATCAGTCCCAATAGTGCAACCCTTTTGTTACCATAGTTACGTAGACACTAAGATGTTAAAATATGCAAGATTTTGTTTTGGAAGAATCTGTGATCTTGGCTTTTAGTGAGCATGGTTATGTTTTAGACTTGAGAAACTTGATAAACAGGATTGTAACTTTTGAGATGTCATGGTTAATCAGTGTCAAATTATGCATTGCCTGATTTGAAATGGAACAATATCAAAAGGGGTGGACTGTTTATCTTATTGTAAACATTATCAGCCTTTTCTATAAGTACCAATGTTCACTGATACATGTCATCTACTTGTTCGTAATTAAGATCATACATATGTACTTCTTGGCTAATGCATGGCTGCCGACTTTACCAAATGGTCATATTTGTTGAGAATTTGCAACTAAAATACAAAAGTATGATTTCCTGATTAATTCATACAAATGATATGCCAATCTACGGGAGGAAAAATCACAAGGACTAAATTTTCCAAGAAACAAAGAGGAGGTCTTTATTTAGCTTAACACAGTCTGCTACGAACGCGTCTTTTTTATCGACTGGTATGAAGTCTGTTTATTGTGTTGCATCTGTCCAATCTAGACTCTCCACTTGTATTATCAGAAGCTGCTGTAGTCGAAAAAAGAAACTAAGCTATAAAATTATAGTTTTGGAATGACATGACTGAATTATACTGTACTAAATTCATACAGGGTGAGAACTAGATTCAATAGCTTTACTGGACCGGGTAAAGATAAAATGCCCTTGTAATGTTAAAACTATGGGGAAATTTGTACTAGCCTGCAGGAATTAGTACTAGCCACGGGCTAGCAGGGTAGTGTTAAGTTCTAACCCTGTTCATAACGCTGGGCTTTGGTGATGCAACCAGAAGATCGTAACAAAATACTCATTGTAATTTGGGAAAGTTGGCAGCGATGCTAATGCGATGCTAATGCTATGAACAGTGAAGAATAAATCTTTTCCAGACCACTTTCTGCATGTTCAACAATGTCCAGCTTGTTATTGTTCTATTCAGGATTGTTTTGTCTGCTACTCTATGTCTTAGTGAAAAGGCTGCATATATCATGTATATAGAGGATATTTCATGCGTCTCGTGAAATATCCTGTTTCTCTCTCGAGTGATGGGGCGCAAAGGAGATATTTTCAAACATCTCCTTTCCCCGTCACTTGGTGAGAGAAACAGGATATTTCATGAGACTCATGGAATATCCTTTTTATTATATACTTTTTGTATAGTTGCCTACCGGGAAAAATTCTTTCATTACAAATGTAAAACCTTGAAATGGAATTCTCCCTACCTAACACACAGGAACGGTTTACCAACCTTGTATTTGAGGCTTTAAAAAAAGTTTCGTGTTTGCAAAATCTTAAAAAATATATACAAAAGTATAAACCAATTATTTAGGGTCATACATTTAGATATGATTATATACAAAATCTGACACAAACAAAAGGGTTGCACTGATTAGAGAACTGATGTAGTTTACCTTTTGTATCCAGGCTGTGATAGTTTTCTATCACGTCCTATAACACAAAAACCCACCTCTGCTATTTGCCTGAATATCTGTCACATTTCTAGTAACTCCTACAAGTTTCTGCCACTATGAGGGGAGCAGTGGTTGTCAGGAAGCTGCATGTGTGTTTCAGTGAGCTGTTGTGTTTCAGTGAACTGTTGTGTTTCAGTTAGCTCTGTGTGTTTGTGAGCTGTTGTGTTTTAGTGAGCTGTGTGTGTTTCAGTGAGCGGTTGTGTGTTTCAGTGAGCGGTTGTATGTTTCAGTGAGCGGTTGTGTGTTTCAGTGAGCTGTGTGTGTTTGTGAGCTATTGTGTGTTTCAGTGAGCGGTTGTGTGTTTGTGAGCTGTTGTGTTTTAGTGAGCTGTGTGTGTTTCAGTGAACTGTGTATGTTTCGGTGAACTCTGTGTGTTTCAGTTGGATGTGTGTGTTTCAGTGAGCCGTGTGTTTTAGTGAGCCATGTGTGTTTCAGTGAACTGTGTGTGTTTCAGTTGGTTGTGTGTGTTTCAGTGAGCTGTGTGTGTTTCAGTTGGGTGTATTTTTCAGTTGGATGTGTATGTTTCAGTGAGCCGTGTTTTTCAGTTGGATGTGTGTGTTTCAGTTGAATGTGTGTGTTTCAGTGAGCCGTGTGTTTCAGTGAGCCGTGTGTGTTTCAGTGAGCCATGTATGTTTCAATGAGCCGTGAGTGTTTCAGTGAGCCGTGAGTGTTTCAGTGAGCTGTGTGTGTTTCAGTTAGATGTGTATGTTTTGGTGAACTGTGTATGTTTCAGTGAGCTGTGTATGTTTCAGTGAGCTGAAGAGGCGGTTGAAGGCAGAAAAGAAGGCTGCAGAGAAAGCAGAAAAACAGGCCGTGGTGTCGGCAGCGGAATCAGTCCAGAAACCTACTGCTGATAAGAAACAGGATGATGAAGACATTGACCCAAATGTGAGTCTGATATTGAATATCGGAAATCTCTGATGTTTAATAGTTAGCAAATTTTTTAACATTGTACCTTGCCCATACCTTTCTTGCGTCATCTTCATCTTCATCTTGCGTCCAGTTTCCACCTCTTGCCATACCAGGGTGGAATTTCTGGGGTGGATTATCATGATTATAGCGCCACCAGTGTATAGAGTTATGTCCCATCTATGTCCCCCACTCAAGCTCCTCACAGCGATATCCCGTTCGCGGAGCCCTCTATACTATTGCTGCCTCCAGTCAAAACTCCCCATAGTGATAGATGACCACAACCATGCTTGGAATTGAACACGCAACCGACTGACCGTTATGTTTTCAAACAAGTGACGACTGTCATGACACCGAATACACTTACCCCTGCTAAATTACTTTCTTTTTTTGTCAATTTGAATTTCTATTTCATTAAAACTTTAATGTAATTGATATGGTAAGACTTTAAGGGAGAAGTTGGTTGATTTTCCGTGAGTCTTCCGTGAGTTGGTTGATTTTCTCAGAGTTCACAATATTCTGAAGAAATGGTACCTCAGACAGATAACACATGCATAACAACCGATCCAGTTTCAGCATGGATTGTTGATAAAAAAACAACTTCACAGAATTAAATAAGTACCAAGATGTCTGTATACCTGTCTTTTCACGTATGGGTGCCAGTTATCTCCCCTGAGTGTCAACTATCAGGTAAAATCAACATGGCCAAATAAAAAAGAAGCTGATCAACATAAACAGGCGTCATTTCCATTTTATTTTTTATGATCTGTAGTTCTGACAGTAGTTTGTTGAAAACTAGGACAGGTGACCACTGTTACATGAAGATTGCATCAGACAAGGATTGTTACTCTAACAAGACAAGAGCTGGACTGTCCCCATACCCTTCGGCCTACTTCTTATCAGTGTTGCATAGTCCACACATCATTGCTGAGGAGTCCTTATACAGGATTGATTCAAATTGCATCATCTTGTGAAATCTTAAATGTTTCTATATTTTAGTGCATGTAGCATGTGTAGTGTGTAGCACTTGTTCACTTGAAGTGATTTGTGTCGCAAGTGATTTGCTCAGACGTCAAGCTATTGAGAAATTATATTCACTGACAACAGTTTGTATGCAAGGAGACAACAGTTGTTTGTCCGATTTACTTGTTGTTTAGACACTAGTTCTCGTTATTAGGATGTACAGGGGAAGGGACTATGAGGAAACAACTGCTGACATTGGTGTCCATTCACGTGATAATGTTTCCCCCCAGGAGTACTTCCGTCTGCGGTCCCGGGCAATAGCTCAGTTGAAGGAGCACAAGGACCCGAAGGAGCAGCCCTACCCCCACAAGTACCACGTGGAGATCTCCCTGACCGAGTTCATCGCTCGGTACAATGGCGTGGCTGATGGCGAGATCCTTGATGACATCGTCTCAGTTGCAGGTAAGATTGTTGTGTGTTAGCCTGGATTACATGTAAAATGATCCAGTTAACGATGACATTAAGAGATGGACTTGAGTTGATTAGGGAATGATATCTTAAGTTATTGGGCTGATTGATTTGAACGAATGCCGATTTTCAATTGTGAATAGTTTCTTTTAGAACCTCTAACTGTGAGTCTAAAAAGAAACTATTCACAATTGAAAATAATAGGCAGCCATCAGCCATCCAACTGTGAGTTGGCCTGTGAAGACCCATGCTTGCCATAAAAGGCGACTATGCTTGTCGTAAGATGCGACTAATGAGATCGTGTGGTCATGCTTGCTGACATGGTTGGTACATGTCATCGATCCCAATTGCTTGGATGGATGCTCCTGATGTCAATCACTAGATTGTCTGGTCGAGACTCGATTATTTACGGATCGCTGTCATATAGCTGGAATATTGCTGAGTGCGACGTTAAAAAACAAACCAATCTAGCTGTGAGTCATAATCGATTATCAATTAACTTCCAATTTTGAAGTTCAGTGAAGTACATACTTCATGATGGTTGTGAGGTGAGGTGAGGTGAGGTGAGGTGAGGTGAGGTGAGGTGAGGTGAGGTGAAATTGGGTTTAACGTCGCGTCCAAGATTATTGCACTTATATTGCGACGTGTGTGTGTGGCTGCTTGTATTAGTCCGGACTGATGCCGATTTATAGTGCTAGCCCATTGAGATAACATGCCGCAGTTTAACATGAATACCCCACTCAGACACAGTATACTGACTCCGAGCCGACCAGTCCTTGTTTTAGCCCCTTAATGCCAAGCGCCAGACAGGGTAACAATAAGTACCACCTTTTAACGTCTTTTGGTATGACGTGGTCGGGGATCGAACCCCGCACCTTCCGCTCTCCGGGCGGATGCTCTACCACTAGACCACGGAGGCGGTGATGATGGTTGTGATGCTGGTATGGTTATAAATGCATTTGGGCGGTCAGGTAGCCTAGTGGTTAAAGCGTTCGCTCGTCACGCCGAAGACCCGGGTTCAATTCCCGACATGGGTACAATGTGTGAAGCCCATTTCTGGTGTCCCCCGCCATGATATTGCTGGAATATTGCTAAAAGCGGCATAAAACCATACTCACTCACTCACTATAAATAAATTTGTGTTTTCGTCCCAGGCCAATCACTACAAAGTGATCTTGCCGCTACGGTGGTTGTAAGTCTGTATTTAAGTATGGCAGTTATGACAGTGGTTGCTCCAATATGTCTAAGATTGCTTGACCGCCTCCGTGGTCTAGTGGATTGAGTGTCTGCTCAGTGAGTGGAAGGGCGGTGGTTCCATCCCCTGCCATGTCAAACCACTTAGTGTTGAAGGGACCATGGTGCAGGCATTAACCTAAAACCGAGCTGCAGGTTACATAATTTCACATATGTTTACGTTTCAGGTCGTATACACGCGAAGAGGTTGTCGGGGGCCAAGTTGATCTTCTATGATCTGCGAGGTGAAGATGTCAAGATCCAGGTCATGGCTAACGCCAAGTGAGTCAGACATTTCTACTTCATGTAGCCCAGTGGTTCAAGCGTTGGCTCATCACGCTTAAGACCCAGGTTCAATTCCCTTTTATGCATACAATATGTAAAGGCCATTCTTTGTGTCCCTGGGTAGATATGGAAAGAATATTGTTTAGGTTTAAAACTAAACAGACTGGTCTGTGTTAAGGCCTGGTGATAACAGGACAGGATTCCGCCTTGTATGTATATCTTCCATAAGCTTAATTGGTTTGCCAACCCTAAATGAGGGTTGTTTTTTTCCCACTGAGTCTGTTAAATGCATTTTCTTGTCATGCTGAAGGCCAGAGTTTGATTTCCCACAAGGGTACTATGTGTAAAGCCCACTGCTAAAACCAACATTAAACCTTATTCACTCACTCACTCACTCACTCACTCACTCACTCACTCACTCACTCACTCACTCACTCACTCACTCACTCACTCACTCACTCACTCACTCACTCACTCACTCACTCACTCACTCACTCACTCACTAAGGATTAAGGTTGTTTTCATCAATGTACATGGTGTTGGTTGTAGAAATGTTGATGTATACTTCTAAAGGCACTACAGACCCGAGGAAGCCTTCGAGTCAGTCATGGACAAGGTAAAGCGAGGGGACATCATCGGTGTCCGCGGCAGACCAGGTGAGCTACAGACGTCAGTTGTCTTAGAGGCTACGACTCAATTTAGCTATATAAAACATGTACTAGTGCAACCTATTATTTATTTTTCCATGCGCTAAGTGCAGGGGTCCGGAAAATTTAAAATCCCAATCGGACATTTGCATTTAGGCCACGCCCCCTTCAAATAGCGTATTTTAGTATGACTTTTCACACACATTACAAGTTTAAGTATTCATAATATGATGAATTATGAATTGTTTCAATTTAAATTGTTTAATTCACCGGACAATTAATAACAAATAATATCATTTTAGATTTACATGGAAAACATACGTTTGTTTCTGTTATAATAACGGTCTGTTAACGTAGTGAACGGTCTAATTAATATTCATGAGTCATATTCATGAGTCTGCTCAAGTGTACGCGTTGTAACATTTGGATCGAGACTATTATCCCATATTTGGTTATCACGTGACCTCACGGGAAAAGTTTTTTTTAAACTAAAGATTTTCTTAAAAACAAGACAGATAATTTAATCACAAATACTAAAATATCGTTGATAGCAATAGTTATTTGAATACTTTTTTCATCTGTACTTAATTATTGACCATAAAAAAAATGGATATATCGATCGTCCGAGAAAGCAAAATGGCGGTCAATCAAGATTCAATATACGACTAGCTACTGAAAACAATAAAATCTGCAAATCCTCATTGTATGTCAACCAAGTGAAAGTCGTTAGCCACGACTTACAAAATGATCGTCCAGACTTTGAGGGTTTGGCAGATCCGCTCGACTGATCTGCATCAGTCGACTGGCTGTCGTCACGCTTTCGCTTCTTGTCTGAGGTTACGTATTGTAGCATTGTGAGGATAATGAGGTACATCGATGATGCAAGGTATTAATGTACAGTTGTAAACACCTTTCACTCAAATTAACAAGATGTTCTCAGTAATTAATCCTCGATTAATCAGTGTCAACTCAGTTTATTGCCTATTACAGTGATTGACCGATTGGACTATCATGTAGGTACGATGTATTTTCAGCAATCAAAACAAACAAAGCTTGTCAGTGTAGTTAATCTTCATTGTGTTGCAACTGCAGACAGAAACTGCTCAGTCCTAACTGTTGATCATGTCCGGTCAAAATTTAAGAATGTCCGGACAATACTTTTTAAAATGTCCGGTAAGCAATATTTTAAAACGGACATTTGAGATTCCCAATCGGACATGTCCGGCGCATATGACGGTTTCCGGACCCCTGGCTAAGTGCATGTTAATTTGTGTCTGACTGTCACATTCAAATTTGTGTCTGACTAACCCTTGCCTTTCACACGATCATTGAACACAGCGAATGCCTCTAAGCTTTATGTACCATACTCAATGTTAATCCATGTTATATGTAATTTGTCATCCTTTCTTGGACGTCATCAAACTGTGGGTACTTCAAGATTATGTGCACATCCTATTACGTTTAACAGCAGTATTTGTGTAAAATCATAACCCAGTCATCAGAGATCTGAGATGTGCTTACTAATGCATCTATGTTTCATCTTTGATATTTTGCGGCTGTCGGGTAGCCTAGTGGTTAAAGCGTCTGCTCGTCATGCCAAAGACCCAGGTTCGATTCCTGACATGGGTACAATGTGTGAAGCCCATTTCTGGTGTCCCCTGGCTTGATATTGCTGGAATATTGCTAAAAGCGGCATAAAACCCAACTCACTCACTCACTCTTTGATATTTTATGTGACAAGAGTGCAACCTTTTTTGTATGGTGCAACCAGGTTTTCATGTCAACATGAACCTGGTGCAATTTGAAAGAAGTTCCTTAAATCGTAGCCTGCTTTAACTCAAGTATGTTGTATATGATCCAGAACCACATATAGCCATTGGAACTGGGATTGAACACCTCTGATCACTCAGGAGAGTTGTAGTATTTAACAGTCCTTCCTCAATTATCCAATGTAATTAATGATCTGGGATTAAGGAACCAGACTCAAAGCATTGGTGACCCGTGAAGATTCCGGGTTAGAACAGTTCTTCAGCAACCCATGCTTGCCGGGATCGGGTGGTCAGACGCGCTGACTTGGTTGATGCATGTCATCGATCCCAATTGCGTGGATCGATGCTCTTGATATTAATCACTGGATTGTCTGGTCCAGACTCGATTATCTACAGACCGCCGTCATATAGCTGGAATATTGCTGAGTGCGGCGTTAAACAACAAACCAACCAACCAAAGCATCGGTAGAGAATTAACTGAATGTCATAAATTGGATTGGATAATTGAGGAAGATTGCTCAATGCAACATTAAACACCATTCTCTCTAATACACTTGCTCTGTCGGAATTACTCCTCTAGGGAAGACGAAGAAGGGTGAGCTGAGCATCGTGCCCTCAGAGATCACCTTATTGTCGCCCTGTCTACACCAACTGCCTCATCTCTACTACGGGGTCAAGGATAAGGTGAGCTTATTTTCGGGATTAGGGGATTCTGGGTTAGAATTGATCCCCGCTTACCGGTGCTGGGTTTCATGCAACTATATGATACATGATACATTTTTTTCTCCACTTGCGAAAATAAATTACTTCTGATTTAATGACTCCCAGCATTTTGTCAGACAAATATCGCAAAATGTAATGTAATTAGTGCTTCAAGTTCATGTCTAAATATAGCTGCTACTAACATGTGTCTACAGCTAGCTTTTCCTTTGGAATCTGCTCTGAAATATTTACAGTCAAGACGTTTTCGTGTGATTTGGAGTAAATGTGCCTCATATCGTGACCTATGTATCATGACACATATGGTATCGTGACCTGTTATATGGTTTCACCCCAACTGTTGATCACTGTATAGGCATCTTCCCGAGGCAAGGGAGTTAAGTGACCGTAAAACTCCAGTTTCCTCCCTTGCCGAACTCGACCGTAGCGCCACCAGTGGCTATCATCAGTTATGTCCCTCCTATTGACCAATCAGATTCCTCCTCTGATATCACTTGCATTTGCTTAAAAAAACATGGCAGCACCCAGTCTAGACGATCTGATCGATAATAAAGATCTATAATATAGTAAAACGGGTCTTTCTGCGCGAGGTGCATCAAATCACGTGAGCACCTTGATTAAAAACATGAAAAGATTTTGAACATATCTGTTGACGCAAAGTTGACGGTACACATGCTTTACAAATCCTGCAATTGACCGAAAACCTCACGGCAGTTTATATATTGGATATTGATTTTGTTACATGATTTTGATTGGACTATGCATAGACTCATTAGTCCAGCCCAAATGTAACTCCATAATTGCAGCCTAGTTTGGCAAGGGTGGAAACTGGACTTTTATGGTCAGTTAACTCCCTTGCCTCGGGAAGATATAACTTAAAAATCCCTGTACCCTGTTTTCATGATTCTACTGTCACAATGTTCCCAAATATTACAATAAAACAACCTTACTCACTCACTTGCAGAATCTATTGATAGTATTTCTTTCACAGGAAACAAGATTTAGACAGCGATATCTGGACTTGATTATTAATGAGCCTGTCAGAAGAAAGTTTGTCACTCGAGCCAAGATTATCAACTATGTACGCAAATTCCTGGATGAATTAGGATTTCTTGAGGTGAGTTGGTTTTCAAACTGTTGGTCTTTGTATCAGGTGAATTGTTTACTGAGGGAGCATGATAGACTATAGACCTCCAAGGTAACCTTTTGCCCAGATCTACTGATATGAGCCAAGAGTTATTCATTTAATGGAAATGGAATTCAACCTATTTTGAACATTTACAACGAATAATTTAAATATCAACCAAAGTAATTCTGGTTTAGGGGCTTCTAAATGCAGTATGTTGTTATATAATACAATACAATGATTCCCTGACATTTGGCTTGCTAACCAAGAAATTATATTTGCGTTTTTTTTTTTATATACCTTAAAAAAATATTAAGTCACACACACTAGCGACTCTGGTTTTCTGATTGTTTGTTTTTCCGTGTGTTTGTAGGTGGAGACGCCGATGATGAATATGATCCCAGGGGGCGCCACTGCCAAGCCTTTCATCACCCACCACAATGATCTGAAACTGGACCTGTACATGAGGGTGGCGCCGGAGTTGTACCTCAAGGTAGGCAAACAACACTCTCCTCATCCCTGGGGCATTCTGGGGATGAACCGTCCCTAGTAACATGCTTAGTTGTTAACTTATCCTGCATTACTCCTCAATGCATTCACTGCTTACTTTTGATGGAAACGAAGCTGTGATTGGTCCAGCAGATGAGAGTGAGTGAGTGAGTATGGTTTTATGCTGCTTTTGGCAATATTCCAGCAATATCATGGCGGGGGACACCAGAAAATGGGCTTCACACATTGTACCCATGTCGGGAATTGAACCCGGGTCTTCGGCATGACGAGCGAACACTTTAACCACTAGGCTACCCACCCCCCCCAGCAGATGAGAAGAAAAGAGGTTGTTCCATTCTAGAAGCAGGAACTCCAATCATCAGCCACCACTTCCGGCATGACATGGCTGACTCTTGGTCTTCTCATTGCTGGGGGTGGGGGGCACGGGTGGCCCAGTTGCGTCCCTTGGGCACGCCAGAAACCTATGATTGTGGGTTCGAATCCCGGTTCACCCCGATTATGTTTCTAGGTTTGTCAGTACCATACCTGTGCTCGTGGGTTTTACCGAAGTGGTAAATGTCTGAGACCTGCATCATTTGGGATTTTCCTCCCACATTAAGCTGACACGATTACTTGTTACTGATTACTGTTAAAAGTGGCGTTAAACCCAACTCACTCACTCACTCTCATCGCTAGACCAATCACACCTTTGTTTCTGTCAAAAGTTAGCAGTGAATGCATTAAGGAGAAATGCAGGGTAAGTATACAAATATAAAAAATATCCAGATTTTACGAGTTTTTGAAAGTGGTGATTGTAGCCTAGTGGTTAAAGTCTTTGCTTATCATTACTTTGGTTCAGGTTCAATTCCCCACTTCGGTAAAATGTGTGGAGCCCCTTCCTGGTGTCCACTGTCATAAGTAAAACATCCTCACAGGTGGCCCAGTTATCTTAGACTGTGCAGGGTTGTGTCCCTTGGGCAACCAGGAACCGATGATTGTGGTCAGAAACCGGGTTTTTCCCCAATTATGTTTCTAGGTTTGTCAGCACCATGCCTGTGCTCGTCGGTTTCACCAAAGTGGTAAACTAAACATCTGAGACCTGCATCACTTTTGGCTTTCCTCCCACATTAAGCTGACACGCAGAAGTAAAACTGGAATACTGATCAAAGCAGCCTTGAACCCAATTCACTCAGATTACATGGAGTTTGATAAGACAAAACTTGTCTGTATGTCATACAAGTCATAAGTTATAGTTTTTTATTTATGATCATGGAATTTGCTGAAATAACAAAATCATAAGGGGTGGTCTCTTTGCTATTTTACTGAAACATTGCCATGATTGCTATGGCGACATGAAGTCTGAACTCACTCGCTCATAAGGATCTGCTAGATTAAAGTCATCATGGAATCGTGAGAAATATTATTAAGTGAAACTTGAGTGAGTATCCACTAATGTGTTTTCTCCAGATGTTGGTTGTGGGAGGCCTTGACCGAGTGTACGAGATTGGCAAGCAGTTCCGTAACGAGGGTATTGACATGACGCACAACCCCGAGTTCACCACGTGTGAGTTCTACATGGCGTACGCCGACTACCAGGATCTCATGAAGCTCACCGAGTCCATGGTCTCAGGTCAGTGCTGTCTCCATGGCTGTAGATGTGTTATTTGCTGTGTTGGTGAATGATGCTCAAAATAGTTAGTCTAAAATACCGAAAATCAGCATCGAGCCTTCCTGAGGATGGTAGACATATCAATTTCTATACCTGTGCTTATTGACCTCTGCAGCTTGGGATCTTTTCCCGATGTTATATGTGGATTTGGCCATAACAAGTCTGAAATTTTACTCTTTCAATTTCTCGTGGTTTCAATTTCTCATTATGTGAGACTTCTGACTCACGATAATGTAATATGACCAGGCAGATTTTTTACAAACGTGATGTCTCATAGTCTGGTGAAGCTTCTCTTTGGTAAAGGATAATTACTCAAATGGGTGAACCTGTGAATTGCCTAAAAGGTTAATTTTATGCTTTAAAAAAATACGTTTAAGATTTTGCCTTCGGAGTAGTCAAACCAATGTTTGATTTGGAACTTTATCATCTGTAGTTACTGTCTGACCGACCTTGTGACTTAGTATATTAATGTTCACATTCCAGGAAGACTTCTAGGGACTGTTTGTGAGAGAATTTATTTCCGATGATGGAATTTAAGAATGTCATAAAGAGGTTATCATGCTTGTGTGTTTTTGGATTGTAAATATCCTGTATAACTATAAGGAATAAGCATTGGGGAGCCTTGGCTATTGGTTATTTACAACCCCAAACACACTCCCTTGATAACCTCTATTTATAGTAGTTTAATATCTGTAGTATTGCTCACTGCAGTGTAAAACAAGACACTCGCCTACTCACTTACCTGTCAATCACATACTGACCTGTTTACCTGTGTGTCCAGGTGTGAAAATGTACCTGTATTGTTGTTACACCTACTCACTTACCTGTCAATCACATACTTAGCTGTTTACCTGTGTGTCCAGGTATGGTGAAGTACCTGTACGGGGGTTACAAGGTGACGTTCCACCCCGATGGACCAGACGGAGAGGGGGTCGAGATAGATTTCACGCCGCCGTTCCGACGCATCAGTCTGTGCGAGGAGCTAGAGAAGATCCTGAAGGTGAAGTTCCCAGACCCAACAACGTTCGCCACAGAGGGTAAGGAGGTCTACAGGGGCGTTATCGCTATTGCAATGTCGGTAATATTAGTAGCTAGGTTACCCTTACAACAAACATAGAGGATTCATCACGAGTGTTTTTTAATATGGGAAATATCAACCGAGTCTTAGTTAATCGGTATTTGCCGAGCCTTTGGCGAGGCAAATACCGATTAACGGGACGAGGTTGATATTTCCCATATTAAAAAACATGAGTGATGAATTCTATTTATCATTTTCACATTTTTGCTTCCAAATTAAGGAATAATTGCTTTAAACATTAACATCAGCAACTTGTCGAAATCTTACGTATAGATCGTGCGTAGTGATACATGTTTTCCATAGCCATGTAAACCAAAATAAACAATTCGCTGAGAAAAAAAGTTCCTCTGATTATTTTAAACAAAATACTTGAACAGACTTTTGCAGAATGATTGAAACTTTAATAACGGTAACAACAACGATTCTGTGTAATCTGATTATATCTCTGGTGTAACTTCACTTATAATATATAGTTTCAAATCAAACCGCTCGCTCTTCTGGTTATCTAATTTGCATATCTAATTTGCACACTTATGTCATTGGGGTATGACATACATGTTATTATGTCATAAGCTTATGTCATGGATAAATGCTTAAGTTAAATGATAAAAAGTTTTCTCTCTCCCCTCTCCCCCCCCCCCCCCCCCCCCCTGTCAGTCATCTAACTTGCCTCAGGAAGATATGACTTGTTGATTGGATGTCATCGTCCATGTCACATGTCAAACACTGGATTGTCTGGGCCAATCACTGGATTTGGTCGTGTCAGGTAACAAGGAAACAAAGTTGGGCCATTTGTCTGTCTGCCCACAGTGGAGATTTCTCTTTTTGAAATACATGTGAAAAATAAATTGATTATATTATTTAATGTAAAAATTTTGCAGGATATTTGGGCTTTATTTTATAAGGGGCATTTCTAGTTAGTGTTTATTATTACTAACAATGACCACATGAAGATCTGTGTTAGTCTTCAGCAAAACATGCTTGCCGTAAAAGGCAACTATGCTTGTCGTAAGAGGAGACTAACAGGATCTGGGGGTGAGGCTTGCTGACTTGGTTGATGCATGTCATCATATTCCAATTGCATGGATGGATGCTAATGATGTCAATCACTGGATTGTTTGGTCCAGGCTCGATTATTTACAGACCGCCGTCATATAGCTGGAATATTGCTGAGTGCGACGTTAAACAAGAAACAATGACAAACAAGAACGAAACTAACAAGGAATGTTCTTTTTAGGAAAATTGGGGTGTATTATGACACATTCATTTTATGTTTGCGTGTTGTGTCTGCAGGAGCCCGCAAGTTCTTTGATGATCTGTGTCGTAAGCAAGAGGTGGAATGTGCCTCCCCCCGGACACTCAGTCGACTGCTGGACAAGGTATGGTCACCATGGTTACTTCACAGGCATCACTAATCCGTGGTCTAGGGGTAGAGCGTCTGCCTGGAGAGGGGAAGGTCCGGGGTTTGATCCCCGGCCGAGTCATACCAAAAGACGTTAAAAGATGGTACTTGTTGTTACCCTGTCTGGCGCTCGGCATTAAGGAGCTAAAACAAGGACTGGTCGGCTCGGAGTCAGTATACTGTGTCTGAGTGGGGTATTCATGTTAAACTGCGGCATGGTATCTCAGTGAGCTAGCACTTTAGATCGGCATCAGTCCGGACTAGTACAAGCAGCCACACACTCACACACACGTGCATGCACGTCGCTATATGTAAGTGCAATAATCTTGGACGCGACGTTAATCCCAATTTCACCTCACCTCACCACTAATCAGTATGGGGTACAGGTGGCGTGGTTTATAGCATGTCAGCCAACCCCTATGGCTTGGGATGCTCTTATTGCAAACATCTAAGAGCCGCCTCACTTAAGACTTCTCTCACATTCCTGGGCACAGGGCCCAGTCGTCTAAGGCGCCGCGATTTGCTGTGCAGAGTTGCGTCCCTTGGATACACCAGAAATCTATGATTGTGGGTACGAATCCCGGTTCGCCCCGATTGTGTTTCTAGGTTTGTCAGCACCATACCCGTGCTCGTGGGTTTCACCAAAGTGGTAAACGTCTGAGATCTGCATCACTTGGGGCTTTCCTCCCACATTTAGCTGACACGCTGTGAGATATACCTGGTATACTGCTAAAAACGGCGTTAAACCCAACTCACTCACTCCTCTCACATTAACCTGACACACCGTTATATAACTCGAGTTCTGTTATAAGCGGCATTAAATCCAACTCAGTCACTAACTCTCATGGTAAACATCTAGGACCAGCATCACATTCGACTTCCCTCCAACATTAAGCTGACATGTTGTGATTTGAAGGAAAAGCTGATCAAGGCAGTCTTAAATCCAATAGGTCTTCAGGAACCCATGCTTGCCGTAAAAGGTGACTATGCTTGTCGTAATAGGCCACTAACGGGATCAGGTGGTCAGGCTCGCTGACTTGGTTGATGCATGTCATCAATCCACATTGCGTGGATCGATGCTCATGAAATTAATCACTGGATGGTCTGGTCCAGACTTGATTATTTACAGACCGCCGTCATATAGCTGGAATATTGCTGAGTGCTGCGTTAAACAACAAACCAACCAACCAAACCAATTAAATCCAACTCACTCAGTCAGACTGTGCACGTCACAACTAGCCCTTTTGAAGATTTACCAGCCTGTGCTACTGAACAAGCGTTAATTTCTAATCCTGATTATAATATTGCATTAAATAGAATTGCTATTTCTTCTAATCTAATCTCAGATTTCCGGCTCAGCTCTGCTATATTCTCTTTCTTTGTTTCAGCTGGTGGGTGAATATTTAGAGGAGAACATCATCAACCCAGCATTCATCACCGAACACCCTCAGGTCATGAGCCCGCTGGCTAAATGGTGAGTTTTTGTCCAGAGATAGGGATTTATCTAGGATTCTGAACAAACTGGGAAAAAACATTTTGTTTAAAGTTATTTTTTTCTAAATTCAGAGGTATTATGATTGATTTTAATACGTTGACCATTGTATTCTGTCCAGTAGTTTAAAACCAATCATTGGTCTCTTTATCGGTTCTGTTCTCAGTGAATACAAGTCACGTCTACTATGATGTAACATTAGTTTTCACTTTACATATATTAACATGAACTTGAAATTTTAGATCACAATTCTGGAATTGGTCGGGTAGCCTAGTGGTTCAAGCGTTAGCTCGTCACGCCGAAGACCCAGGTTCGATTCCCAACATGGGTACAATGTGTGAAGCCCATTTCTGGTGTCCCCCGCCGTGATATTGCTGGAATATTGCTAAAAGCGGCATAAAACCTCACTCACTCTCACTCACTCACTCACTCACTCACTCACTCACTCACTCACTCTGGAATTGTTACCAATAGTTACAAACATCGGCCTCTGAGCATGTCAAGGTAAATCCCTGCCAGCATTGGAGGCCCCCGAGAAATTGTTGTCTTTATTCTTTTTTTAGCAGGGTGGGAGCTGCACTAGCGATCTTAGTTGATTGGGTGACAACTTAATATAGCTGTAGGGTCGGTCGTGTAGCCTAGTGGTTAAAGCGTTGGCTTGTCACATTGAAGGCACGGGTTCGATTCCCCACATGGGTACAATGTGTGAAGCCCATTTTACGTTGTCCCAACCCGTGATATTGCTGGAATATTGCTGAAAGTGACGTTAAACCATACTCACTCACTAATATAGCTCTAACCAATCTCAGATATCTCAGAGCTGGGGCAGTTGTAACAGGGCTTCAGATGGGTTGCACCTATGTAACGTGGGGCCTTTGGATGTGCTAGGCCAAAGTCTCTCGAATAATATGGTATTGTCAAAGATTTTGTTGTGAATAACACATCTTGTTTTTGTTTTTTGTTAATCAATGATGGTTGGTTTGGTTTGGCTCTCCTTCGATATTGTGGTGGCATGTAGTCCTGTGCACAGGGCACAGGTCATAAAGCAGGTGAACTTTAGCAATGTCGGTCGTGGATAGTCCTTGGATGGGTGGCCACGTTTCGTCACCTTGGCTCCTGAGAGTTTCTAGGGCTTCCGTCCTGCCCCACACTGAAGCATGTGTTACACATGTGGCGTGTCCTTGGGCAAGTGACTTTGTTCGAAAGGTGCCTCTGTTCACCCAGCAGTGAATGGGTACCCGGTAGGATGAGATGGCAATCTTATTTCTGATTTTGTGTTCTGTTCAGTTTGTGTACACCATCCCACTCATTGTCATCCAGCTAATGACATGTCACCGTGGTAACTAGTGCATCTTGTTGCAGGCATCGATCCAAGCCAGGTTTGACGGAACGGTTTGAGCTGTTTGTCATGAAGAAGGAGGTTGCTAATGCCTACACCGAGTTGAACGACCCTGTAGTCCAGAGAGATAGGTTTCAGCAGCAGGCCAAGGTTTGTAACATACAGAGAATATTTCATGAGTGTGGTGACCCGTGAAGATCCGGGGTAGAATAGGTCTTCAGCAACCCATGCTTGCCGTAAAAGGCGACTGTGATTGTCGTAAGAGGCAACAAACAGGATCAGATGGTCAGGCTCGCTGACTTAGTTGATGCATATCATTGTATCCCAATTGCGTGGATCGATGCTCATGATGTCAATCACTTGATTGTCTGGTCCAGACTCGATTATTTACAGACCACCCTCATATAGCTGGAATACTGCTGAGTGCAGCGTTAAACAACAAACAATGTTGCTATCATGGATATGTGAATGAAATAATCTTGAACGCAGTTTTAAACCCCATGTCACCTCACCACTTTATTACTTCATGTTTCTCTTCTAGGACAAGGCAGCTGGGGATGATGAAGCCATGTTTGTGGACGAGAACTTCTGTACAGCATTAGAGTACGGCCTCCCCCCCACAGCAGGATGGGGCATGGGGATAGACCGACTTGCCATGTTCCTCACCGACTCCAACAACATCAAGGTAAACAGTTCAAGGTCAAACAGGGACCTACGAGGAGTCGGGACTATTTGGGGCAGTGGGGTTCTGAGTTCAAATCCCGAAATCCATACCTAATCTTTGTGTCACCTGCTGTGGTATGGCTACATTAGTGCTAGAAGCAAGTTAAAAGCTCACTCACAGATTAGGGTCGTGCCAGGCTAATGATTAACGGTTTGAATCCCACATTTCCCCTGATTAAAATTCTTGGTTTGTCTGCACCATATTCATGATGTCTAAGACCTGCATCACTTTCACTCCATATTAAGTTCTCAAATTGTGACTTAAGTGAAATATTTTTCAAAAGAGCCTTAAACCAAACTCTCACATAATCAAGACTTTATGTTGTAATGGTTGCACCAGTCATTTGTCAGATCTGGGTTAGAATAGGTCTTCAGCAACCCATTCTTGCCGTAAGAGGCTACTAACGTGATCGGGTGGTCAGGCTCAATGAAGTGGTTGATGCATGTCATCATATTCCAATTGTGTGGATCGATGTTCATGATATGTATCACTGGATTGTCTCGTCTAGACTCGATTATTTACAGACTGCCGTCATATAGCTTGAATATTGCTGAGTGTGGCGTTAAACAACAAATGAACCAAAAAACAAAAACAAATTTATTTAACGTTTGTAATTCTGAGATTCTTTTATGGGTTACTCAAAGCCATTTCATGAAAAGTAAATATATATGAATATATGTTATGTGGAACATGCAAAGAAATTTCACAAAAGTCAGCCATGTGTGTGTCCATTCTGTGAATTCAAAGCTATTTCTTCAATGATGTAGTACACATATCAAGATACATCTCCGTCCTAAAGCTAGCTATGATGTGTTTGCCCACAGGAAGTGCTCCTGTTCCCAGCAATGAAACCAGAAGACAACAACCCGAAGCCGGAAGACGCAGCAGACGCCGCCCCGAAGGAAACATCTTAACATCAGCTCCACACATCGTGTACATGTGTCTGTGTGTCTACATACCTCCTCCAGAAACCATTGTTGCAGCCATTGTTATTCTTCATTGTTGCGGCTCAGTTTCAGTCCTGATGTCCACTTATGTAGCATCAATAGATAGACTTCTAGATTCCAGGGTAGGGTGGAAGTGCCCATGTCACTTATCAGAAGAATCAAGGCTTGTAGATTCCAGGGTTAAGGTGTCCAGGGATTATGAAATTCTTAATGGATTGTATAGATGTGTGTCAGTTCTATCGCGATATTTCATTTGGAGTCAATGTGCAATATTGTATCTCTGGGAAAGGGGGTTGAATGATTTCCTGTGACCTTAAGTCCCTTATTCTTTCTTCCAATTGACAAAAAATAAATAGAGGATATTATATTATGTTTATGTCATACTCTGTTTACGACACGAGTGTCTAAATTCCGGTTCTTAGGCACGAGTGTCGTAAACATAGTATGACATGAAGACTCCTATAATGTTCTATTTATTACCGAAGATGTCTACATACAGAGAATTTTAGTGTTTACCTAAGGACAGCAAGTCGCAACAGCAGCGGAACCACAATTTGTCGATTGACGTCATCAATCTTCAGCTATGATGTCGTTTCTAGCGTGACATCATCCGACCTCACGTCACTATAAGAATCGAATGACGTCAACAATGACGTCCAGATGAAGGAAATATAACACTGTTGTCTCATTACGTGATATGACCCTAGGGCACATATGATTATTATGAACCCTGATATTTGTAGTAATAATATACAGTAAGACCTTGTTGACTTTGAAATATTGTTAAGACAATGTTAGTTTGTGATCCACGCGGAATCCATTTTTCCACCATGGTCTTATATTGACACCATAGTCAAATGTTGACACTGGTTGAATATTGACGATATAGAAACTATGATCTGATGTCGACACTACGGACGCTCTTTTCATAATCAGTTGTGCAAGTTTCCTGTTAATTGTAATATATTCCATACAACTACTTACATCACCATCATGACATACCTGTACTATACTACTCAAAACAAGTTAAGGAACACTGCTAATTGGAAGTCTGTGTGTTGCAATACCCACCAACCATGACAGATTAACTTGTCATGAGAAAAACTGTGATTTCTTATTTCTTTTGAGTAGTATATATTGTGTCAAGAAGTTTGGAGAGGTTAATATAATTTATTCATCAATATGTGTAAACTGTATTACAGATGTAGGATTTTATTACTTTCAAGACCACAGATAATTGATACTGGTCAATGCAAGTTGTATTTGCATTGCCAGCGTATTGGTACAGACTCGTGAAGATCAACATGTCATGTTTCTGTACAGTTGTGGCCATGATTCTTGTCAATGAAAAAAATATTTCTGGAAGTGGACTGTAAAATAAATTGTGAATAATTTATTAGGAATATAAACTCTTTGACCAATGTTGTTGTCTTGCTTATTCAGTCTGGGGGACCGCCTCACGTCATACCAAAAGATGTTAAAAGATAGTACTTGTTGATTCCTTATCTGGCGCTTGGGGACCGCCTCACGTCATACCAAAAGATGTTAAAAGATAGTTCTTGTTGATTCCTTATCTGGCGCTTGGGGACCGCCTCACGTCATACCAAAAGATGTTAAAAGATAGTTCTTGTTGATTCCTTATCTGGCGCTTGGGGACCGCCTCACGTCATACCAAAAGATGTTAAAAGATGGTACTTGTTGATTCCTTATCTGGCGCTTGGCATTTTGGGGCTAAAACAAAGACTGGTTGGCTTGGAATCAAAGATGGTACTTGTTGTTACCTAGTCTTGCGCTCGGCATTTAGGGGCTAAAACAAGGACTGGTCGGCTTGGAATGAAAGATGGTACTTGTTGTTACCTTGTCTGGCGCTCAGCATTTAGGGGCTAGAGGTGGGCCATTTATCAACAGTGTTTCTGTTACATTACTCTGCGTCACCTTAACGTAGGAGGAATACTGTATTTTGTTAATTGTATTGTTTATCGCTGCACCCCACAATATTCCAGCTATATGACAGCTGTAAATATGAGTCTGGACCAGACAATCCAGTGATATTTGAACTCCGATCCATGCTGTTGGGATACAATGACACGCTATCAACCAAGTCGCCTATCTGACCTGACCTGAACCACTAAGTCGTCTCTTACAGCCAGCATAGAGGCCAAACTCACATTGTTGCAGGCTACTGATTTAGTGGTATGCTAGTGTAGGTGACCATAGAGTGACCTCCCCTGTGTGGAGTCAGGATTTGCATTGATCCCAAGCAACCTATGCCTGTTACACAAAGCGACTTAATAGATTGGATGGTCGGACTTGGAGACTTGATTGATGGCTTGTCATTGTACCCTGGTGTGGGACGTTGCTCATGATATCAGTCACTTGTTTGTCCCGTAATCCTATCTATGGTTATGGACCCGCTAGGTGTATGTGAAATATTTGTGCTGCTGAGATAAAGGAACAATATCACAAACATGATACAACATCACACTGTCCATTTGAAGGATCAGACTGCCTCCATGTTAAGGGGAGCAGAAGGTCGAGAGTTTGCTCCCAAGCCACGTCCTTGCAGAAGACATTAAAAGGTGGTACCAGTTGTTACCCTTCCGGGCAGTGGGGAAGCCTAGTGGTTAAAGCATTCGCTCATGACGCCAAAGGCCCAGGTTCGATTCCCCACATGGGTACAATGTGTAAAGTACCCCGTGCTATTGCTTGAATATTGCTAAATTGTTACCCTGACTGTTGCTTGGCATTGAGGAGATAAAAACCCGGTCTGGACGGCTTGGAGTCGGCATACTGTGTCCGAGTGGGGCATCATCTCAAAACTGTTGCATGGTATCTCAGTTGGCACTAATAAATCAGGCATTAGTTGAGACTAGTACAAGCAGCAACACACACGTCACTAAAAAGTGTAATAATCTTGAGCACAATGCCAAACCCTATTTTACCTCACCTTGAAGGCTCACACACATGGCTAGCCTAGTGGTTAAAGCATTTGCTCGTCGCGCATAAGACCCGGGTTCGATTCCCGACTTGGGTACAATGTGTGAAGCCCCTTTCTGGTGTCCCCTGCCGTGATATTGCTGACATATTGCTAAAAGCGGCGTAAAACCATACTCACTCACACACATGGCACTGTAAACTGATAAACAAGAGACATAATTCATATCGTAATATTGTTTATTGAGGTGGCATGCATTGGGCATACTGGTAGTGTGGTAACAGCATGGAGGGATATACACAAATAAACATCACACCTTGGACGTCGAGCACAGTACTGGTCATCAACCCGGGACAAGGGACTTAACTGACCATAAAGTCCAGTTTCCACCCTTGTCAAACTAGGCTGCAAGTATGGCTGGACTAACGAGTCTATGCATAGTCCAATCAAAATTGCACAACAAAATCGACATCCGGTCCATAAACAACATGGATATCTATGTGCAGATTTCGGTTGACTAGGATTTGCAAAGAATGTGTACCGTCAACTGGGCATCAACAGATATTTTCCAAATGTTTTCATGTTTTAATCAAGGTGCTCATGTGATTTGATGCACATCACGAAGTTATTACACTATATATCCTGATCATCGATCAGATTGTCTTTACTGAGCGTCGCCATTTTGTTTGAAGCAAATGCAAGTGATATGAGAGGTGAAATCTGATTGGTCAAAAGGAGGGCATAGAAGGAACATGACTCGTAGCAGCCACTGGTGGTGCTATGAACGAGACCAGAAATTCAAGCCTAGTTTGGCAAGGGTGGAAACTGGACTTTTGGAGTCTGTTAACTCCCTTGCCTCAGGAAGATGCATACTGGCATACACAGAACAAATGAGACCTGTGTTGTAGGTACTACTATGAATATCAATGGTGGCATTGTACAAATTTTGGCTGTTTTGAAGGTGAATTTTTCGTCTGTATCCGTGTCAGGGCTGTCAGTTTTGTATATCAATGATTTCTTTCATGATGCATGAGTGGCGTCCACACTTCACACATCTGTGTCTACCGATGGCTGCTATTCCTTGTGGTCCTCATGTCATTATTACTATCATCATCAAACAGCAGGCCTTGGATGAATACAACATGAAAACTTGGCTGACTATCATGTACAATGCTCCAATACCATAAGTTGTATTGAATGTACCTGGAGTATTTGGTATTGCAGTATCACATGTGACGTGGGTTCCTGAACGTAACCACGTTAGGGAGCATTTGTTATACACCATGGTCTTCAGTGAGTGAGTTGTGTTGAATGCCGCTTTTAACAGTATTCCAGTTATATCACGGAGTGCCAGCTTTTAATGTCGGAGGAAAGCCCCAAGTGATGCAGGTCTCAGACATTTACCACTTCAGTGAAACCCATGAGCACAGGTATGGTGCTGACAAACCTAGAAACAATCAGGGCGAACCAGGATTTGAACCCACGACCATAGGTTTCTGGCGAGCCCAAGGGACGCAACTCTTCAGAACGAATTGTGGCGCCTTGGATGACTGGGCCACCCATGGTCTTCATTATGGGAAGGGGGGTCAGCTTTTATACCATATATACCATGGTGTGCAATAAGGGAGGGTCAGTTTGTATACAATATGTACCATGGTGTACAATAAGGGAGGGTCAGCTTGTATACAATATGTACCATGGTGTGCAATATGGGAGGGTCAGCTTGTATACAATATATACCATGATGTGCAATATAGGGAGGGCGGTCAGCTTGTATACAACATATACCATGATGTGCAATAAGGGAGGAGGGGGTCAGCTTGTATACAATATATACCATGGTGTGCAATAAGGGAGGAGGAGGGGTCAGCTTGTATACAATATATACCATGGTGTGCAATAAGGGAGGAGGGGGTCAGCTTGTATACAATATATACCATGGTCTGCAATAAGGGAGGAGGGGGTCAGCTTGTATACAATATATACCATGGTGTGCAATAAGGGAGGAGGGGGTCAGCTTGTATACAATATATACCATGGTGTGCAATAAGGGAGGAGGGGGTCAGCTTGTATACAATATATACCATGGTCTGCAATAAGGGAGGAGGTCAGCTTGTATACAATATATACCATGGTCTGCAATAAGGGAGGAGGGGGTCAGCTTGTATACAATATATACCATGGTCTGCAATAAGGGAGGAGGGGGTCAGCTTGTATACAATATATACCATAGTATGCAATAAGGGAGGAGGGGGGTCAGCTTGTATACAATATATACCATGGTGTGCAATAAGGGAGGAGGGGGGTCAGCTTGTATACAATATATACCATGGTGTGCAATAAGGGAGGAGGTCTGCTTGTATACAATATATACCATGGTGTGCAATAAGGGAGGAGGGGGGTCAGCTTGTATACAATATATACCATGGTCTGCAATAAGGGAGGAGGGGGTCAGCTTGTATACAATATATACCATGGTGTGCAATAAGGGAGGAGGGGGGTCAGCTTGTATACAATATATACCATGGTGTGCAATAAGGGAGGAGGGGGGTCAGCTTGTATACAATATATACCATGGTGTGCAATAAGGGAGGAGGGGGTCAGCTTGTATACAATATATACCATGGTGTGCAATAAGGGAGGAGGGGGGTCAGCTTGTATACAATATATACCATGGTGTGCAATAAGGGAGGAGGGGGTCAGCTTGTATACAATATATACCATGGTGTGCAATAAGGGAGGAGGTCAGCTTGTATACAATATATACCATGGTGTGCAATAAGGGAGGAGGTCTGCTTGTATACAATATATACCATGGTGTGCAATAAGGGAGGAGGGGGGTCAGCTTGTATACAATATATACCATGGTCTGCAATAAGGGAGGAGGGGGTCAGCTTGTATACAATATATACCATGGTGTGCAATAAGGGAGGAGGGGGGTCAGCTTGTATACAATATATACCATGGTGTGCAATAAGGGAGGAGGGGGGTCAGCTTGTATACAATATATACCATGGTGTGCAATAAGGGAGGAGGGGGGTCAGCTTGTATACAATATATACCATGGTGTGCAATAAGGGAGGAGGGGGTCAGCTTGTATACAATATATACCATGGTGTGCAATAAGGGAGGAGGTCAGCTTGTATACAATATATACCATGGTGTGCAATAAGGGAGGAGGTCTGCTTGTATACAATATATACCATGGTGTGCAATAAGGGAGGAGGGGGGTCAGCTTGTATACAATATATACCATGGTCTGCAATAAGGGAGGAGGGGGTCAGCTTGTATACAATATATACCATGGTGTGCAATAAGGGAGGAGGGGTCAGCTTGTATACAATATATACCATGGTGTGCAATAAGGGAGGAGGGGGGTCAGCTTGTATACAATATATACCATGGTGTGCAATAAGGGAGGAGGGGGGTCAGCTTGTATACAATATATACCATGGTGTGCAATAAGGGAGGAGGTCTGCTTGTATACAATATATACCATGGTGTGCAATCCAAGCTTAGGCTTAAAAAAATAAAAGACTTGGTTCTCAGGCGAAGGTTTTTGAAAATATTGTGTGGGTGGGCGGTGTCTTTTTTTTTTTGGTTGTTCAAACTAGTATGTAACCAATAAACAATTGTGTACAATCAACCTTGGAATGGGCCTCCCTACATAAATGTATACCTTGATGAGTAAAATACTGGAATACACTATTTGACTACCGTTGGACTTGGAATATTTAAGGATTTTTTAATTATTTTTTTATAAAATGGAAATAAAAACGAAACGTACGATGAACTTTAGGATGATGTGGGCGGTGCCTGAGAACCAAGACTATTATTTTTTTTAGCCTAAAAGCGCATGATATACATCTGAGTTGACTGGGGAAAGGTATAGACTTTTCAGCCTACAATCACTGAGATTAAAGTTCCTTGCATTCTACAGAAGCTTATTGATCATACATCCCTGATAACAGTAAAGTCTGGAGCACCATGGTGGCTGCTGAGTCCTCTAGGACTAAATCTGGCTATGGGACAATAGAGACTAGAGACATTCTGAGCAAAGTAGTCCTGGATATGGGTGATAAATATGTTACATGAGAGTAAATGCATGGAGTCTATTGAAAAAGGACATGTTTGTTTGTTATTTAAATTAATGCCACCCTCGGCAATATTCCAGCCACATGATGATGGTCTGTAAATTATTGAGATGGACCAGATGGATCCTCCCAACTATGGAGTCCTAGCTGGGACATTGTTGCAGTGTTGCATTGCTGATTTACAAAACCAAGCAAAATGTTATGTCATTAAACAAAGCATGACACCGTTACAAGTGTCAAAATGTTGAATTGTCACCTTGTTGGAAAGTATTTTGTTTGTTCATATGATTTTAGTGTTTGAGGTTGAGAATGAAAGTCTGAATCCTAATGTAAACGTACTAAAGATCTTTCAGAAAAACAACGCCTTCAGAGACCTTCAGAACCACAAACAATAAAATATGATTTTACAGCAAAATCAACAAAAGTTTGCTTTTAGAACAATTGTTCAACCATATATAATAACGGTCCTGACTTGAGCAAGAAAAAAAACATATTCACTGTATAAAGTAAATATAGTAAACAAAATGGCTACCTAGCTCTGGTCGGGTAATGTCATTGGGTAATAAACCTGGACTTTTTCTAGCCTACACATGATATATAGGATTTATTACACGGCCCAGCATCAGGACATTCATCAGTGTAACAAACAAACAATCCAACACCATCATGCAACTGTTGTGAGAATCGAGCCCTTCACAATATGACAATGATATGATACTGATTGGCCTATGAGACATTCCTATTGGCTGATCTGGTGACCTTGACCCTGTTTGTCTTGTCATGTGACCGTGGAGATGTTCCTATGTTTCATCAGGGTTAGCTGAAGCCATCTTCCTGAGTGTCTGGCTGCTTCTCCTTCACGGAGTTGTAATGCTCCCCCAGGCCAAATGCGTGGCGGTGATACCTGAAAGACAAACTATACATATTATATTGTAAAAATGGAGCTGAGTTTACTCTTTTCTTGGGCTGGGACGAGCCCTGGGTACCCACCACCAATTACCCGACCCTACCCAGGTACCCACTGTAGGTCTCAAGAGTTGGAAACAAAATGTCTGATTGGGAATTGTTTTACGGCAGCCCTGGCAAAAACTATTTAGATACATGTATAAAAAATCAGATCATGCATACTCTGAAGTTGACAGAAGCTTTATTTTACTCAAACATATACAGAATTCAGAAGGAATGTGTGCATCGTCAGAAAGAAATGCTAACATTAGCAACTTGTAGTAAAACCACTGAGCTATAGTGAGTTTTTGTCATTATACAATATATGATGTGACTAACCACGGGTCTGGGTAGTCCTGTGGGTACCCGGGTCTTACTCAGGACCCACCCGACCCGAGAACCTGAGTTACCCTTCCCATCCCATCCCTACTATTTTCCAAGCATTTTCAGGGAACAGATTATCAAAGATATATCAAATTTTCGTCCATAAGACCATAATATTAGATTTTCATGCACATTATAAAATAAATGTCCTGGCACATTTATTTTTATAAACAGAGCTAAAAAAAGTTAGGGATCACAAATATTTGTATGAAATTGTGTGCTTAGTCTTCACTATAATAAAATATCCCCAAAATATTCTGTCCCTAACCATTTTTGTTCAGTATGTATCATAGATGTTCACACACGTCATAAATGTTTACCACTTTGATGAAACCCGAAACAGACTATGGTGTTGTCAGACCTAGGATAATATTTGTGAATCTACAGGAACAACCTAGAACCTGGAATGACAGAGAACAAGAGTGAGTGAGTGAGTATGGTTTTATGCTGTTTTTAGCAATATTCCAACAATATCACGGTGGGGGACACCAGCAATGGGCTTCACACATTGTACCCATGTCAGGAATCCAACCCGGCATGACGAGCGAACACCTTAACCACTAGGCTACCTGACCGCCCTACAGAGAACAAGAGTGAGTAAGTGAGTGAGTATGGTTTTATGCGGATTTTATAAATATTCCAGTAATATCACGGCAGGGGACAACAGAAGTGCTCCAAACATTGTACCCATGTGGGGAATCAAACCCGGGTCTTCGGCATGACCCCACTGCCCCCCGAGTAGAAGAAACCCGACAACTGATAGAGACAGTACTAACGTGAGGATGACTGGGCTGTTGTCGGAGTACTCCTCCCCAACCAAGATGGCTGGCCCCTCGGCCTGGATCACCTCCAGAGGGAGACGCAACACATGTGACAGGGCTCGCAGCTGAAACATTTCATTTATGTTCTGAATAAAAAATTTGTTATGCAATATATGTCTTCGTTTATGTACATATATAATTTTTTATCAATAGTAACAGCCCAGTGGGGATTCCAGGTTAAAGTAGGATTAATAATGGTCGTATGAAGTGTTTGTTTGTTGCAATATTCCAGCTGTATGATGGCAGTCTGTAAATAATTGAGTCTGGACCAAACAATCCAGTGATTAACATGACATGCATCAACCAAATTAGCGAGTCTGACCACCCGATCCTGTTAGTTGCCTCTTACGACAAGCACAGTCGACTTTTACGGCAAGCATGGGTTGCTGAAGACCTATTATGCCCTGGATCTTCATGGGTTTTGTATGAAGTGACTAACCAGATGAGATGGTTTCGCTCAGTGATTTGGTTAACTGCAGGTCATTGTACCCCGATAGCATGGGACGTTGCACATAATATCAATCACCAGTTTGACTGGTCCAGATTATTTACAGACCATTTTCCAGTGGCCATTAATATTTCAGCCGGACTAGTAACAATTCAAGGCTCCTCCGATTTTTATTACGAATACACATTTTATAATCATGCTATTAACTATGTATTCTGATCGTGAGCCTCACCTCAAGATGGCCGCCCCATGCAGATGTTGATGCTATATCATTGCAGTAGTTCTGAAACTCATCTGAAAGAAAAATGTCATATAATACATTAAAAGAAAGAAATTGCAAGTCATTCTGTGGCATTTAATTCGCTAACAAGCCATTTTCTTTGTGTTCATGTTTGCTAATCATGCAACCTGGAAAAGGTTAACATGGTGAATTCCAAATGATACGGGCTGTTTGACGGAATCCGTCTATCTGTAACTTCAATGGGATAAATATATGAACGGAAGAGACCATGCACAGCCTGTGTACTGCTGTACAAACCAGACTGAATATTAGACATTCCAGAATGTTCTTTTCCTCTGTTTTCGAATTTTGAATCGAGAACTTTGTCAAAATATTTTTCAAAGCACAGTCTGGAATGGAAGTTGTAAAATTGAAACTTGTGCTGTAGATGTTGAGAAAGCTGCTTTCTGATTGGCTTGTGTTGATTTCTTGTTAGTCATTTCATTGGTCATTCAAAGTTTGCAAAAGGTCATTCTGATGTGACCCGTAACGGGATGTCCTCAGATTTTTGTTTAGCAGTAGTGAGAACGAAGATCTGATTTTAATGAGACTAAACCTCTGAATGGGGGCAATGTGCCAAAATTTGCTGTGAAGAGTTGCAACCTTTCGGCGTTACAGAACCTAAATTCGTGGGTTTGAATCCCATATTTTTCTCATTGTGTTTTAAGGTTTGTCTGCACCATACCCGTGCTAATGGGTTTCACTAAAGTTGCACACATCTAAAATCTGCCGGCTTTCCTCCAACATAAAGCTGACACGCCATGAAGACACTGTCAATCACTGTCAAGCCAAATTCATTCACTCACTGAACCTCTTTAAACTGTATGAAAAAGACAAACTTTCTCTGCCTTCATTGGAGCCACCATACATTCAATGTGATTCCTGAGTGCAAATATCACACAGCACCATGCTTTCCCATACCTGATTTCACTTTGCACAACTGACATAAATTATTCAGACATCCACTTGATAAAACTAAAAACTACAGATAAAATCAAGTCAAATCCTGATTACTTATTCACCTTAAACAAACAAAACCATTAAATGTCTTAAGGAAAAGGTTATCTTCCGTCGTCATCAGAGCTTTAGTTACAAAGGCAGCACAGGCTTATGAATAAATCACATAAATGTCTTCTTGCTATACATTGTTATATGGTTACCCCATAGTGTAATGTGTTCCTCTCAAAACTGACATTGCTGTGGATTTATTGATTTTACTTGAACTATTAAAGAAAACTGACTGAGAGCATCCAAACAATGGAAAACGTAAACACTTTTTTAACGCTGCACTCAGCAATATTCCTGCTGTATGACAGCGGCCTGTAAATAATCGAGTCTGGACCAGACAATCCAGTGATTGACATCATGAGCATCGATCAATGCAATTGGGATACGATGACATGCATCAACCAAGTCTGTGAGCCTGACCACCTGATCCCCTTCCTCTTACAACAAGCATGGATTGCTGAAGACCTATTCTAACCCAGATCTTCATGGTACACACTTTAAATAGAAACAGTAACAGAAATTACAAAAAAGACACAATCCCCCTAAAGTGTGCACCGTAAGGGATAAAGCGCCCCATTTTCAATGGAACCAAACACAGAAAATCACGCAGACCACAACAAACTGAATACGCGTGCATTCAGTTTGTTGTGGTATTCATTCAAAATGTGACAGCTTTTAATCATAAAGATGCGGTAGAATGCGGCTGTTTCTGTGTAAAGAGTGAACATATCCCATAGTTTGGTTGCTCTCTGCTTGTTTCCATTGGTAGGCCTGTTGACATCATAACCATGTGGAGATCCGTGTCAGGATAGGTCCCCACAATCTATGCTAATCTACACTATAGAATAGGTCCTGGTTAGGATAGGTCCCCATGCTGATCTAATAGGTTGATGAAGACCTATCCTAATCGGAATCCCCACAGGGTGGATCAGCATAGGTTAGAATAGGTCCCCACAACTTGTGCTGGTCTACCCTATAGAGATTCCGGGTGAGAATAGGTCCTCACAACCTATGCTGATCTACCCTATGGAGATTCTGGGTTACAATAGGTTCCCATCACCTATGCTGATCTACCCTATAGAATAGGTCCTGGTTAGGATAGGTCTCCATGCTGATCTTATAGGTTGATGAAGACCTATCCTAATCGGAATCCCCACAGGGTGGATCAGCATAGGTTAGAATAGGTCCCCACAACCTATGCTGATCTTCCCTATGGAGATTCCGGGTTAGAATAGGTCCCCACAACCTATGCTGATCTACCCTATGGAGATTCCACGTACAATATGTCCCCACAACCTATACTGATCTACCCTATGGAGATTCCGGGTTAAGATAGGTCCCCACAACCTATGCTGATCTACCCTATGGAGATTCCAGGTTAAGATAGGTCCCCACAACCTATACTGATCTACCCTATGGAGATTCCGGGTTAGGATAGGTCCCCACCACCTATGCTGATCTACCCTATGGAGATTCCGGGTTAGATTAGGTCCCCACAACCTATGCTGATCTACCCTATGGAGATTCCGGGTTAGAATAGGTCCCCACAACCTATGCTGATCTACCCTATGGAGATTCCACGTACAATATGTCCCCACAACCTATACTGATCTACCCTATGGAGATTCCGGGTTAAGATAGGTCCCCACAACCTATGCTGATCTACCCTATGGAGATTCCAGGTTAAGATAGGTCCCCACAACCTATACTGATCTACCCTATGGAGATTCCGGGTTAGGATAGGTCCCCACCACCTATGCTGATCTACCCTATGGAGATTCCGGGTTAGATTAGGTCCCCACAACCTATGCTGATCTACCCTATGGAGATTCCGGGTTAGAATAGGTCCCCACAACCTATGCTGATCTACCCTATGGAGATTCCGGGTTAGAATAGGTCCCCACAACCTATGCTGATCTACCCTATGGAGATTCCACGTACAATATGTCCCCACAACCTATACTGATCTACCCTATGGAGATTCCGGGTTAAGATAGGTCCCCACAACCTATGCTGATCTACCCTATGGAGATTCCAGGTTAAGATAGGTCCCCACAACCTATACTGATCTACCCTATGGAGATTCCGGGTTAGGATAGGTCCCCACCACCTATGCTGATCTACCCTATGGAGATTCCGGGTTAGATTAGGTCCCCACAACCTATGCTGATCTACCCTATGGAGATTCCAGGTTAAGATAGGTCCCCACAACCTATGCTGATCTACCCTATGGAGATTCCAGGTTAAGATAGGTCCCCACCACCTATGCTGATCTACCCTATGGAGATTCCAGGTTAAGATAGGTCCCCACAACCTATGCTGATCTACCCTATGGAGATTCCAGGTTAAGATAGGTCCCCACCACCTATGCTGATCTACCCTATGGAGATTCCAGGTTAGATTAGGTCCCCACAACCTATGCTGATCTACCCTTTGGAGATTCCAGGTTAGATTAGGTCCCCACCAGGGGTCCGGAAAATTTAAAATCCCAATCGGACATTTGCATTTAGGCCACGCCCCCTTCAAATAGCGTATTTTAGTACGACTTTTCACACACATTACAAGTTTACGTATTCATAATATGATGAATTATGAATTGTTTCAATTTAAATTGTTTAATTCACCGGAAAATTAATAACAAATAATATCATTTTAGATTTACATGGAAAACATACGTTTGTTTCTTTTATAATAACGATCTGTTAACGTAGTGAACGGTCTAATTAATATTCATGAGTTATATTCATGAGTCTGCTCAAGTGTACGTGTTGTAACATTTGGATCGAGACTATTATCCCATATTTGGTTATCACGTGACCTCACGGGAATTTTTTTTTTTAAACTAAAGATTTTTTTAAAAACAAGACAGATAATTTAATCACAAATACAAAAATATCGTTGATAGCAATAGTTATTTGAATACTTTTTTCAACTGTACTTATTTATTGACCATAAAAAAATTGGATATCGATCGTCCGAGAAAGCAAAATGGCGGTCAATCAAGATTCAATATACGACTAGCTACTGAAAACAATAAAATCTGCAAATCCTCATTGTATGTCAACCAAGTGAAAGTCGTTAGCCACGACTTACAAAATGATCGTCCAGACTTTGAGGGTTTGGCAGATCCGCTCGACTGATCTGCATCGGTCGACTGGCTGTCGTCAGGCTTTTGCTTCTTGTCTGAGGTTACGTATCGTAGCATTGTGAGGATAATGCAAGGTATTAATGTACAGTTGTAAACACCTTTCACTCAAATTAACAAGATGTTCTCAGTAATTAATCCTCGATTAATCAGTGTCAACTCAGTTTATTGCCTATTACAGTGATTGACCGATTGGACTATCATGTAGGTACGATGTATTTACAGCAATCAAAACAAACAAAGCTTGTCAGTGTAGTTAATCTTCATTGTGTTGCGACTGCAGACAGAAACTGCTCAGTCCTAACTGTTGATCATGTCCGGTCAAAATTTAAGAATGTCCGGACAATACTTTTTAAAATGTCCGGTAAGCAATATTTTAAAACGGACATTTGAGATTCCCAATCGGACATGTCCGGCGCATATGACGGTTTCCGGACCCCTGGTCCCCACAACCTATGCTGATCTACCCTATGGAGATTCCGGGTTAGGATAGGTCCCCGCAACCTATGCTGATCTACCATATGGAGATTCCAGGTTATAATAGGTCCCCACAACCTACCATATTTTCTTGAGTATAATGCGCACCCATGTATAATGCGCACCCCCCTCTAGCGGATTCAATATTTTGGAAAAAAAGAAATTTGAATATTATGCGCAGAAAAAATTTACATGGTACCCCTTCAGGGAAGTCCGGCAAACGAACGGGTGATGAGAAACTTTGTCAGTACAAATTCGAAATTTGAGATAAAAAATCACCAGACATGTTGATTTACCGTTTAAATTGTATTTTTTGTTGAGCTAGGCATTGTTTTATATCCAGGGATTAAGATTACCTTGTGTATTTTCTCGTAAACTAAGCCTGACACAGCAATCAGCTGTACACACGTTTTCTTGGAATCTACCGGTGATTCGGTCAAGACACACCCAATGATATCACTTTACAGTATTTTAATGCAAGGATCGGCAAAAGTTGTATCTGAAACTATTTTTTTATCAGGAATAATATATTCCAATATCTTGTTAATTTAAATGCAGCTTTTACTAAACATATTTAAAATAATAATAACCCTAAGCGAAGCAGCTGATTGCTATTGCCGGGTATTATTTTTTACATGGAACCAGTCTGACCATTCACCGCCAAGGCTCCCATGCACGTGATCGCGAGAATTACGTGTTGACATAGAATCATCCAACAAAAACAAATTTGACTTTTAACGATTCAAAGTATGGCATTTATGATATATGTATCCATTCTCTGTCAACTTAAGTTTGTTTCAAGGCGTCAATAGCGGTAATCTGACTGTGGTTGCTGTTAATAACGGTGAGTTGTGCGATCTTCCGATCGCTTCACACACGATTTCGCCAAAATTAATTAAAACAATATTAAAAGGAATTTTGAATAAAATTAATGAAATAAGTTACAAACATAAGTCCAGATATACAAATAACACTTTTTATAGCCAGACAGTGTAATTACATGACTAATTTGCGTACTTCAGTATGGATTTGTTGACATGGTATTTACGGTGTTACGTGCTCATAGTAATGTCTTTCCATGGGGGAAAAAACATCAAAACTCATAAATTTGTGTATAATGCGCACCCCCTTCTACACAGCTGTGTTTTTTTGGAAAAAAAGTGCGCACTATACTCAAGAAAAAACGGTATGCTGATCTACCCTATGGAGATTCCGGGTTAGAATAGGTCCCCACAACCTATGCTGATCTACTCATGGAGATTAAGGTTAGAATAGGTCCCTACAACCTATGCTGGTCACAATGGCAACTTAATGGACTGGGTGGTCAGGCTCGTCAACTAGGTTGATAGCGTGTCATCATTGCTCACAATATCTTTGGTGTGAGGGGAAATGGGGTTTAACGTCGCGTCCAAGATTATTGCACTTATATAGAGACGTGCATGTACGTGTGTGTGTTTGTGTGGCTGCTTGTACTAGTCCGGACTGATGTCGATTTATAGTGCTAGCTCACTGAGATACCATGCCGCAGTTTAACATGAATACCCCACTCAGACACAGTATACTGACTCCGAGCCGACCAGTTCTTGTTTTAGGCCCTTAATGCCGAGTGCCAGACAGGGTCACAACAAGTACCATCTTTTAACGTCTTTTGGTATGATGCGGCTGGGGATCGAACCCAGGACCTTCTGCTCTCCGGGCGGACGCTCTACCACTAGACCATGGAGGCGGCACATCCTATGCTGGTCACAATGGTAACATAATGGACTGGGTGGTCAGGCTCGTTAACTAGGTGTCATCATTGCTCACAATATCTTCGGACTGTCCAGAGTTCCAGACTTGATTACTTACAAGCCGCTGTCACAGCAGGAAGACTGCTGAGTGTGATGTTACACATGCCATGCATCGCCATGACAGCCCACTTCACGTGACCTGATGGTGTGACCTACCTGGTGAGTAGGGGTCCCCTGTGTCCAGCTTGGTCAGAAAGGGTAGAAAGTCATCTTCATGACCGCGCATGAAGTCAGCTGTTTGCTTCCGTAGGATTTCATTGGAGGACTGCCGAACAAACATTTCAATAATGACAAGTCACTTGATGACCAGGCCAACATCCCTCCTCCTCATTTGTTGCTCGAGTTTCTAATGATTACTGTGGAATTCACCCCGACCTCAGTTTTATCAATCATTTGAAAATGAATAGAATCAACATTTTAGCAGAAAAATAACCACACTATAGTATACCTGTCTGTTTCATTAAGAACAGACAATATAATTTCATGTGACCATAACAGTGAGTGAGATTTGTCTTAAGCCACTTTTAGCCATATTCCAGCAATATTTTTGTTTGTTTGTTATTTTACACAGCACTCAGCAATATTCCAGCTGTATGACGGCGGTCTGTAAATAATCGATTCTGGAAAAGACAATCCAGTGATAAAGCCAAATATATTATTGCTGCAGTCCCTGTTTTGAAAAAGTAAACAAATAAATAAAATCAACAAACAAATAAACATATTCTAGCCTGTAGTTTGCTTCAAGAGCTTTTTATATAGGGATATAACCTCAGCATGCTCAGGACAACTGTGATGATACTAATGGGGGTGGGGCCGTTAATCATGTTCCCAGGGCGGTGGGGTAGCCTAGTTGTTAAAGTGTTTGCTCATCGCACCAAAGACCTGGGTTCAATTCTCCACATGGTTACAATGTGCCCATTTCTGGTGTCCCCCCCTGGGATATTAATAGGTCTTCAGCAACCCATGCTTGCCGTAAAAGGTGACTATGCTTGTCGTAAGAGGTGACTAATGGGATCGGGTGGTCAGACTCGCTAACTTGGTTGAAGCATGTCGTCGTATCCCAATTGCGTGGATCGATGCTCATGATGTCAATCCCTGGATTGTCTGGTCCAGACTCAATTACTTACAGACTGCCGTCATATACCTGCATATTGCTGAGTGTGGCGTTAAACAAAAAACAAACAAACAAATCATATTCTGCTGACCCCACCACATCCCCCATTTTATGTATAACTTGTTCATGTCTCCGCCAAATACATGTAACTTATAAAATATAATAAACGTCCGTTCCTAAACAGACAAATATATTACCTCCTCTTCTATTCAGACAAATAAGGGAGTTTCAGTCAACATCCAGTGAATCTTCTTATCTTTCGGTTTGAAAGTACATTCTGCTATCTAATATTCAGGACAATCTGGGAGGAGTGAGTGAGTGAGTTGGGTTTAACGCCGCTTTTAACATTATTCCAGTTATATCGTGGCGTGTCAGCTTAATGTGGGAGGAAAGCCCCAAGTGATGCAGGTCTCAGACGTTTACCACTTCGGTGAAACCCACGAGCACGGGTATGGTGCTGACAAACCTAGAAACATAATTGGGGCGAACCGGGATTCGAATCCACAATCATAGGTTTCTGGCGTGCCCAAGGGACGCAACTCTGAACAGCGAATCGCGGCGCCTTAGACGACTGGGCCACCCGTGCCACCCAATCTGGGAGGACATGAGACCATAGTGTCCAAGAGGGCATTGCAGGGATGGTAACATTGTCGTTGACAGTTTATAAGGCAACTGGCAAATATCCGATCCATAAACACCCAGCGTGACTGTTGAGAGTTATTTGTGGACCTACCTGTACTCCCCTGGGAACCAGCTGATGAGTGATGGCATTGTACAGGCTGAAATTGAACAAGAGGATGGGCATGAGTGAGCGAGCGTGAGAGTGAGAGTGAGGTGAGGTGAAATGGGGTTTAACATCGCGTCCAAGATTATTGCACTTATATAGCGACGTGCATGTACGTGTTTGTGTTTGTGTGGCTGCTTGTACTAGTCCGGACTGATGCCGATTTATAGTGCTAGCTCACTAAGATACCATGCCGCAGTTTAACATGAATACCCCACTCAGACACAGTATACTGACTCCGAGCCGACCAGTCCTTGTTTTTGGTCCCTTAATGCCGAGTGCCAGACAGGGTAACAACAAGTACCATCTTTTAACGTCTTTTGGTATGACGCGGCCGGGGATCGAACCCCGGACCTTCCGCTCTCCGGGCGGACGCTCTACAACTAGACCACAGAGGCGGTTCGAGAGAATGAGAGTGAGTTAGTGAGCGAGCGTGTGTGAGAGTGAGTGAGAGAGTGAGCGAGTGAGCGAGAGTGTGCGTGCGTGTGTGAGAGTGAGTGAGTGTGTATGTGCATGAGAGTGAGTGAGTGAGTGAATGATCGAGCGTACGTGCGTGAGTGAGTGAGTGAGTGAGTGTTAGAGAGTGTGTGAGTGAGCGACCGACCAAGTGTGTGTGTGAGTGAGTGAGTGAGCGAGCGAGCGACCAAGCGTGTGTGAGTGAGTGAGTGAGTGAGCGAGCGACCAAGCGTGTGTGAGTGAGTGAGTGAGTGACAATAGCTGTCAAATAAATGGCAGCAGCAAATAGTAACAGGCCCTGTTATTATTCATAGTTCACTTACAAATGTCCAGAATTTTGCCTATCTCTAGAATAGTGTTGGAAGCTGGCTGGAATTCAACTGACAACCTCTGCCAATATATTTACAACATTCTCTAATGCCCCATCAAGATGCGTAGTGTTATTTGTTTATGTGTATTCCATTGTAACCTTGAGACATGTTCCGTTAGTTACGGCATCTCACGGAACTAAAACATTGACCATTTCTTTTGAATTTACCAAATCATTTTACTGTATCTATTTACCAAATCTTGCTGTGATAATCTCTCCATAATGTGAACCAATGTATGCAACAAATTGACCAATAGATCTCTCAAAATAGCAGTAACTGCATCACAGTGAAAACTCTGGATCTTGATTTGTTTACATTTGCAATTAAGAATGTACATATATATATGTGAAGTAGATGGCATCTTTGTTTTTTGTTCCAAAATATACAAAATGATTCTAGGTTTATTGGTGACATTTCAGAATTATTATTGGTGTCTTGATAAAGCTCACATTTGTTATCACAAACTTGACATTTTCGTAATTGAATACTCTGACTAAAGAATAAACCAAAAGTGCATGAGTGAGTATGGTTTAACACCGCTTTTAGCAATATTCCAGCAATATCACGGAGGGTGACACCAGAAAGGGGCTTCACACGTTGTACCCATGTTGGGAATCGAACCCGGGTCTTGGGCGTGATGAGCGAATGTTTTACCCACTAGGCTACCCGACCTGAGTAAAGAATTAAACCAATATTGAGTTTTCAAAACTTGCTTCAAAATGTTGCTGTAAATGGGGATTTAGTAAAATATAAAAAAATGACAATATTTACAATGTACCTAATTTACAAAATTTGTTTGCAGTACTTTTGCTTTGGCTAATATAACTGTATTTTATCACAGAACAGAGAATAATACCGCTGAATCCTAATTTATTTTCGTGATTCTAAACTGATACACAACGTCCCTTATAATTCAAGCTGTGTCAAGTAGAAAATTGTTTTGATACATCATGAATGTGTCATATTCAACTGTATTGTAACTGAATACATTCAGCACCATATTAATAAGTCCAAATGTATGGCCCCATGTGACAGCTTGTCCCGATGTCTTGTGTGTAGTCCAGGGACTTACATTGACTGGGCACAGGTGATGACCAACAATATGTAGGTAGTATTCAACTGAAGAATCATGACAGCTTGCTGTCCATTGTGTAGCTCCCGACTACTGAGTGCTATGCAAAACCACAGGTCTGGTAATGATGCTGGAGTTCAACCTTAAGTTAAGCTTGTGTGGTGTAGTGGATAGAGCGCCTGCCCGGAGAGTGGAAGGTCGGGAGTTTGATCCCCTGGCCTCTTCCGTAGTGTAGTGGACAGAGCGTCTGCTCAGAGAGTTGAAGGTCAGTGGTTTGATCCCTGACCATCTCTGTGGTCTAGTTGATAGAATGTCTGCTTGGAGACCAGAAGGTTGGGGGTACAATACCTTGGCCAACTCTGTGATCTAGTGGATAGAGCATCTGCCCCGAGAGCGGAAGGTCGGTAGGTTCAATCCCCTGGCCTCCACCACAGTCGAGTGGATAGTGCGTCTGCCCAGAGAGGGGAAGGTCGGTTGGTTCAAATCCCTGGCCTCCTCCGCAGTCTAGTGGATAGTGCGTCTGCCCAGGGAGGGGAAGGTCGGTAGGTTCAAATCCCTGTCCTCCTCCGCAGTCTAGTGGATAGTGCGTCTGCCCAGGGAGGGGAAGGTCGGTTGGTTCAAATCCCTGGCCTCCTCCGCAGTCTAGTGGATAGTGCGTCTGCCCAGGGAGGGGAAGGTCGGTAGGTTCGATCCCCTGGCCTCCTCTGCAGTCTAGTGGATAGTGCATCTGCCCAGAGAGGGGAAGGTCGGTAGGTTTGATCCCCTGGCCTCCTCTGCAGTCTAGTGGATAGTGCGTCTGCCCAGAGAGGGGAAGGTCGGTAGGTTCGATCCCCTGGCCTCCACCGCAGTCTAGTGGATAGTGCGTCTGCCCTGAGAGGGGAAGGTCAGTAGGTTCGATCCCCTGGTCTCCACCGCAGTCTAGTGGATAGTGCGTCTGCCCAGAGAGGGGAAGGTCGGTAGGTTTGATCCCCTGGCCTCCTCTGCAGTCTAGTGGATAGTGCGTCTGCCCAGAGAGGGGAAGGTCAGTAGGTTCGATCCCCTGGTCTCCTCTGCAGTCTAGTGGATAGTGCGTCTGCCCAGGGAGGGGAAGGTCGGTAGGTTCAATCCTCTGGCCTCCTCCGCAGTCTAGTCAGTCAGTCTTGTCAGTCGTCAAGATGGATATTTTATGGATGACAGAGTTTGCTTCATATGACGCAGGAAATTCATAAAATATTCATTTTATTGGAAATAAAAATAACTGCCACCAGATAAGGTGATGCACTAATGCCTAAGAAACATTTGCTTTTTTAAAGCCTCAATGTTCATCTTAATATCTGGGTATCACACTTGGGCACTGCCCAGATATTGCTGGAATATTGCTAAAAACGACGTAAAAACAATATTCACAAACTGGCGTGGGTAATCGCAAAAAACATGGCGTCCAAAAATGATGTCCGAAAACCTTAAATTATAAATTTTGAATTCAGAAGCAATTTAAAACACCAGTGTAACATTTACTCATTCAATAATATGCATGTATGCACACTCATGATGCATGCTCCAGGTATTTGGGAAGCGTATAAACATTAAACATGTGATAAAAATTGCAATTTGAAATCAACCATTATACCGAGCACAAGAAAATGATATTGTGATACGTATTGTGGAAAGAATGAACCTCAATTTTCTGATATACCGGTAATACAGCACATCCTTAGTATACATATTGGCATGTCATGGTATAACAGATTAACTGTAGGAATTTGAAATACAGTATTCGACATAATAAGCGCCCATGGCGCTCTCCAAATTAGAAATAGGGGGCTCTTATTAGAATATTATTTTGGTGAAAAATCGTAAATTTTGTGGTTTATGCTAACAGCCGGAAATGTGTATATACGACGGATATATTTTTCCAGAATTTAATTTCCCATGATTAAGGATGCATATAACACACGTATTATACACGAATAAATAAGTCTTGTGTACATTGATCAATCAGAAGGGGTGCTCATTGGGATTGTTCACTAGCCAATATATTAGCAAATATTGCCGTGGGTGCTTATTGGAGCGGGGCGCTTATTTCGACAAATACGGTATTATGTGTTCTTTAACATCTTTTTAGCATTATATATTATGGGAATAACTTACCAGTTTCC